AGGCATATGCTCGGTACCTTTTGTCCGGAAAAAAGACTACATCACTTTTACGTGAACGGAGCCGCAGCAATTATTAGTAGTAGTATTTTTAAGGAGAGGCCTATGTCCAGCAGTGGACTATTATAGGCTGTTGATGTGATGTGACGATGATGATGTGAAGGAGGTTTTATTACAGGAACTAATAATGTAAGTTGTACGTAGGAGCAGCCTCTGTGACGGGTAAATGTTAGTTGAGTAAGTGAAACCTGTTCTTTATCGGGACTTGTAATGGCTGGGATAACAAATCTGCTAATTATATTCTATGGTGCATTCATATCATAAAACATTGGGGTAATAACTTCGCACCAATTGTTATATTATGTGAAATGAGAATATTTATAAATGTAACATGGCATTGTATGATTGACTTGAACATACTTTTAACAGCTGGCAGCTGCTTGGGTTGGAAGAAACTTATGCTTTGTTATGTTTAGTACATAGCGATTATATAAAAGTTACAAGTCGTCTCGCTTCACCGTTATCAATGAATGCAAAACCACTTACCTTAAAACACTCACAGCTTTGGTATTCGAACTATTCTTACCTGAAACAAGAATATTAAATTCATTTTAAAGTTATTTCTATCATAGAATTAATGGTGAGCAGACAACAACACCCCTTGCGATAACGATTATTTTTTCAACCATACCGCCTAACCATTTATGATACAATAAATTTGTTTTAATTTACGAGGAAAATCACTTGTTTTTTTATGGTATAAGGGGGCAAACGAGCAGATGGGTCACTTGATGGTAAGCAACTACCGCCGCCCATGGACACCCGCAACTCAAGATTCACAAGTAGGCCTTTTTTAACGTATTGGAACCCCTCCAGGCCGTCACCTCACCGGAGTTTGGCAGTGGGGCGGTGTATCGGAATCGAACAGACTAAAACCATACGGTGTGTCACTCTGCGCCTATAATAGGAGGGATCCGGGAACAGCTTTTATTAAGACATCCGGCAAATTCACAAGTGGGCTACAGTACTTAAGAAAAGCAACGAAAAAATGTTTTAACAGCGGTTTTCTGTGAAGTCTTGGCATCACGATTATACATGGTGCTACAGGAGTTTTAACTCCCAGAAATTGTAGACCTACAAAAAGCGTCAGCGAGGAAATCCCATTCAATAAAAAACGCTAAAATTAACCTCTTGTATTGGACAAATGAAATAAAAAACCAGTTAGATCAATAAAAGTGGTGTGTATCTTTACAAGTGAGTGCGCCACGGGACTTGGCGACGATCCCGTAAGGAGAACCAACTGCTATTGTTCAGTATAAGGTTGCCACCGACCCGATATCAACAACACACCATATATTTTGTACACACGACATTCACTTAATGGACAATTTTTATTATGATATAGTTTGATGCAAAAATTGCAAAGTACAGCGTCTCTAATTTATACTAAAATAAATACGAACGCTCACTGGTGAGTGAATAAGAAATGTGTTATGTACATCATCTGTTACAATCTTTATTTTACTTTAAAATGTTCAAAAAACCCTATGCCATACTACTACACTCATCGAAAAAAGCATAGCACGACTACACGTAAAATGTCATATCTCTAGCAAAGGTGCGAAGCGTCTATAACATAAACTGTGCATGAAACTGCATTTAAGCACAGTTTACTTAAAGCCATTTTAGAGGACCGATGAGAGACCGACTTTGCAAAGTAAAATCTATAGGGATGTTGGTAGTGTCAGCCCTGCTTGCCTACAAGTTGGAGACAAGGTCGACGGCCGCGACACGCGAGTTGCTCCCGCGCAGCGCGCCCGCCCGCCTCGAACGACACACACGTACGAGTATCACAGCATTCACTGCTCGTAATACCATCCACCACTAATGCCCCTCACTGTTTATCAACGCATCGCTTGTCATCATATTTTTTAAAACATTTTATGTACTTATCGCTTTTTAAACATATATTTATAGCGATATCAAGCCAAGTAACTGTATCCTGGTTTTCTGAATTACATTTATGTGCAGTATCGCATGTCTGAGTGAAGATAGCTCTTACTCAGTGTTGTAAATTTCAAACAGAACAAGTTCTCGGAAATATGGAGAAGAAACTGCAAGCGTTTTTATTCATTTGTCAGTTCATCACTCTTGAAGCATGGCATCCTAGAATACATATATACATAACACACTTTTATTGCTACAGATTGTCACCGCACCATCTAGTAGCTATATACATTAGAACGTCAAAACACCAGGAATAGCTTGGTTTCAAAATTTCCATATAAGGAAACAAAACCCATTGTTGTTAATCGTTTGAAAAAAAAGAGGGTGCCTTTAAGGTCAAAAGATCCACCGTACCAGTGTCACGTAACACTCGAGCGGGCCGTAGCTGTGAATACGGCGGGGCTATTTCTGTACATCCGCCAAACCGGCAAAGTAACCTTCTCAGCTCTCGGTTTGATGCGACACTCTTGTAAAAAGTGCATCCCTCCGCCGAGTGAGGAGCGTATTAATATGTTTCAAAATCGAAATGTTATTGTAGAATTACAAATATTTATTTATAAATCTGTGAGTGAACCGAAAAGTTTTCACCTTTTGCATTATTCTTATTGCGGAATTACGATCATTGCAGTTTTAATTGAGTATAGCGTTTAGTCCCTAAATAATGCTATATCCCTTGGATAAAAATTGATGACCATTGAGAATTTGAGACAGAAGATCCGTCCAAGTAGCTTTGCTAGCTAAGGTTAGACTTTAAACTTTGTATCGTCATTTCAGACTGGACGACACTGAGATAATCTATAGTTTAAAGCTAACATGTAAGCAGTTTGCCTATAGCATTGGACGCAGTTGAGTATTTTTGTAGCTAGAATACTCCGCATAGTAGACAATAAAGTCTCTTAGTAACACTAAATCTGCGAAATGTTTCTGCTCAATCGGTCTATAGGTCAAGAGATCGCTAGATGCGTATGTAGCTTTCTTGAAAACACATACAAACGAACATTGTCGTCAAGGAATGAAACAGTCAGTCGTGAATACAAATATTATAATCAGGAAATATGTTGCGATGACGTCAGGAACACGAGAGAAATTGTAACAATTCAAAAAATATAAATAAGGATTTATAATGTTGGTACTAATGTACCTACTAATTGGCAGCAACAACATTTGACACCGCCTAACTCATAATATATCTGCATTCCCTTCAGGTGGTCATATGTAGAAATTATTTCATAATTATTAAGCAAGGACATTAGTGATTGTGTTTTATGGCGGCAAGTCATGGTCATGAATAACACTAACATAACAGTGAAGCTAAATTTGCCATAGATGTTGGGGAATGTTGAAGAAGGATTTTCTTTGTGATTTTTAACAGGATGCTTACATTTATAAAACAAGAGTTATTTTTGTAATAGACTAGCATTTTACAGTACGAACGTACGTCGTAATGTAAATTTTGTCGTCAATTTTAGTACAGTCTGAATGAGCCTATTCCTTTAGACGAAATTTAGCCGATATCTTTGCCAGATCTGTTCAGCCTTTCTGGCGTGTTTTAGTCGTAGACATCAACAAACTTTAGTTCTGTGAGTTTCACCAGTATCGATTTAAGTGAATACAATTGATCAATATACTATGGAACATTTATCGAAAAAATAATTGCTTTTTTGTCTTAGACAACAAATTCATACAAAACAATGATGATGCAGAAGCAACAGCAGTATAGATACACACCAATATGTTCATTGCCAGTGCGGCAAGGTGTGGTACAGCTTGTGAGCTGCAATTGTTATAATCCTATAACTACGTATCATTAATTGTAATCAGACCATTCTCTGAAAAAACTATTGTATGAAAATGAAATGATACCTCATCTGCTTACACACAATAAACAAGAATTTTATTCAGTTCTTGTACATAATATTTAAGGTAATGTTTACTAATGGTAAATTCCATGTGGTGGCGGATTAAGAATATGGAGTGTCACTATCCCTATACATCTCTATAAAGCTGACTAAGGGAACTAACTATGCAGGACAACAGCACTGCAAAGAGAAGGAAATCTGGAAACAAACCCTATACCAACCCCTCTGGCCAGCGATATAGTAGGCCAAAACCTCTTTTCTAAAGAGATGCCTAGGTCCCTATGTCAAGCAGTGGACTATTAAAGGCTGTTGATATGTGATGTGATGATGAATGTTTACAACAAAATATTCCTGAGGTGCATATCTTGCAAATTGTTTGTAAAATGGACATTCAGTAAGTTGTGACAGAGAGACTTTTTCATTTATATTGGGCCATTTGGTCAGAAAACCTACTTTTTCCCAGGTGTTGATTCTCAATACTTTTAAAGCTGTTTAACGCTCTGCCATACAGAGGTTGTTACTTTTGGCCCCGTAAAGAAAGTGTTCCTTGTGCCATATCACACTTAAAAATAAGAGAGCTGAATTCCAAAACAACAATCATGAAGCAAGGAAGGCAGTGGCCATTTCTATAGACATGCAATAATATTTCCTGAATTTTTATTAATTGCCTTTAATGTTGTTTAGTAATTTTTGTTTTATTTACAAAAGCACATTATATGACACTAATTAGTAGATTTTGTTGTTTTTTATGTTGTCCATGCCATTAAATAATATTAATTAATAATCTAACTAAAAAAATAAGGAAACAACATTTCAGAATTTTAATTTTGTTTGAAGAATTGTAATATTTACTTAGGTACAAGCAAAAAGCTGGCAATGTTATAATTAATTTAGAATACATGACTTCAATCAACCAGACTTTATTTATTTAATTATTTTTGCACAAACAACAATTCATTGTACAAATGCGGACCTAATGCCACAGGCATTGTCTAACAGTCTACCTTTGTGTGGTGGTGAAGTGTGTGAGTAGGTGCAATAGAACTTAAGTTTAGCAGTTTACTACTAAACATAGGCCTCAGTAAATTTGCCAAGCAAGAACAGTGAATCATTTTGTTATATATTTGTATTCATGTTCTAAAAGTTGTTGTACATGCTATGCCTAGTTTTGTCCTGAATATGTAATGCTGTGAAGTGTGTAATATTACTATTATTAGCTTCTAAGTACTTAAATAAATATATTGTTTGCTTGCTTAAAGTAATCATCTTAAACTCAAATATATCTAAGGATAAATAATGGCTCATGTCAGTACCTTCAGGATAGGCATCCGAGTTTGCGATGACATCAATGAACTCCTCGGTATGGTTGTACAGTGGACCCATACCGCGCATATCAAACTCATAATGCGACAAATACGAGATATTGATACTCGGTATTAGCAATTTCACGTTCAAGTTAATAGCCTCGGCAATTTCCTGCATCATCTCTTTACTGACGCTTTGAAGATCAAGCTGGGGAAGAGGGAGGGAAAGCTGGGCCTCGCCCAGGCCCCAGCTCGCCACACACATACACAACACAACTTTCCACATTTTAGGGCTTTTCTCAGACCACTAGCATGCTAATAACATGTGCACTGGTACGCACATAATACACATACACAATTTTATAACTGTTACGGATTTACTCTGTTTCCAAAACAAACTTTCAGCTACCAGTTTACTAAACATAAACAGAAGAATAAGGTCGATAACTCATTAATCATTTGATTGTGGAAAGGTAAAAGCACTCCGCTTGTTATTGTGTAATTAATTGGTAGTTAAAATACCAATTATTTTGATAAACGTACACATTTTCTGTTATAATTTACATATTTTCAATATTTTTCTGCCTTGAAGAAAACAACCGACAAACCAAGAATCACCAACAATGAGTCGATCGATAACAGCGGAGAACGACTGACTGAGTTTTGCTGAGTTTAGCTCGACGCAACTTCACTCTCACTGAGCGAACGATTCACACAACCATTCTTTGCTTTAAAAATTATTCTGTTCAGTGTTCATTGAATTCATTCTATCTTTTAGTTCCATTTCCAGTTGTTCCATTTTAGTTTTAAACCCACAGAGTACAGTAATATTACTAGAAATTTAGACCTATAGTTCCTCCTCAGACTAAGCATTATTATATGCATAGAGCATATAAACTATATTATATGATAGAGCAATAAAAACAAAATTGGTTAAGGAAGAATAAGAGTACATGACAGGCGATTTAAATTATAGTCCATTATATATAAAAAACTATAGGTAAATCCAAGATAGTCCATCTAATCTAAGAGGTACCGTTTGACGTTTCATACTTTTCTAGACGAGAGCTCACACATTTTCCATAACCTTTTCCATAAAACCATGAAGTTATGTAGATGTTGACTGGAAGAAAATGCCTTGGACATTAAGTCCGCCGATGTACAAAAGTGCATAAAGTTATAAAAAAGAAAATACAATTTTTAATGACTAAATTTATATTTAAATCTTTGAAGTAAAACAAAATAACCAATTTATGCACAAAACATGGGTTCCTTTACCTTGGTGTTGCGGCTCTTCAAATTCGAAATGTACGAAAAATCGAATTTAAATATCGATTAATTTTCAGTCCAAAAAGTGTTTAATAATACTTAAAATTCATCTGACATCCAAATCTCAATGATAGCGCATAATTAAAATATATGCAAGTTAATGTAATTTTAAATAAATCTTTGTAGGTAAAAATCGCTCGTGTCGAAGTCTATTGTATACTAAGATTTACTAGTTAAACCTATGTTGTGCCATTACGCGGGTTTTTATTGCAACATACATAAATCTGTAGAACCGTTTTCGATTAGTAGATACTAAGAAATGATTTCAAATTCTCTTAAGAATCAGATATTTTATTATTCGATTTCTTTGACACCATCGCTACATTTAAATCTCTCAGAACTGTCAAACGGTACCTCTTAGATTTGATAGCCTATAATGCTTTGCAATGATTTAAGTTCATTGATATGTTATAACTGACTACGCTGCGCTGTGCTTCTTTCTATTGGTTGTTATTCTAAGGACTCATTCATTCTTCTTCAGTTCCTTGTGTGTTGCCATCCTACGTTAATGGTAGAATTATTGTTTTTCAAAACGCAAGCTTGTAGACGGTGGCGCGACGTATTGTCAACTCCGGTAAAGATATAGTTACAAATTTCGCATTAAATAAAAAAAAAACACTTTTTTTTTCTACTGTTTAGATTTTTTTTTATTTTTAATTTATCGGTGGCTTGTCGGACTCGAACCGACTAAAACCGACGCCGTCTCAGGTACTAATAGCCGGGGACTGTTTAGACTAAATTCTCTCTGGCAACTAATTAATAGCACTGACCACCATAGAGATAATGTAATAGAGGGAGCGAAGTGTACATTCCTTTGTAAGTGATAGCGGCCGCGGTTAGACAGAGAAAGGTCATTGTTTTGGTCTTGTATCTCTCTCTCATCTCTGCACTGATTGGCTGATACTAAAGAGTGCATTTAAAGTTGCCAATTAGTGACAAGAGCAGAGAGAGATGCAAGACCAAAACAATCCTTGTTCGCTTCCTGTACATTTATAATCTCCTTACTGGCCACCGGCACCTGGCACTGATTTAAATAGCATCGTGATAAAACATCTGTGTTGCATTACTATACATCGGATACTAAAATAATACGTTACAAAAATTTCTTTCTACACATAACGGGGGCAGAACGTAAAATATTGGTTTTTTTTTTTTTCAATTTTACAAAAACAGGCCCAAGGTTACAAGTATCCAGTATACTGTATAAATAAATACATATACACATAATTATTTAACGACAAACTATACAATAACAGTTCAAATTGTTCTTCCAAATAAATAAACCAGTATTTAATATTCAATACCGTATCTAGTCATAAATTTGAAAGAGCCGTCAACAATTTGTTTAAAACAAATGACGTAGTGGTCAATAAAACGCCTGATGAATCCAAATAGCGAGTAGTTGTACATGTATATCAGCGTTTATGAGGCGTCAATTCGTCAAATGCTGCTCAGCGCAAATGTTAGTGTAATACTATTATTCGTAGTTTGTATCTAATTTCGATTAGTATTTCCGTTAGAGGTCCTACGCAGTTAGCATTAGCTTTGAGTCTCACCTGCCTAGTGGCGGATTAACTAGAAGTCTGAATAGGCTGGAGCCTAGGGCGTCAAATTTGGCCCAATATTTTTTTATCTTAGACAAAAATAAATTACACGAAAATATGAAGTCTCAAAAATTTAACAAAATTACCTTATTTTACTAAATTTAGTAGGTATATCTTCAGGTATACCTATGGATATATGGGTATGGATGTGCAGAGCGTGCACCGCACAAGGGCGGCATTTTCAAGGGAGCGCGGCACAAACAGGTAGCGATGCGGAAACTAAACATTCTCATAATTGCATGTTTAATATATTTTTATTATGTCATAATAATGATATCTTTTGATCAGTGTACGAATATAAATGCAAATATTTATAATCTTGGCATTACTTTATAAAACGTATGTATAATTTGAATCACTTGAGACGCAGGGTTTCCCAAATACCGGGCGATAGTTTTACGTTCGGGAAATCATGAGGTGGCTAAATTCGGGCACGCAGTTATTGCGGTAGTAAGACCTGTTACGGAGAATTGGCTCGAAAGTAAACATGGTACCCTCTCATATCGTATGAGAGAAAATCACCTGTGTCTGATCAGCAAGAATACAAGTCTGGGTGCTACCACTGCGATGGCCACAGTGAAACTACACTCCATGACAGAATACTCAGCGTGAATGGATCAGAGGCGGGACTTCGGGACGGCCGTCAGAAGAAGAAGTTCGCCGTCTCTACATGGTCCTTTATGGGGTGCCCGTCTGGACGCGACATAAAGCATCGAGAATGTTTTCGAATTTGGAAAAACTAGAAACGGTGGTTTATTTTTGTTACATGGAATATTTTTTTGGAAAAAATAAATAAATTCGTCTGAAAGAACACTGAAACAAACAGTTTCTGGATTATTAAAGTCTGTTGAAACCACGTGAATATAAAATTTGGAGAACATTTATCCAAACTTGGATGTAACGCTTCTTGTCCTACTTGAAACTTGTAACTTATTATTGTTTGCTTTAGAACAGGTTACATAACCATAACCCACCCACACACAAAAAAGGTAAATATTTATGATGATGAAAAGATACAGTAAAACAAATTTATTAAAATTCGATAAAATATAATCGTTGTAAATTTCTAAACAATATAAATATGGTAGATTGTTTGGTACTTGCATCTTTTACCTCTACTGGGGAGGGTGAAGTGTTGGATTTAGTATCCAACACCATAAATAGGGCCAATATTGTTTCTGATCAAGTTCAAGTACATTTTTAATCATTTGATGGAGGATGCCTATCCTAGGTTATAAAACAATTACAACACATAACAAACTAAAGCTACGGCTGTTATTTGTTAAAAATTGCTGACATAATTTGAACAATTTAAATATTTGATCGTAGCACATGAAATACCTACAGGAGAAGTTACTCAATTCTCCCATCTCCAGGTATTTCGTGTTACCTATATCTAGTACCGACCTGTACAAGTGCAGTAAGTCGTCATTGGTATTAGTACTCAGTTCCACTTTCGTAAAACTACCTACATACTTGTTGTAAATACACTCTAGTCATCATCCAACTAAGAAACCCGTTTTCCTCATGGACCAACTATGTACGCACAACTAGTTGTGCCATCCCAGAATATGTTCTTAATGACACAACTATGCACAACTAAGCACAACTGATTTACTATAACCATTCCTTTTAGCACAACTACAGGAGGAAATAAATAAGATTATTACTAAGCACTTCAGATATTGATGATTATGTTGGCCACTTCTGTCATATCTTTGTATATTAAGAAATAGAAAATTATAAATGCCATTTCATGTCATTTATTATCAGTAATTATTTATAAAAAAAAATGTATATTATTTTCGTGCATACGCTGGCGGTATATCCTGAACGTAAGCATGTCTATGTCTACGCCAGAAGACGAAGAACTTATAACCATAACGATGAATCTTTGTACACTGATTGTAATTACTTGTGTATCTAGGAGCTAATATTAATTGAAAATTATTTAGTTGTGCCAATAGGAACGATTTAAAAAAATCTTCCTCATGACACAACTAGTTGTGCATACATAGTTGGTCCATGAGGAAACAACGAAAAATACGGAGAAAAAATGACGTATATTTAAATTTACTCACCTAGTTAACTATTTTTATACAAGAACGGATACTCTGTGTTTAGACACTATTATAATTATAACAATAACTTGACTCCAGTCAGACATAATAAAAATATATAAATCACAGCCAGACCCAGAACAAATTATGGTTCTCATCACACAATTACATGTCAAGGGTTTGACCTGAGCCTACTTCTCAGCAGTCACGATAACTAACCGCCAGACCATCAGGTCAGTCTAACCAATGTAATGTAAAAAACTTATTTATAACTAACACAATTAAAAGTAACACAGCACCTTGTTGTCTCGGCCAAAAAAAATACTAACACGTGTCTGATAACAGACACATGTGCTTTAATAACTCCCGACCCATATCATCAACATTACTCTATAATGTATTGGCACAGCCTACAGAATGAGGTCCACTGCTCTCTTCACTCACGAGGTCTTCTGAAGAATTCTGTGTTCAGAACGGTCGCCGGTGGTAAAAGCACATAAGGCCGGTGGTCACACTTGCTCGGCGAGCAGAGCGGCGCGCTCTTCGCTCGGCGCGTCGGCGAGCGCGAGCGCCGAATTGATGTTCGTCGCCCGTAACGGTCGCGCGTCCAGCCCCGACACTTGCTCGAACTTCTTCAACAGGTCCAACGGAACATTGTATATTATTAACTTCTGATCTGAATCTTTCAGCTGCTTAATCAGTCGCTCCAGCGCCTGAAACCAGAATAACATAGCATTCAGATCCGACCAGTTCTTAACGCGATATTACTTAAATTGGTAAATTTTGACGTTCAGTTAGTCAATTTTTAAATACCCGTCTTTTAACGCTATAGGGGCGAACGAGCAAACGGGTCATCCGACGGTAAGTGACTACCGCTGCACGTGGACAAGCGCGGCACCCTTTTAAGTGACTCCACTCCCCATTTGAAAGGAGTAAGCCTCCGGTAACCCATCTCGCTCGGTAGAAAGTTTTGAAAGAATGCCGGTATGTGAGACCCTGTATCACGTCGGTCCAGTCCACCGATGTGTGCTAGAGCGTGGCTCTCTCACGGTAGAGAGGTCTACTATACCACCTCGGTCATATTACTTTGAAATATCTCGTATATGCTGTCCGATTTAGGTATCTTCTTAAGACAATGTTGAATCATGTATCGATTATCGCAGAATGTTTATCAGAGTTTATCCATTATGAAATCTAGTACAGGAATAAGCACTGTTAACTAGCAATGAGTGCGTACCTGTTGCCCTGCGTAGTCCAGCATGGCGAGCTGCCCGCAGTCGAGCAGGGCGGGGCGCGGCGCGGCACGTCGCGCGGCGGCGAGCGCGCGCGCCTCCACGAGCGCGCAGTTCACGTACGTCACGCCCAGCGCCGCGCGCACGCGCACCACCTCGCCCGCGCTCGACTGCAATGTCACACTCACTTCACTGATGATACACACGACGCCTGACTGATGACCATCATATTAGATATTAATCACGCTCAAAGCTCTCTTCTCGGTCTAAAGTAGATTTGCCAAAAACGGTGGATTTGTGGTATATTAAAGCGACCGTCTAGGTATTTTAGAACCTGGTTATTTATTTTAGACCTGGTATTTTAAATTCAGAAGTTATTAAAGCTATTAAAACACAGGAAAGTGGGAAATCACCTGGAGACAATAAAATCTCAAAGTAAATTCATATAACAATCATGAAATCATAGAAATTGAAGGTGAAGGTGAAGAATTCCGTGTTCAGAGAGGCGTCAGGCAAGGTGATCCGCTTTTCCCAAAAAATTTTACGGCAGTGTTAGAATATATATTCAGATACCTAGACTGGGGAAATTGCGGTATTAACATTAACGGATCGACTTTGAATCACCTAAGGTTTGCTAACGACATTGTGATATTTGCAGAGAGACCTGACATACTACAAATTTTGCTACAACAACTAGATTACAAAAGCAAGGAAGCTGGTCTATCCATGAACCCAAAGAAGACCAAAATAATGACTAACGGATCGAGAAAAAATATTGAAATAGGACTAGGATTCGAATATGTAGACGAATATATATTATATATATCTAGGACAACTAATATCTACAAAATATCAATACTGTACTCTACTAGGTACGCTACGAGCCTTCTATCGGCTTAAAAACTTCCTTCCTTCCGAAACAAAAGCGATGCTAGTCCAGACTCTTATTGACCCTATCTTGGATTATGGTGATGTATGCTATTATGACCTGAATGCAGATCTCCTCAATAAATACGACCGCCTTCTGAATAACTGCATTCGATTCGTCTTTAACCTTCGCAAATACGACCATGTTTCTTCCTCTCGTCGTGAATTGAACTGGCTCACGATTCGTCAGCGCCGTCAGCTGCACCCCCTCACCACTCTCTATTCCATACTCAACTCAGCTATTGCCCCTTCCTACCTAACATCCTCATTTTATTTTCTATGTGCCAATCACAACAGAACTCTCCGTTCATTAAACAATCCACTTCTGTTATGCCCCACTCATACTTCCGCATGTGTCCACTCTTCGTTCTTAACCCAATCTGTCCTCCTCTGGAACGCTCTTCCTTAGGAAATCAGGATAGCACCCCGTCGCCTCTCATTTAAGACGAAAGTCCGAGCTCGAATTCTCGACACTCTAGCAGACTCATCACATCCCTAAAGTCTTATATGTTATATGTATTTTTATTATTTTTTTATTTTTTTAAAGACAACTCCCGCATTAGGAATATATCCTGTGTCGCGGGGGACTTTACAAACATACATGAAACAGACACAAAGAACACCCAGACTCAGAACAACAATTTGTGGATCACACAAAGTGTCGTCCCATGTGGGGTTTGAACCCACAACACTCGGCGTAGTAGGAAGCGGCGTGGCGACCGCTTAAACCACTACGCCATCCGTCAGTCAATATATACGTATGTACTATATGTATGTATGTAACCTAATTTTAATGTCATGCACCTACTCAGCCATTTCCCCACCACCCAAAGGTAGACTGGGAGAAAACGCCTTTGGCATTAAGTCCGCCATTGTACAATGATTTGTTGTTTGTGCAAAAAGAATTAAATAAAAAATAAAAAAAATACTCCAAAGAAATAAATAGAAGGGTAAGCAACACTTGGAAGCGGTACTTACTGGTCACTAAAAGAAATAGTTAAAAATGAAACCATACCAATGTCTGTAAAAAGAAAATTGTACAACACATGTATCCTCTCATGTGTCACTTATGGATACTTTTAGTTTGTCAACGCAGCATGGAACGAAGCATGCTTAACCCAAGGCTATGAGACCGGTGGATACGATAAAAATAAGGAGAAGAACTAGGGTAACCGATGTATTACAGAAAATAAGAAAACTTAAATGGTTCATGACCGGTCATATAATGAGGAAGGATAGTGGGAAAAAATGGACAACGGATGTAATGGAATGGTACCACAGAAATGGGAAGGACAAAGAGGACGACAAATCAAAAGATGGGAGGATGATTTGCCGTAAGGATGGAGAAGGATATCTCGAAATATAGATAAGTGGGGGGACACGGGAGTGGTTGCTAAAGAAAATATTTTATCAAAAATTTGAGAAAATCGTTTTGTAAGTAGTATATAACTTAAATTGTGTAATATGGTCAGTGAATAAAGGCTTTTATTTATTTATTAAAGCGACTAATGGTGAGTGTGTACCTTGACGTGGTTTATCTGTAGGCGCGGGCGCATGAGGCGTCGCAGCAGCACGGCCAGCGAAGCGAGCGCACCGCAAAGCACGGCCAGCTCCACGGTGCGCGCCACGCTCACGCAGAACGTGAGCACCAGCACCGCCAGCTCCTGCCGGTCGCGCCGCCACAGCCGCACCACGGTCCGGTAGTCGATCTGTGCGCACCACCACTCCGATCTTATATCGATATTATTGCACATTTATAATAATAAGAACTGATAATATAGAATCCATTCGAATTTGACATCAAGCGCGAAAGGCCAAACAGGTTGCATTTTATAAATGGTTATTCTCATAAAAAGGCAATAAATAAGCAGTTCTCGTTGGACACTGCTAAAATGTTTTTTTTTGTTGGTGACGGGGTGGAAAATTTCTTCGAATTGCCGGCTCCCAAAACTAACCGATTCAAAGACAATACTTTGATGTCGGAAAAGCTTAGTAACCAGCTAGTTTTAATAATCATAAATTAAAAAACCACCGTCCAACAGTTTTTTACGCTGTATTACTTAAGGTTTTGCAGCGAACATCTTGCGACCCGACATAGTGAATATAAATATAAACAAGCAAGATTCTTTAATTTAATTACTCGATGAGTTGCAACTTTATTATAGAATTTATCAATTATTTATGTGCAAAGCAACAATATTTATATAACAACAATGATTATAAATTCATTGAGCTGTAGAGATGGATGCTCGGCTACCCACCGGGTCATCGGAAAGTCCCATGTAATAATAATTAATATGTTGTGTGCAGGGAGGTCTTCTACCCACTGGGTCGTTTGTAGGAGCCGAGCGAGTGATTTAATTAATGAGTGAGAGGTTATCACCACTCACCGTGGCGGGCCGCGCCGGCGCTCATTCATAATTTTATTGTTTCTCTTATTAATGTCACAATATATATGTGCTCTGCCCTCTACTCATTCATTGATAGTTTCACAAACATATCATAATTATTAAATTCTATTAAGAATATAAAAAAAAACTACGATCTAAAATTATAGACACTCACCATGAATATGACAGCACAGATGAGCACCGAGGAGAGACACGCCTTCGGTATATAGTAGAAGTATTGAGTGAGGAAGATCAGCGCCAGCAGGGTTATAATGCCTGTCATACACAACAACCGCCATTTAGAAATTGTTGCCAATTGTGATCCTAGCGACCGCACGTTTTTAGTATAACTTCAACTTACGCTTGTAACAAAGTAAAGGCCCTAATTCGGTAAAACAGTGAAAAAATCGGTTTATTTGCTTAACGTCTTAAAAACGTATAATGGAATTCCGATAGTATCTCTTGGTTACGTTTTTGACTAAGAATGTATTACCCCTGTAAGCCCACAAAATGAACGTGACTATAGATGTGATAACAGTCAATAACTAATTTCTTGAAAATTGGAATACTCTCAGTAAGAATAATATTACAAAATACAAATACATTATATTTAGAGTTATCCTTTGTCGGATTAACATTAACCGCCCTAGGCTGATTAATTTGACCCAACCTTAGCAGTTCCCTCTCCCAATCCAGGAAGTTAGCAGAGTAGTCGTAGCTCAAGTTAAGAAAAAAACCTAACTCGGCGCCCACTTGCGAATTGTGCTTTAGCGCTTGCAAAAGCAAGACGTTAGCGTCCTCTGATAATTGCGCCCTGGACTTGCCTTATTAGAATAATCGTAAGTGAGACTCTGCTAAATAAATCATTAGGCGGAAAACCTACAGAACAAGAATCAATAAGTGACAAAGAGATGTCTTGTCACTTAATAACTATGTATGAGAAACTGGTTGGTCATACATATGGAAACATAGTCGTATTACTATACAATGAAATGATAATTTGCCAGACTTGCCACTTTTAAATAAGTGGGATGAAAATTATATTAGTGGGCGTTTAATTCGCCTCTGCTTACCGAAGTGAGTGTATGTACTCGTTTAATATGTAATTGTTTATTTTTAGATTAATGTGTTTTTTTAATCTTTCAGTAGGTTGACCAAGTAGATACTGTAAGTGTCACGAGACGCACACTTCTGTTTTAAAGTTACTATATTGGTGAGTGGTGGAGTAACGCATGTGGAAATGTAGATGGGTGTAGTTAGACGCGCAGACCTGAGTAGGCGCCGGCGGCGGGCGTGCGCACGCCGCTGGAGTGCGACACGGCCGAGCGAGTGAAGGCGCCGCACGTGGGCATGGCGTGCACCAGCGACCCCGCCATGTTGCACAGCCCCAGCGTCACCATCTCCTGCGTCGCGTCCACTCGCCCGCCCGTACCTGCACAAAAGAGCAACCAAACTCTCAGCTCACCTCGAACAATGGACAGTTAGGTAACTTTCAATCGACAGTACGTACAGAAGGCCTTGGCGATAGCGATGTTAGCGAGCACCATGACGATGGGCAGCATGACGATCGCCGAACCGAGCTGCTGCACCATGTCCACGAACTGCACCGTGCTGTTGTCCAGTGCCACGCTGAACGGTGGTGCCGACAACGCTGGCAGCCCAGGCTCCACCCGACCTAAACACAACAGAACAATAAAGTTGTATTACAGAACAAAAGACGTTATAATGTTAGTAGATTGGCGTAGAATGTATAATCACTATAATCAAATATTCATCATGCATTTAAAAATCATCAAGATGGGCAAAAAAATCTTGTCAAACATGTTAATTTGATGAACACAAGTATTGACACTATTTGATGTTTAAAAAGTATTGGGTGTAGATTGATCTCCAGCGACCACGTTACCGGGGTTTGCAACACGACCCGTATCGAAGCCAATATTGTCTTTACATTAACCACATAACTAGTAAGATTACCAGATAACTTGAAGAGCGGTTTCTCAGGGTTGTGTATGCAGTAAGACAGCGTGGAGGCGGCCAGGACGACCAGCGCGTTACGTCCGATGGATAGGAGCCACAGAGCGCGCTTCAGCTTCGTACGCTTGGGGTTCACTTTTACATCTTTCAGTTGCTGTCGAAGAAATGAGGAAGTTTATTGCAATTGAAGTCCGGTTTGATTAGTTTGACAGTTCACATCTAAATACATAATAACTGTATTCCGTTTTTGAACATACAAACAAATCAATAATAGATCTTTACAGCAAGATGTAATCACATTTGACTGTATACGACAGTCACGACGACGTTAACGTGGTATACTTGTACATGACGTCAAATTTCCCTAAATTATATTGTAAGAAGCTAAGTGCTAAAAATATTAATACCCGTATTTTTTCGGACAAGACATTGAAATGTACATCAAAAATTGGTAGAAGGTACATTGTGTGCACCAGATGTGAACAAAGATACATCAATGTTTATCAAATAATGCAATACTCGTAGGTGTTTGTCTTAATGCGCACCAGGAAAATGGCGATGAACACGCAATTTGGTTGTTTGCCGGTGTTCTAGAACCATCAGTGCAAACTCTTTTTAGTTTAGAGCGGTGTGTAAAATGTCCCAATGTTTATAATTCTATGGTTAAATTATAATCTTTGACTGGCCTGTTGGTCTAGTGGCTAGTGACCCTGACTGCTATGCCAGAGGTCGTGGGATTGATTCCCACCCAGGGCAAATAATTGTGTGATGAGCACGGTCATTTGTTCTGTGTCTGGGTGTACTTTATCTATAATATGTATGTAATTAGAAATATATAAGTATGTTTATCAGCAGTCTGGTTACCATTGTACAGGCTCTGCCTAGTTTGGGATCAGACAGCAGTGTGTGAGATGTATGAAATATTATTATTATTAACCTTAATTTAATAACATGATCTCGTTGTTTGAAGTGACGTCATTAATTATAAAGCAAGGCTCAAAATATAGGTTTAAAGTATTAAATAAAATAATTTACATTTAGTTTCTGCAGTTTATGTTCAAGCCTTTGCAAGTGGATGCAAGTGTACGTTGAGGAGTACCTGGCTCAGATATAACATGGATCTTAGAACATTACTGAAGAAGAGCTACATATTTTTGTTTTCATACCCTGAGCAGTAGCAGCACAGTGCAGCAGACAGCCCCGAGCGCGCAGTCCGCGTAACGCAAGTTGTCCCACTTGTTGATGATGTTGCGGATATTGTCGCTTACCGACTCCGCCGTGAAGCTCAGCCCCAGGAGGCCCTTGAGTTGCGCTACCACGATAATCACCGCCGTTGCTGACGTGAACCCAGACGTCACTGATGGAGATATTAACTCCACCAAGAATCCTGGTGGGATATCCTTTAGATAAATATTTGACAAAACAGATTGTTGCTATTGTGTGTGTTGACTGTAGAGTCTAAGACGATTTCAATTATTTTCTTTTTTATAAAGTGAAGATAGTTTCAGTTTGAAAATTACAAAGATCAAAGAATAATAATTAAGCAAAGCATATTGAAACCATAATTGCACTCATCTCACAAATTTCAAAATAAATAATAATAACAATTGAAGCTGTAACTAAGTATGAGGCTCTTTTTGTATTAGGTAGGGACTGTGTGTGAGCTTGCTTTCCAACTCGTATAAAATGGACCAGATGTTTGCAATACCGGACATAAGTAACACTAGATATTTTAAAAAAAAACGACGGCAGAAGTGTAAACTTGAATATTAACGTGCACAACAAATATTAACAATTTTTGTTAATATTCAAGTTTTCACTTTTTGATATTTTGGAATGGTTAGGGAATAATTTTGCACGAATTGCTTTCATTATCAGTATAAAAGTACTATCATTTATGTAATAGAATACAATATTTATTTATTACGGTATCGTACACAAACATGACAATTTATATTACATTAAAAAGTTTATCTCTCAGAAAAACGAACATTCGCGCAAGCGCCCTGCGCCGCCTAAACGAAACAGCAGGCGCAGGCATACATTTTCGCCGCGCCGTAGAAAGAGAGGGGGATACTTCCTCTCCTACGCCGCGCCGGCTGTCTACTCTCCATTCGTCTTACGAATTTTCGATCAGCGGCACGTGTCCTGCCGCGAGTTTAACATTTTTTACCCATCACAAAAAAAGTGTACAACGCCGCTAAAGAAGTTTTCACTTCAAAAAGAAGATTGTAACAATCAGTTACTTTGGCTATCATCTTGTATGGATGGGGTTCTTGTGTAACATAAGGTAAGATTAATCTGTTTATGCACCTGTGGTGACAGTTACCCGAAGGTATTACCTAGACGGAGTAGTCCCATGATGAGGACGATGCAGCCAGAGAGGAAGGTGAGCAGCACGACGAACTCCACGGGTAAGCCGCGGCAAACTTGCAGCGTGAACAACGCCATCAAGCTGGTGGGGCCGATGGATACCTCCTTTACGGTGCCCAGGAAAACGTACAGCATCGTACCTGAATATAGCAGTTTTAATAAAGTATTTGTGTTCACTTCTTTGTTTTTTCCTTCAGGAAACTAAAAAAATGCCTTATAAAGACTTTTACACAAGTAGGTAAATAAGTATAATATTTTATTAATGAGGTATTGACAGACGTGGAAGACTTCTGTATAAAACAAGAGGCTTAAATTCGGCTTGTGCAGTTTTATAAAGATTTTGGATATGACTGAAATAAAAGCTTAAATCTACTGATTTCGTTAAGTTTCGAGAGTACAGAATTTTATACAGTGAAGTAGGCCAAAATCTCCTTTCTAAGGAGAGGCTTATGTCCAGCAGTGGACTATTTAAAGGCTGTTGATGATGTGAATTGTATGAATTTTTGAGATACTAAATAGACGAAAACTTTTACAGTATTTTTTTTAAAGACAACTTTCGTGTTAGGAATATATCCTGTGTCGCGAGAGACTTTAAACACACATAAAACGGACACAAAGAACACCCAGACTCAGAACAACAATTTGTGCACACAAAGTGTCGTCCCATATCGGGATAGGGGATCCACAACACTCGGCGCAGTAGTAAGCGGCGTGGCGACCGCTTACACCACTACGCTATCCGTGCAGTCAAGTTGAAAACCAATAGTCAACACGCTTATCAACCACACTGGCTAACTGTTGCAGAAGCAGGTAACTGTAAGCAGGTGCACAATAATAACTCAGTGGTTTAGATTCTCCTCCTAATTGCATTAAGGACGCAAATTTTTGCAATCCATTTGCACATTGAGGATTGAAGTTCAGAAGCTGACAGACGCAGGCAGTTAGAAATACATAGGGACAGTATGAATCTTAGTTACATAATACAGTTTTTTGAATAAATGACAGTACCGGTATTAAATATAATCGCAACTACTAGTAGAACGAAGGAATTCAATAATTAACAACATATTATATATGTTTCTATTCATGGCCCGCCATGACGCGAGGCATCCTGACGGCAATAGGAACAGACATATTGCAATACACCTCGTGGTTTTATTGGTTACAGTACGATGAATCTGGTAGTAGTGTGTCTGTATCCAAGCAGAAGGTTGGTTTGTTTCTCAACAAACTTTAATGTCATTATTTTTATCTTAATTGTTGTATTTAATGCTTAGATTGTTGTTTAATGCTGCTGTGATTATTGAAATTCAAGATTATAATGTAATATTGAGATGCTTAATGATACTACTGACTAGGAAAAAATGCCGATATCTTCTAAAAGACTTGAAAGAGTAATTTCGAAGTAAGTCGATAATGTACCTCTTCTTTGAACTTCGTTAGAAAAAAACTACGATGTGACTGAGTGATTGTAACAAACATCAACAATCAAACAATCATCAGTCATTTTGGTTTCTCTTTGTATTGCACCAAACCATTGCCTAGATCAGACTTACTCATTGCTCATGCACCTGCTCATCACCTGAATTATCAAGCGAACAGTTGAATTGAACTATGGCATAAGATGGGACAAGTTAGGGTATTACAGAAAGCTTCTCTTTAAGTATTTGTAAGGATAAAATTTAACAAAGTAAGGCCTTTAAGTAAGTAAGGTTTAACAAAGGTAGCCTAAAGATTAATGCGTCCGACTTACATTCAAACGATTGCGGGTTCGACCACACCCATTACGCTACACCGCCGTAACACACAGCTCACAATATATATATGTGAGCGGTGTCACAGTAGTTATCTATAACATTACCGTGCTCCTAGATGAGAGCTTGGTTAGCTCACCTAGCTAGCTCTAGCTCACCAGTCCTCGACGCATAAAGGACCATTTTTGAGTCTAAATGCGGAAATCGAAGCCCACAACCAATACCAATACCATTACCGTGGCGGTGTGTAGGAATCGAACTAATTGATCGCGGGATCCGTGGGATGCTTTTATCACAATACAAGAATACAATCACAGAAGACCCAATATACTACATACAGAAGAGTCGAAGTAGAAAGTAGTAAACGGTGTAGATATTTTATAAAAGAAACTATACGAAAAGTCTTCTGCTGCTGTCAATAATCTAATTAACATTGCGCCGCATTTAGCCGTTATATTTATTACGCGATAATTGGTATGGGCATATTTTCATGGTTTATTAAAACGTAATAAAACAATTTCTTTTGTTCTGTAACTGCAATGATCCCATAAATATTATCTTCAAATTGTATTTTTGTAAAAGTTTTCAGGCTGTAAAATAAATATACTTATAGTGGTTTCCCAAAATATATCTGTTTTTGGATCAGTTTCAACAGGTTTTTTTTTATGTTAGAGGGGCAGAGGTTGTAGCGACTGCCTCAGCCTGGGTTCGCTGGTCTCATAAAAGCATATACGTTAAGCACACTCAATCCCATCTTTCCCACTGGGCACTCTGGGCAGGTGCCCAGGACACCTAGAACGATGGGGCCCCCTAGATTCTGATTCCTGCCAGATCTCCGATCGACGTTAATTTATAAACAATCGACTGACTACAATACTTTCTCTGTAATGTGCCCATGTCCTCCAATCCACACTCCATCAGCAGTCCCCGTTACTTCTTCGTCCCGCTTTCGCAGCAATTTGCCGCGATACAGGAACTAGTTCGATTAAAACTTTAACTGTTGAGAGTCAGCCAACCAGCGTAATCTAAGTAGTGGAAATGTATTTTTATATCTAACGTAACATCATAAATTTAACGAATTCAATATTTACTTTTGCCAGCGTACTTTTCAAACATTACATATTTTGTTATCTTATCCATTGTATGTACAACGTCTATTAATCTCAATATCCGTATTTCTATTTCACATTAATCAGGTGCGTATACGATATATATGCTAATAGATATACGAGTATACTTAAGAAATAATGTTAAATTAGGTAATATTGAAAATTGACTACTCAGCTTTCATTATTACCGAATTAATTGATCACTGAACTCAACATTTATCAGCACCTCATGGTAGTTAAGTTTTAACTTGTGGTGATGGATTAAAAACACGAAGTGTCGCCACCCTTATTTATCCCATAGGGGTGGCGACAATGTCGCGAAAGCCGACTAAGAGAGCAAGGGATAAACTGCGCAACCTACGCAGGACTACAGCATTGCAAATAGAAGGAAAACTTTAAGCAAACCCTTTTTTTTTTTTTTTTTATTAACGTGTGGAAATCCCCTAGAACCGTCACCCCCGGGGTTTGCAGCGGACCCCTCCTAGCGCCTGCCCGCTCCTGGTGCGGGCTCCGTCTCAAAATTTTAACCTCTCTTTAGGCGACGTCCGGCACACGCGGACGCCGTCCCCTCGCGGCTGGCCAAACTAATGCGGGTGGAGGGGAAACCCACCCCGTCTACCCGCGGCCACACTCAGGGCGGCATGAACCGGGCGGCGGATCGGGTCCGAGTGGAGGTCGTCCTCCCGAGCCTTCTCCGCCGCCTCCTTCTGCGAGATTACTTCCTCGCAGAAGGTTGCGACCGCGGTAAAACAACTGTCCGACCGCCAGCGTGTGCTGGGCAGTGGTGGCAGGCGGGACTCAGTTCCCTCCTAGCGACCGAGTGCAGGTACTTTCCGAAGCAACCGTGCCCGGAAAGCACCTGCGTCAGCCGGAAGGTAAGGGTCCCGTGCTGCCGCCCTGCCCACTCGGCGATGACCGGCTGGAGAGCCTCCACGGCGGCGAAGCCAGCGCGTGGAGTCTCCATCCGGAACGACCAACGAGCCATCGTGGCTCGGCGAGCGGCTTCGCGCCACTCGCGCACGTCTTCGGGCGGAGGGCGAAATCCGCTCTCCGCCCAGGAGTCAGCCACTCGCCGATAAACTTCGGCGAGCACTTCCGCCTCCAAATCCCACGGGGGAGTTCCGGCCAACGCGCAAGCCACCTCGAAACGGTGCTGTAACCGCGTATGGCTCTGACCGCCAATACCCTCTGAGGGCGCCAGAGGCGTGCCCTATTCTGGGCGGTCAGAGCCGCCGCCCACACCGGTGCACCGTATAGTGCCATTGACCGGACAACCCCCGTGTACAGCCGTCTTGTCGCGACGCTAGGTCCACCCAAATTGGGCAAAAGTCGCCCTAGGGCAGACGCAGCGCCGACCAGCTTTGGAGCAAGCTGTCGGAAGTGCTCGTCGAAGAGCCACCTCCCGTCGAGGATCAGGCCCAGATATTTCATCTGGGCCCGAACCGGTACGAGGACCGAGTTAACCACGATTGAGGCGCCAGGAGGTGGACCACGACGGGGCCCATGAAATAAGAGAGCCTCCGTCTTATCTAGGGCCACCCGTAAGCCCAGCGCCTCAATGCGCCCGACCACCAGGGAGACTCCCCTTGTGGCCAGGCGCGCCGCCTCTTGGAAGTTCGCCCCCCGGGCTGTCACCAGAGTATCATCTGCGTAACAAATTACACCCAGCCCGGGGGGGAAATCGGCTCGAAGGGCCCAGTCGTACCCTATGTTCCACAAGAGGGGTCCAAGAACAGACCCCTGTGGAACACCGCACGACATGGGCCGACACCTCGAATTACCTTCTCGGTCCTCGTACACGACGGTACGCTCCTCTAAATAGTCTGCCACTAGCCGCCTCAGGTACTTTGGCACCCCATGATAGTGGAGTGCTTCCAAGCAAACCCTGCACCAACCCGTCTGGGTAGTTCTATAGTAGGCCAAAACTTATTTTCTAAAGAGAGACCTATATTCAGCAATGGACTATTAAAAGCTGTTGATGATGATGACGAATAGAAACATATCATCATCATAATTTCTTTGACCTTTTCCTAAATTTATTTGGTGTCAACACAATGTGTAACATTGCAAATTGTTTCAGCTGGTTTCTCTAATTGGGAGACGTCAGGGTTAGCGTTGGGTATGTAATCGTTTCCAGACGGAACAAAAGTCGAAATTCAATTGGGGTAAGGAAAATAGATACGGCCAGGGACCAAAGTAAAATAATACCGCAAGTCTCGATTGCAGGAGGAAGTAGGATATGGTATCACCATATCTGGGCATACGTGTTGGGTAATTCCTTCGGATTGCTTTTAGAGTATTTAAAAATATTGGCTCACTTAAGTACCTACCCATTTCTGGAGTTGATGGTCACAGAAGACAAGATCTTTTGTGAGTGGCAGATATTCCTCTGAAGATTCGTGAATTATAAAACATTATGGGATAGGCTGCATTATAAGTATGTAATACTGTAAATGTTTACCCGTTCTGTTTTATGAAATATCAAACCGTTTAGTTTATGTTTTTATTTATTATTGCAACAAAGGAGATCATTTTCTTAGAATACCTATTTGTTATTAAATTATTCAGAGTGACTTAATTGGCAGGCGCTAGCCATTTAGACTTTACATTGTGCATATTATTTGTAAATGTAAACAAACAACACATCTCAATTAATTGTTATCTCGTCAGTACATTTATAAAATATGTAATAGATAAAAAACCAACATTAGACAATAACATAAAAAACGTAACTTCTACTTATAAAATAGCTTTACTTTACTTACCAAAACCAAACGAACATTGAGAGGTGTTTAATTTATGTTAATAAAAACTTTAACCCACCCAATTTATTTAAAAAATGTTTAAATGTTGCTATTATTTTTATCGCCAATTAACAGAGGCATTTGTCTAGTATTCCCGGCAATACCCGTAACAATATATGTATGTATTATTGTAAAGTACACATACATTTTACAGAGTAGTGCGTTTTTTACTGTTTTTTTTACTGGATATGGTAGATCTCATTACAATTTGGAAAGAGAAGTTCATTTTAAAGGGTAACGATTTACGATACCATTGAACGTACCTAAACCCATTGCAATTTTATCTTTGCGCCGGAAATACAAATAAAATAAAATACGTAAAAATTAATTACTTATTAAGTATTTTCACGAATGTTCCTATTCCTTAAGTTCTCTTATGTGTAGATTTTTAATTAGTCTAATAAGTTACTTTTGTATATATTATTTGTTTTTAGTTCCATTTCTGTGGTTACATTTTTACTCGTAGACGTTTTTATTTACACGACAAACCAACAAGTAATTAACAGTATTAAAATAAAACAGTAACAATCTTATGCCTTTGATATAACATTATTTCGACTTTACACAACAAAATATTGTGATGAAAATAAATATAATTTTAATACACTACCTTGTCACGCTTGTATTGTGGTAGCATCGCAACAAAACTGACGCGAGAAATAGATAAAAACAATACAAAAACAAAACTTTTTGAGTTTTTGAAGCGTACACAAACCAACTTATATTGGTAGTAGGATAAAAAATCTTTTCAAATAGAACAATTATTTAATGAGTTGAATCGTTAAGATACAGTAGTTGTCACGATGTTAGGCTTAGACGCCGATTTCTTTAAATATATAGGAGTATTTGTTGATCAGGTGTAGGTAAGTCACAAGTGTTGCGTTACACTTGTGACTTACACCCGATGATATACTCACATAAAGTGAAATAAGGTGAAACGTTTTAATCGTAGTTCACACAGGGTCTGTGGTGTCGTTGTACGCGCGCATCATTATTACAAACATCTTGCAATCGTCTAAACAACGAACTTACTATACGAGTATTGCGACAGGTCACATGGTGTCGAGGACCTCATTAATATAACTACTCCTTAATACTTAGTGATAGAAGTATTTTTATACTAGTTATCTCCCTGCGATAGAATATTTAGAAGGACACTAAACTCAGGGGGCCCGACGCAGACATATGGGATCATTAGATCTTGTTAGTTACATGGTGCCTATCGGTTTCCACATTTACTTGTTAAACAAATTAAAATAACATAAAATTATGTTTCACCCCATAAATATTTGCTATCAAATAACTGTTGCATGTACGGGGTGAGGTCTTCAGTGTTCGGTGACAAATATATGACATGTAAGTGATAAAGAGTTTACTAACCTACAAATGAAGAATAGAGACCGTACTGCACGGGCAGGTTGGCGAGCGAAGCGTATGCGATGCTCTGCGGCACCAGTGTCAGACCCAGCGTGATGCCTGCCACCAGGTCCGCTACAGCGGTGATGCGGTCGTACCGCGGGCCCCAATCGAGGATCGGCAAGCGCTTCTTCGCGATGCGCATCCATCCACGCTCAGACTTCGGTCGTTTCACAAACGGAATGTCCTCTTCTGGCTCCATGCTTGGAGTAGTTACTTTACTCTTTTCCAATTCACTCGATATAATGAGTAATGTTGGTGCAATAACTCGGTTAGCGCTTTATAAATAATTATTGAAAACACAGCGATATCGATTGCTTATAAAATTATAAACAATTTCATTGTTCAATTTTAATAAACGTCAGTTAATAGATCAATGAATTGCGCGTGGGCCGGTACCCGCTAATGGCGACCGTGCGAGCCTCACTGTGCTTTCAGCCGAGCGAGCCGGTTATAATTTAATTCATTATCTTGGTATCAGCGAAACCTTTCCGATATGTAGATGAGTAAATAGCACGACAACAAACAACGCAAGATACGGCGCTGCGCCCGCGTTCTCTCGGCGACCACTCCGCGACACCGGCAACACTGCACCAACATTGATCTTAGATTAGGGTCCACGTGCGTTTGCACTGCACCAATACACGTGTCTTAATATTTCAATCATCGAGATTACCTGCGCGCTTACACGGTAGGTTTGTGTTGTAAACAAACGAGTCATCGGTTGTTCTTAGGGACAACACAAGTTAACCCCTGCACTACGGAGCAAACAACCGCGCAGTTAGATTTATTACTATTATTTATTCTCTCATTACGGTTTTAAATATAAAAATGAAATCAATACCAGCTCCACGTGTAGTCTATACCTACTAGTGAATGAGGAATACGGGCATCAGAGCCTCCACGTGACGCGGTCACTCTTACGACCGTAACTTCGCAACAAATGCCCAGTCTCAAACACTCCTTACAGTTAGACAGGGACTCGTCGTTTTGTGACAAATTAATCAGATGAGAGGCCGAGGCAGATCATCTGAGATCTATGATTACGTGCTAGTGAAACGTCACCCATTAGATATTGACTGTCCTGTTCGCCTAGTGAACCTAACTGCTAAACTAGAGGTCGTGGGTTCGATTCCCACCCAGAGTAAATAATGATGATGATGTAAATCTAAATATAATTTGTCCAAAGCGTTCTTATCCTCTATATACGAGAACCTACTACTGACTAACAGCTCTTCAGGCATAATTGTCTTTTCCTTGTTTCAATTTGTTCAAACTTAAATTTTGGTAATTATTTGGGACAGCATGCAAGCGTTCAAGAAAAGAGTGCACCTTAAAGTTCTACCAATCACGTGTCATTCTTGAGTTGCCATAGGGTGGTGTGTGGGTGTCCATAGGTAGCGGTGGTCACTTACCATATAATTTAGGACAGACAGACACACAGACAAGTCAGCACTGCAGCGACGCGGCGTGTACGATTGATACGCACTACTGTAGAATGCCGCACGAAAGCGAAGGTGCTATGTCATGTCTTCTGTATGAACTAGTACATTACAACGTGTTCAGGCTGGGTCGTCGTCTCGCCTGCCTGTTGTCTGCCCCAACTATTAGGTCAGATTACACGGTACACCCAGTCCGTAACTTATTTAATCTAATAGGCCATTTACACGCTTGGCAAGCCTCGACAAGTGTCACACAAGCGTGGTTTTTGGACACAGATCAAATGAAGCTTAAAGCTTGCCGTGAGTTTCCGTTTGCAAAGTTTACATGTTGGCGCGTGCTTGTTCTCCACATCTCAATTTTATATTAGTTAAGCAGTAAGGAATCGACATTAGAGGTGTTTTTTTAGTTAAGTGCCGCAGTTTATATTTTAAATAAAAATATTTCAACGTCTGCTATGTTTGCCTGTCCGGAACACACTAACACACTCGCAAGCGTTTAAAGGGAATCCAAGCGTTTGTAAAGGCTGAGCTTGTAGCCGTTTGCTAAGCCTCGGCAATTGTGTAAGCTATGCATAAGTATTGAGTAATGAATCATACAATAACAGTAACAACCGTAGTGTTTTATTTTGCTACCGCCTGTGTTGTAAAATAAATATTTAAAAAGTGCCCCACGGACGACACAACAGATGAGTGACTTTGTTTTAGAATTAAGTGCATAGGTATTGCACGGTCACAACGTAGATACTACTAATGAGGCGTCAGGGTGGAGCAATTAATCATACCATTATTATAATAAGACTATACTACAGGACATTTTTATATGCAATATAGGACCGCTCCGCTCCTGTCGATCGCCTCCAACCGGGACGGATGTATGGCAAGACGCGGCGACGGCCGCTTTGCCTCCGCATTTTAAATCTCTGAAATCTACTAAGATATTAATGTTAATGATACGTTGTAAATGGCAATTTTGATACTGTGGTTACTTTGGGTTATCCTTAGAAGATTGACAGACGTATACGATCGCAGATTGTTCTGCAGATCAGAAGCAAAACTATTGTTGCTGAGCTTGGTACCGTTATAATAAAAAATAAATTCTTGTGTCTGCACGCAATTACAATAAAAATAAAGAAGTAGGACTTAAGCTTAATTGGGATTCAGGGACAATCTCAACCCCTTTATGTTTCCGAACACCTACCAGGAAATGGTAGAAGACTATTCCACAAAGTCAGGGAATTTGCCAAACTAAATAATTTTAAATTCTGGTTGACCTCGAATCAAAGAATATGTGTGCGTTAGCAAGAAGATACCAAACGCATCAGAGTCCACCGGGAGGAGGACTTGATCGTGCTGCGGTCCACATGACTATCTTTTATTGTTGCTATCGTCACTTAAAAAGAGATTCTGCATGTCTTTATATTTTTCTGTTTCTATACTCTTTTTTTGCATTTACTATGTTGCGGTTGTGTTCTTTGTTTGCCGACACTCCAGATTGTTGCTATTTTTAATTTCTTGATAACTTTGATCTGAATCTGTATTGCTACCATAATAGATATCATATGTATATGTATTTTTATTTTTGGCACAACCTATGTATATTTTATATTATTGGATTATTGTTGCATTATTTTTTGTTCACATATGGTAATAATATGTCTAAAGCTTGCAAATCTAAGAGTACTCTCACCAGTATCGGTTACTGCCATCCTCAACCAAATACTTCGAATCATTACTTCAATTACTATAATTCATTGTCTGACCATGGTTAACAGTGTAATGGATGTTGTAACTGACGTTGCTAATAATATGAACGTTGGAGATTTGTTTTTGGTTGAGGATCCAGAATCACTTTCAATTTGAGAACTTGTTGGTAAACCTTCTCTTAAAATTATTGTATAAAATATTCGTAGCATAAATAAAAATTTGGAAGATTTTAGAATTCTTATGGCAAGGAGTGGTGTGGATTACGATATCATTATTCTTACAGAGTGCTGGCTTCATAATCTTGATTTAATCCCAAAGATAGAACAATATGACAGACAATATGACAATCAGAACAGCGGTGGGGTAATTAATGTTAAAAGTAATTTAAAAAATGTTAGAGTATACGAACCAAAGATCGTGGATGCTGATTGTTTAGCTGTGGAAATTGATAGAGATAACGTGTTTATTTGTTTGTATGGATCGCCTTCGTTTGTTTCCATAGCTAATTTTCTTTGCATCCTTGATGAATTATTACTCAAGCTGAAACGCATACCTAACATTTATTTAACTGGAGACATTAATATTGATATTAGCAGCCAAAACAGGGACCCCAAATCTGATGAGTACCTAGACCTACTTTAGATGTAATAACACTCCGCTGAATTCATTTATCGTCGCGTATTTACAGTCGCTAAAAAATACTAATTCGACAGGTTGGGATGGCATTTCATCAAATTTCTTAAAAAAAATGTTCACTTCATTACTGCACCTCTGGTGCGTACATTGAATTTGTGTCTATCTAATGGTAGATTTCCTGACGTCCTAAAAGACTCCATTATAATACCAGTATACAAGTCTGGTGAAAAAGACAGTATCACTAATTATCGACCGATTTCACTTCTGCCAACGTTGGCTAAAGTCTTGGAAAAAATTATCAACAAGAGATTAGTTACCTAGAAAATAACAAGATCCTATTTACAAATCAATACGGCTTTAGAGATCATAAATCTACCTCGGACGCTATTGAAGAGCTAGTTACAAATATGGCGCAAAATCTAGACTGTAGAAAAATATGTATTGGTGCGTTCCTTGATTTAAGTAATGCTTTTGATACGATATCAATTTCTAATAAAATAATACAAGTATGTAAATAAAGACACGTTTCGTGATTGTTATTTGTACGGGTGATTTAATTTTGATCCGAATTTATGTGTGAGTATGTATAGTGAGTATTGTGAGCAAGCATAATGGTGCACAAATATTTTATGTAAGTGCTTGAATATGTATGTATGCGATTATATATGTATGCGTATGGACAAATAGAATTGTGTATAAATAGTGGTGTTATACATAGTAAAAATATGTGTGTATATAAATAGATATTTATTTAGTATACCTAGGTATGTGTAGGTGTGTGTGCTTATAAATGTATTATATTCACATAATAACTTTTGTGGGCTACAAAATAATATCTGAGAAGAATTTAGCTTGCCGTAACAGTCTTATGACTAGCACGGGAGGTAAAGACTTTACGAAAAAAAAAAAAATTATTTAAATATATATATATGTACTGTTCCTATAGCAATAAAATAAAACCCTATCTAAATTTTGTTTAATAGTTTGTGTAACATAATCTTTTTACACTTGCCACATTTTTTTTTCTTTTCTAATCACTGTTACTGTTTTTTATGTTTTTTGTTGTTTCTCCTTGTTATTGTGCTATTGGCCCAACTAACTAAAGTATTTGTTAAGATGGATTGGTGTAAATTATTTATCTCTATTGACGTATGGCATTAATTTACTTCATGTGCATGTTCTTAGTATAAGTTTTTGCTAATTGTATATGGTAAGAATTCTGTATTCCGAACTTGTGTATCATGAATCTGAGATAATTCCGTGCACTAATCCATTTCGTAGTTGTAAGTTGTCTAAGTATAGTCGATTTCTTCAGTGGTTTACCTATGCGTATCACGTAGTCATTTTATTTATGTCTGTGATATGTTTGGGTTTTACATATGTCATTTTTTGTACTTTTTAATAAATTTATTTTATCTTATCTTATCATAGATTAATTACACACAGACACAGAAAAAATCATAGTGCCCATCACACAATTATTTATCCTGAGTGGGCATCGAACCCACGATCTCCGGCTTAGCAGTCAGGATCACTAACCACTAGACCAAGAGGCCCGTCAATGCCGCGCCAATGTCGCGACATTGACACGGATGTTCTACACAATACATGTTAGATACCTTCCTTTCAGATTACACTTTGTTTACAGAACTGCTCCAGTAAACTGACATTGATACCATTTATGCAACAGAAATAAATATCATTTATCATTTAACAAATGAATTACATGTTTACAAAGTCACAAATTTTAATGAAACAAAATCTCATACGATGTTGTATTTCAATATTTATTTATTACCTAATTTATGTATCTAACATGTGATGGCAGTAATCTTAAAGCGTGCTTTTTAGAAATAAATAAAATGAAACTAAGTACAGGAATTCTTCGGGTCAGTGCCGAATTATTAAAGCGCGAATTCTATCAAGGGGCCCTTGGGTTGATTTAGGTTATCTAGTTTATGGTATTCATCATCAACATCATCATCATCATCAAAAGCATATAGTAGTCCACTGCTGGAAATACAGCCGGTAGGCTGAACTTTCAAGAAGCGGCGCGCCTCGCCATTAGTGGTGACCTTTTGTGGTCGGGCACATTGAGGCGCTAGGCTTATGGGTGGCCCTAGATAAGACGAAGGCCCTCTTATTTCGTGGGTTCCGTCGTGGTCTACCTCCGGCGCCTTAATCGGGTACCGGTTTAGGCCAGGATGAAGTGGGCCTGATACTTGACGAGAGATGGGCATTTCGCTAGCTTACTCCAAAACTGGTCGGTGCTGCATCTGCCCTTGGGCGACTTTTGCCCAATTCGAATGGACCCAATTGGATGGGGGTTGTCCGGTCAATGGCACTGTACGGTGCACCGGGGTCGACAGGGGTGGCGTGCGCGCATGCTGGAACCATCTCGTGGGATTTGGATACGGAAGTGCTCGCCAAAGTATCGGTGGTGATGAGGTTGCGTTTACATCACGTGTTCAATGGAAATAAATTGATTACCTACATATTAAATGGGACGTCAATTGACGTGTTCACTGAATTTGTCTCTAAGTTTGGGGTTTTTTAGCCTTAGTTTTAAATACCAAAACTTATCTGCTTACACTCGTATTATACTAACTTTCTCGTAAGTCTAGCTCGTAAGTGCCTGACGCAGCTTTCCTGGCGTGTATACTTTGTGCAAGGAATCCTAACTTATCCGAAGAAAATTTGCCGAAATCGTTATAACGTCAGGTAAATGATATGGAAGGTCCAGTGACAACCAATCGGGCCATTCGTCTCGGAGATCAGAAAAATAAAATAAAAACTTACATGAAATTTATTTTCGCTAACAAAATGCTTGATTTATGGCTTATAGATGTTTGGCAATGCTGTAGCTAGTATCAGGGCTATGTATATTATTTTATAGGTGAAAACTTTTATTTAACTTTCACTTATCAGTATTATATTAACTGTATTACTTGATGTAAGTTTTGTTGCATGAATCCAGTGAGATAGCGTGTCCACGTAATGTCTCACCCGACACTCGTCTGCTGTACACTTTGCGCACGTAATCACATCAAATATTTACAAGAGTTATGTTGATATATTTAGCAACGGTCCATGACAGCTTCCTTATGACAAACTACGTTATAATTTAAAAAGTTTTAAAACCATTAAGTGTATACCTACTCTATATCAGCGATTCCCCGCGGAACGTAAAGCATACTGTGGAAAAATCAACATGGTCCGTGACCTGGCTAACGTGTCGATGAGAATCACCGGTATGGCTCGCAGACTGCACCTCAATGTTTTTCTACGTGACCCTCAAATTAGCACAGGATAGGTACAAAGAAGAAACGGCAAATGTGACGGCAGGTAATCTACAAAACTGGAGGCCGTTGAGCCAAGTAGTTTAGATCTCGCTAAGAGGTAAGCAGGCTATCTAACAAATTCATGTAACGAACTTGTTGGAACTGAGATTAGAGAGTAGCAAACTGGTGTTTCTTAATACCAAAGCATGCACTCTACCGTAGTTTGGAATGAGATTTATCTGTAATACAAGAACGAAAAGAGTAAAGAAGAACAGAAAGTAAAAGGCTAGTAGTACGAGTCCGTAGACCGACTCTTTTTGGAGCGCTATTATCTCATAGTCCACATAACAAGAAATTTAAAAAAAAATTGGTCTGTTTTCACAATGAACTGTGCTATTACGGCAGCTTGAGCAGCAGCAGCAAGCTGCTGTTACGCGCTCGTTTGCAAACTTGACTGTGGAAACTAATTACTATTGAGGATGTTAATTTAGGAGCTCTAACATTCAACAAGTATAACTGTTAGGGCGTCCGCACAGCGATAGAGGTTTTTATTTGCGCGGAAACCGCCACCGTGTCGCGGTAAATTTGCATTAAATCAGTTTTCTTTTGTCCCTGAACTATTCGGGTGTTTGAATAGTTACATTTTAGTTTCTGACAGTATGCGGTATTTATTTTAAAAAATCTGTAAATTGTTCTGTTTACACATTGTGTAACATTTTTAACCAAAAGAAAAAAAAAATTACACTATTTTAGTATTCGTTACACCGTCCCTTACACCCGAATTTTGCGATTTTTTTATAGTATTTGCATACACAAGTGTTTCCGCAGTCTTGATGTACAAAGTAGCTCGCCGCCAACTCTCATTGGGAAATATAATCATTTTAATACGGGAGAGGAATAAGAGTACGAAGTAGAGATAACGGATAGCGCGAGAGGTGAAGATATAGCGGACTGCAGGTCTGGGGTGAGAACCGGGACTGAGACCGCGCCTACAAGAGGCTGGAGACACGCACTCGTCTGGTCGTCCTGTAATTGGAGAGGCTGCTAGGACACGGACACAAACTATGGTGAAGCTGACGGATCTGTGGGGCGTAATTCCTTCATTAAAATGGAAGATTACCTGCTCTTCGTACTGAGCATAGCATTCATTTTTAGCAAGAAAATAAAGTTTTGATGATGGTTTGTGAATAATACAACAGTCTCATCAATATACCATATATTTATTAAAATGTCGTACCTATACAACACAGCCGCACACCGCACACGTATGTACTCGTATAGAGTAAATGCACCGCAGCCACCGAGCGTCACCGCCTCCGCCAACGTTACCAACATTTAAATACATCATTTAGTTATACACACATGTGTGTACGGCACATAATTTACAATATAAACACTGTCTAATCTCAGGTACTTACGCTAAATTTCCGTCTTACGATATATTAGTGCTAGGAGTTAAACATATTTACAAACGTAACGAGTGCCCCGCACCTCTTCCCGCCATACACCCCCCTACTGAACAGACACCGATTATAATTAATTGATTATACGAGTAAAGAATAAAACTTAACAACACAAAACAAATATACTAACTTTTTAAACAGATTAGGAATTATATTTTGTTTTGAAATTTTATCTTTGATCGGCCGACGGCAAACTTAACAACTTTTACTTAGAACTAGGGGTTTCAGTTACAGAATCTTGTTGGAATTGATTCTATCAGCGCACAGACGTGAGAGCGAGAGCCGGGCGTGCGTGACGTCACGCGCCACGCGCCACACGCGGCCCGCGCCACTACACTTGAGCAACACTTCCCTGTCATAATATTAATAATTGCACTAAAATACTTATACTATCTTTGTTCGGGAGAAAAGAAAACAGAACGGGAGAAGTGTTGCCAGTCGATGGTGGACGAGTGGTAGTTAGTGACGCTTACATAAGGAGGAGGAGGGGAGGGGTTATTTTATCTTCTTCACGATGAGGTCTATCTGCTCGTCGACGCGTGGACTCGTGCCTCTGTAACAACGCAGGAGAACGCTCAAATATTTGGATCGTTCACTCATTACAAGGTGTCTCACACTGAACGAAGAGTTTAGTTCTGCGGCCTGCAAATAACTAGAGACGTCTATTTACAGCTTTAAGAAACGGCAGTCCTGTCACTCTGTGTACAAATGATTAAACGGAGCCCCGAGCGGGGTCCCCGGTCGCACCTGAAGGCCTGCGGGTCGGGCCCCACCATGGCCACGAGCTGCGGCACGTCGGCGGAGTGCGCCACGAAGCGCGCCAGGGCCTTGACGGAGCGGAACAGGTGCTCCTCGCTCGGCGCCCACTGCAGCAGCTGCAGCAGCGCCATCGCCAGCTCCACGCACACCTCGTCGAACACCTGCGCCATACCGCCCGTGAGAAACGTTCGCGTGGATCCTAGAAACTTATTCCTATGTGTTTTTAGTCGGTTCGTTGATGAATCACCCCACCGAAACACACGCGGGATGACCGCTCGAGGGGGTCGCCCCGCGCACTAGAGACTCGTTTGTCGCCGTATGTCGTATGTCATGGCTACGACGTATTCATAGAGTTAGTTATCTCTACATAGACCACGTAAGAGCTGTGAACCATGATACTGAACGTATTGTAGGAGTAGGTCACCGCTTCGAAGTGAGCACGTTGTCTTGCCTTAAAATGTAACGCAAATATTACTTGTGAGGACTGATCTTCATTATATCTGATTAATTTAATTATCTTATTGTTTAATGTGTCGGTTGGGCTTTTGTCTTTTTAATGTAATTAACAATAAGTCTTGTTATATTAAATATGTATTACAAAGTAACAATACGCAGTAACAGATGTGCAAATAGCTCAATATAAAACTAGTATAAATTACATGTAATAGACGTGAGATAGAACATCTCTTTACGTGTAAGTGAACGGTGTGTTTGTGTGTGTGTATGTGTGTGTGTGTGTGTATGTGTGTGTGTGTGTATGTATGTGTGTGTGTGTGGGTATTTAATTGATGAACAAAAACTTGACTAGTACAAAGTACTATATATAATAATAAGTATGCATTTAATTCCCTCTTTATACCAATGTAAAGGAGGTAACTAAACGCTTACGTATAGTATTTTTTACCAGTAAAGTTTTCTTCTTGTACACAACATTGGTTGTATGCAAAAAGATTAAATGTATAAATAAATAGATAAAATGTATATTGCGTACTGTTATTGAATAGTGTTTATGGTAAGGAACAGGGAAACCCGGCGCGGAGCAGCGCAAACACACAACATGTTTTCATCACACTTCGTACGGCGCATTTCGTCTACTCTTGTGACATAGCACCGGTGGATGTGCGTGCGTAAGATAACAGTTCAAATGTTTTCAACAAATATGTAAGTCGTCACAGTGGTCTCACGAGTCACTACACAAAACATTGGTTCGTTGTAAATAAAAGATTAATGTTCTATTTTTATACGCTCAGTAACTTTGGAATGTTCGAAACGCTTTCATCTGAGCCTTGTTTTTGTTAGCGCAACGAACCTTGACCCTCAACTGATGATAATTTGTTAATTAAATTAACACTTTATTTCCAATTAATATTCAATTTACAGATTCACAAAAAACAAGATAATTTAACAACTCGCAATTTATATCGAATCTTCACAGCCTCACAGGTATAACAAAAAGGCTCAAATTTAAGAGGCTTTATGTGTAGCCCCCAAATACTTAGTTGTTTAAGTTAAAAAACAGGAATGCTGTTTTTTTTGTTAGATGCATATGTAATCTAAACAATATAATTAATATTAATTCTCATGTTAATTTAAATGATATTTTTGAACACACCGTCAGAATCCTTGTCATCCTTCTCACATCCCGTATCTCAATTTCCAGCCTCTGAATGATCATAAAATAGAGAGCGCTATTGTAAGTATACTGTCTGATTTACAACTCTATTAATATGACCATAATTATCTTTCTCGAACATCCGATACATTACTATGTTACTATGCTTTTTATATACTTCAACATATATGTGTAAGTACCGAAAGTAACAGATGAATAATGACATAAATAATATATAGTTTTTTTCTTAGACAACTCCCGCACTAGGAATATATCCTGTGTCGCGGGGGACTTTACAAACATACATAAAGCGGACAAAAAAAACACCCAGGCTCAGAACAACAATTTGTTGATCGCACAAAGTGTCGTCCCATATGGGGATCGAACCCACAATACTCAGCGTAGTAGTAAGAGGTGTGGCGACCGCTTAAACCACTACGCCATACGTGCCGTCAAATTTAATACATAATTTGTTTAAATAAAATGTTACGTTCGCATGCTATTTTCGTGGATAAATTAAACCTTTAATACCACAATGTGTACAACCCCATTTATAGAAATAATATAATTTGAATTTGAACAGGGTAAAGCACACCCAGTATAAATCATGACCTATCATGAAACCGATTCTTTTTACAATGAATTCAAATTATACCTGTCGCTATATAAAACAAAAATTTACAGTCTAAATTTGACCACCATGCCATCTTTAATTTAATTTAATTACGTAACTGTTTTAAAGTCAAGTCTAACTTATTCCTTTTTTTTTATGTTAGAGGGGGCAGACGAGCAGACGGGTCACCTGATGGATAGTGACCATCGCCGCCCATGAACGTCTGCAACTCAGGAGTCACAGACAGCTGGCCTTTTAGGAAGGAGTACGCTCTTTTCTTGAAGGTTTGAACGTTCAACGTAATGTAACGTAACGTAACGGTCTGTAAATACCGCAGACGAGAACCCGTTCCACAGATCGGTTGTGCGGGACTATAAGTGTCTCGAAAAGCACACAGTAGTGGAGCGCCAACTATCCAGGTGATGAGGATGAAAACTTTGCCGTGTGGAACGATGGCGGAAAGTTACGGCTGGTATTAGTCCGAACAATTTCTCGGAACACTCTCCATGATATATGCGATAGAGAATGCAGAGTGAAGTTGAAAAACAAAGTTGATTCATCAAAATAATAAATGGTACGATCGCTATACAAACTTCGATGGGTCGTTCCACCACCAAAGTAAGCATTATGTTTGGTTAACGTTCAGTATTTATCTTGTCATTTAAGACTGAAAATAAAATAAGCGAATAGATTTGTGTCTTAAGGAAAGGAACACATTTCCGTTGTAAAACAAACAACACGGTCACACCACGTACGAGTGTTCCGCGAATACAGTAATGTGTGTGCCAGAACAACAAAAAAATGGACTATTTTGTCACCGGCACATGTAAATATTAAGATAGGTATTGTTTAAACTCGAAAAAACTGATACTGCTGACAGGGCAAACACATTCGCAGTCTCCTGCAACAGCAGCGAGCCGCGTCTCCGCTGACATTGGTGCACAAACATTACGTCGCTGTGTTTGCGATCGTCTCACCGGTGGCAAGGCAAATACGCTGCTCAACATTATTTGGAAAGGGATTTTATTAAACTCGTTTTGTTTTTCATTTTCCTGCATTTTCTTTTCACTAAAGTCTTGTTTAAATTACGTTACTCTTTTTGGTCCGCTGTTTGGCGTCAGTAAATCTTAAGTTTTATCGATACTCAGAAGAGGAATATGAGTTTAGTGCTAAACGTTAACAAATTCATAAAACTTGTTCTCTATCTATAATATACGTACATTAAGATGCTTTCATCCATACTTATATAATAAATACGAAAGTGCGTTTGTTTGTTTGTTTGTAACACTTCCACGCCTAAACACTAAACCGATTTCTTTTACCAGTGAAAAACTACATTATCAGAGAGTCACATAGGCTATTCTTACATAGAGACGGTTATCACGGTAAAGCTATAATAAACAATACATGCAGCTTCTTATAAAATTTCATGCATAAAAATAATGATTAATAATGTGGTAGTGAATTCTAGGGACTAACATTGTATAAGAGGGCTAATAAAGAAGACTGCCCTCAATTCAACTATTCCTTTGAAGTTGTATCTGCGACATTTGTCCACCGATCAAACAATTGTTTCAATATCTAACTTGGGTGTGCTCGAGATCGGTCATATAATAAATAGTAACGGATAAAGAATACAGCTTGTTAGAATATATCATGGTTTTAATGCAATAATGAAAAAAAATGTGTCAATATGAACAGTGTTAAGACAGCGCTTCGAAATTATTTATCTTCTATATTTGCAATTATAAAAGCTACGATATACTGTTTGATACTTGAACACAATTAAGTAAATGTATTGGAGGTAGGCAGAGGGGAGATCCACGTGATAATTACACGGTCGTAAATTAAACGGAGGCACTGGTCGAGTTGGACGTGACTATGTCGGTACAGTTGCTATGTGAACTAGAATTACATGCGCTTGGGTAAGTGTTACATTTACATAAATAAATATGGATGCACAGAAATAATAATGATATTATGTTCCTCAGTCCGGTTACCGCGGCAAATCACAATGAAATTAGCCAAGATATTTAGACATTACCGTTTAGCCAAGACAAGAATGTAAAGTTGTGCAGTCTATATTCTCCCAACATTTAAAGAGAGATAGAGCAGATGTGCAACCCAACTCAAGGAAGTATAGCGATCAAACCACAGACAGGTTCTAAATGGAAAAAAATCACCATTAGATGGACGTGGCAGAGAAATAGCGCCAAGTGGTTTTGGCTTCCTAAAGTCAAGTGATAGAGGGTTCTCCGATTACGATCATCATCATGGTAACGATGATGTGACAACATCAAGACTATAGTTAAACCGCCGTAAGCTTGGCCCTCCTGATGGTTTGCGGGACGCGGGGCGGGTGATGCGCTCGGCTATACATGACACGATGTACTAACTCGATATTATCAGATTTATTTGTTTGAGATTTAATCTACACACGATGTAATAAAAATCGAATTTATTTCCATGTATTATAAAGTCAGTGTATTGTAAGTTTTTATGATTAATTGTAAAATTTAATATTGTAAAAGAATTTTAATAAAATCACCTTATCTTCATCATGTAAATTATATTCAGATACAATTTCAAAATTAAGTAAAATAATAAATATTCTTTATTAGAACTTTAACAGTAGAACCTCTGTAAGCCGAACTTCAAGTTTTTAAATCTTTTTGTGACGCAGAGTCGGCAGATTATCTATGTTGCCAAATAATACCGTGTGTAGCAGTCTTAAGAAAAATAACACGTACAGCCATGCTTTCACGTCAGTCACTGCCGGCGGACAGCGACGCACTAGCTAATTGGTTGAATGCACCCCCGCCCCGCGTCCCCCAAACCATCAGGAGGGCCAAGCTTACGGCGGTTTAACTATAATTCGCAGATTCGAACGAAGGAGAGAGACAGTCTGACATTACTTATGTTCCAATAAATCAGTATAATATTACTAGATGAGGCTTAAGGTTTGAAGCTTTTAGGTTTGAATTGATTCTATTTATTGTTCCTTTAGTGTGGCATGCCAATAACACGGTGTCGAAGCTGTGAGCTGTGGGTGAGAGAGGGTTGCGTCAGTGCGTACGGTACCTTAGACTTGGCGCCTTTGGGCAGCAGGTCTCGCAGCGCCTTGCCCAGCTGGAAGCGCTGCAACACACGCACAGCGCTGCAGCCGCGAGTAGCGCACAACCACACCGACCTACCGCACACACACGCACACGCACAGCGCGTACGAGGGCCTACTTCTATATACGACATTCAACGATGAAGCATTAGCTCAAGTGTGATGCTCTGTGACATTAACGTGTAAACGTGTTGTTGTGCAAGTGATACACAACAAGAGCATAAAAGAAAATGGTAATTAACTCCGTTTGTTTTTCACTAATCTCATGTTTAATATTCAAATTCCATTCGAAAGCTATCAACTGCGGATATATAATCTCATGTTTAATATTCAAATTCAAACATCATTTAATAAAACATCATATGTTTGAAAGTCGAATAGCTAAGCAAAATAAATAAATACAATAAACTTCATTGACGCAAACTTCCATAGACTACATGGTTAAATTTCTTTAAAATTTATCGATAACGTTTAACGTCCGTGGATTTGTTTGCCACTTCAATAGTATAAAACGTATTATTATAATGTTGTTTCTTTAGGTATTAAAAGATAAAGTAACAAAATATAACTAACTGTAAAGGTTTCTTCGATGTCCCTTGACTAGGTATTTATAAACAGACGTTATCGGTGTTGTTGTGCAATACAAATATTATATAGGTACATATTTACATGTAAATAATACAAAACATAAACATGTTAAAATTATGAATTTAAAGCTTATCATGCGGTGAGCGAGGTGAGGGCGGGCCGCGTGACTGGAGATTCCCCTTGGTACGTATTTTTAATTCTCTACGTATACGTGCGAGCTCGTGCACGTATACGCTCCGAGTGACAGCACACTACAGGCACTACACTTACTTACATAATGAGGAACTTAATTTCTGGAATGTTCCAGAAGGGTTAGAAACTAGGAACAGTGATGTTTGGTTACATTTAGTGCAAATAAAACAGAAATTACGCAAATGAAATATGGCATACGAAATTAGAAGACGAGTATAAGTTTACCACCATCGGTGGCTAATGTTAGTAGTCCACAAATTCTGTATAGGGTTATTTGATGCCTGAAAACTCACAGCAAACAGGTCAGTGCTGGCACACGTTCACCTTGGCAATTTACCTATCGTCATTGAGGATTTATTTGTAACGCATATCACAATATACATACACATCCAATCTTAAGTTGTTGCTCAAAAATAAACATTAAATTAAAATGCCCCCCTATATCATTAAAAAACTAAAAACTTTAAAAAGAAAATCTGTCGGGATTAAACGTTGGATATAATAGTTTGCATATTTTGTTTAATCTATACAAATAAATATAATTGAAATGTCTGTTTGTAATGTCAAAATAATAGGTTTATTTCATGCTTACACGGTTATTTGTCCCAAAACCAGTTCAAATATTTTTTGTCTATCTGTCTGTGTGTATGTCTGTCTGTCTGTTTGTTCCGGGTAATCTTCAAAACGGTTGGACCGATTTTGATAATATTTTACTACCAAGTAGCTGTGTCTATATAAGGAGTAACTTAGGCTATTTATTCTCTCAGTAAAACCCTATGAAATTTTGCCTGGTCCGGGAATCGAACTCACTAAGGCAGCGCTTTTCAAATTCTACGTGAACGAAGTCGCGGACACCAGCTAGTATTTAAATGTGACTTTGGTGACAATAGTATTTGCCGATATATTTACTTTACTTTCTTTTTTATTCGATTTATTAATATATCTTTTTTTCTCTTCGTTGCCTTTTTACCTTTTAGTCCATAAAACTTACAAACTGGCACACACCAAAACAATGTTATGTATTTAATGATGCTATTGTTTGTATCTGTTGATTACAAAAGAGTGGCCATGAGTTTGTTTGCCCTATTGTCTCATAAGGCTCAACCCCTTGGAAATGGGCGGTTGTAGATCGGCACAGGCAGATTAGAGATTTGGATACGTATATATTTATTTTGCTAAATATTTGACAAAACAGAGATTGTTTCTAATGTGTGTGTTGATCTAAGACTTTACAGTCTACACAAGAGACGATTTCAGTTTTTTTTTTATGAAATAAAGATATTTTGCGTTGAGTTGAGAAGGTTATATAGTATTATTTTCTTAATAAGTACCGCTAAAAGTCTTATTTATTTCACAATTCCGTGACAAATGCGATCAAGAGGAAAGTTTAAATTACGATTACGCAATGAAGAGCGTAAATGTCGCCATAAAGTAGTCGGATATTGTGATGTGTTACGTACGTGTTAGTGACGAGTGTAAATATCATATACGGACAGGCATCATAAATATTTTACGTCAAGGCGTATAATTCGTGCCTAACATACTAATATTATTTTATATTAATGTAATTATGTGAAGTATCTGCTCTGATGTTGTTGAATTCGTTTCCGTTCGTGATGTATTTAGTATACTGGTAAAATAATTCGAGTTTTTACTATGTTTCTAATAGATAAAATTGATTTTATGTAAATGCCTAATTTATTATTTATCGTAAAATAAACTATATCATAGGATTTTCAATTTTGTAAGAAAAAATCTAAAAATGTATCCAAACCCTATACCAAACCGTCTGGCCAGCGTGGTGTAGTAGGCTAATATTATTAAAGGCTGTTGATGTGATATGTGATGAAGAAAAAATCTTCAGAATGCGCAGAGTATCTTAAGACCTCCGATTTTTTACAGCGTCATTCAGGAGAATGTGGTTATGGAGTATACGACATTTAGTGGACAGAGACGGCTGCTCTTGCTTACAGTAGGAGAGTGACAGTATCTATACGTGTGTAGGTAGAGAACGTAGCACATAGACAAGTAAAGCAAACGAAACGGATACAGACCACGGTCTTTACCTCCTTGGTGGCAATGTTGTGCATGAGCGCCGTGCCCAGCTCCCGCAGCTCGCCGTCCTGGCTCAGCGCGCTGTGCACGCACACCTGCACGAACACGGCACGGTCAGTAGGGTCGTAGTAGTGGCGTGGGGCCGCGGGGCCTCGCACCGGTGAGTCAGTACCTTGGTGGTGGCGCGGATGTTGGAGAGCGGCTGGCCGTTGTGCTCCCACTCGCTGATGTACAGCAACCACTCCGACGACGAGATGTTCTCGAACAAGTTGCACATCTGTACACGCATCGCACGAACATTAGTTTTAGTTTTTGACCTGTCTCGTACTACTCACCGACGACTGGCTTCGTTCCGTTATTGACTTTACGCAGCTACGATAACGGTAGGGATGATCAGTTATAGTTTTTTTATATTTATCGGCTAGAACAAAATTCATAGAGCAGACACAAAATCAGATCACAAATATGATTATAATTCGGAATGCTACTTTAAAGCTCGTCACTTTCTCTGGTTGTATATATGGGTGGTACTCACGAAGAGCGCGAGCGCCTGCTGCTCGTGCAGGGGCAGCGCGTCGACGGCGTGCGCGTAGTTGAGCAGCGCGTGGTGGCGGCGGTCCTGGTGCAGCACCAGCGACACGTCGTCCCTCAGCGCGCACGCGCTCAGCGCCCGCAGCGTGTGCACGCGCACGTCCGACGCCAGCGACGGGTCGTTCAGCAGCCGCCCTACGCACGCACGCACCTTATACACCGTATACTAATAACACACTTCTAAACTGCTTCTATATAGCGAATAACGAATAAAAAATTTCGTACGATGTTACATTCGTTCCATTAAATTTAATAAAAAAAATTATCAACCGTGTGGAAACGGAGTAAGAATACGAAGTATCACCACCACTATTCGACTCGAGGGAATCGTAAGAGCCGACTTCGGCACTCCAAAGAGAAGAAAAACTTGAAACATACACTATACCGACCCATCTCGTGGTATAATATGCCAAAACCTCCTTTTTCTAAGGAGAGGACTATGTCCAGCAGTGGACTATTTACGAGAGCCATGCTTCGACGCAAATGGCCGGCTCGACCGGAGTATATCAAGGCCTCATAAAAAACTTTTCCGTTACTTTTCATCGAGTGTTACCGGAGCCCTAACCCAAGGGGAGTTTGGGCTCCGGTAACACTCGATGAAAATCGGACCTGATTCTAGAGGAAAGAATCAAAAGGCAGGTGCCCATGAGCGGCGGTACTCACTCACCATCAGGTGCCCGTCTGCTCGTTTATCCGCCCTCTGTACCATAAATCAATACCTATTTAAACGCACACAGTTCTTCATTTTCTGCATCAATCAAAGATAAAACAGTCAATATTAACAATAAAAAATCGGGCCACTTTGTAGACCGCCTGTCTGTAAAAACTCGCTTCACAGTAACGCGATAAAAATTACAAGATCTTTTCATACGGGTAAATTACTAATCACACTAGATCAGATAATTTTCAAGAATTTTCCATTGTTTAAATATAAAATATTGCTATAAAAAGAACTTTAAAAAACTAGGATCTGTTGAACGAGACCAGTATTTGTCATCGTTAATCTAATGATCAGTCAAATAATAGAGGGTTTGTTGAGTTTATGAACTACTTGAATGTGCATTTAAGTTTCTTCGTTTAGTATATAAATATGCTGTGTGATGTTATATTACAACGCCCATAAAACTGCAACATAAACAACTCAGTCATCGCTCTGGTATGTCTTGGCTCAGGATATTATCACAACATGTTATTTCCTATTTATTAAAGTAGTATTAGCCTTATTTCGATTCTTCGTTTAGTTTTGAAAGAATTACAAAAAGGGATATTCACATTTTTTTTAAATATTAAACAGGATTCAATTGCACAGTCGTGAAGCAGACGCATCAATAATCAGTAGATACGTACCAATGAACGCGAGGAAGTCATCTCCTAGCACCCAACTGCCTTCGCCTTGGACCAGGTACTGCTGGAGCTCGTCCAAGTTCTGCCGTTCCTCCGGCGTCAGTTCCACGTTCTCCAGTAATTTTGCTAGTTTTTCAAACTCGCTGACGCCCTGCAATTGATAATTTAGGCAAATTAGCTGTATATGAAATATTCCTTGAAGTAACTGATAAAATGTACAAAACGCATTACGGACTGCGAATTATTGATTTAAATTTAAACTATTTTCTCGTCAGATATTTGATATTTAACAATAAACAATATCTTAAATAAATAAATAACATAATGTTTCACATTATATTATTGTTTAAAGACGCTCTAGGTCCCTGTACTTTTGTACGAACATACAAAGTACACCTACACACAAAACAATTATTATCTGAGAGACAATAACATTAGAGAAATCATGGAATCGAACCCGCAGTATATGGCGAAGTGCCAGTAATTTAGAAAATCTGATAGATAAAGTGCGCTTTCCGTGCAGTCAATAATTGTCCAAAATTATTCTAGAAAATATACTGCATATCATGGCCACCTAACTAAGCCCTACTGTCATCGCGAAGGGTGCAATTTAACTCGGTCGACATCACATCGTTCGCATTGTATGAATTCTTTATTTATATGCAACTATTTGTGTTTGTAAATAAAAATTTGGCACCCAAGGCGACATGCAGATTTATAGCAATAATGGTGTAAATATAGTGTTTTTCCAGAGAGCACAGCAGCACCCACGTGTCTCGTGCGCGCGCGCGGGCCTCCCGAATCAATGATGTCACGCTCAACGTGGAACGTTCTGGACTCATGGCCCTGGACAGCACGGCTCACTTGCCAATATAGCACGTTTACAGTTCAGCTGTGCAACGCATGCCCCATCGCTGCATCTCTGACTCATCAACCAGCTAACATGATACCGGTACAAATAACACTTATTAAATTACATGTAGGTACTGACAGAATTAAAAGCAAAGACGCAAGTTGGATAAAGTACTAGGACGGCAAGACGAAGGCGACGGAAGAGTCCAATACTGTCTTTGAAAGAATGAAAGAAAGAAAGAAAGAAACATTCATTTGCAGAGAATACAGGTGGTACTAAATATTATAAAGGTGTATAATGTTCAAGCTATATTCTGCCTGTACTAGGCATGCAAATATTTTTATAGAGACTCAAAACATTAACTAATGATAACTATTAACTAATAAAATTAACAAAATGTCAAAAAATAAAATAAAAATATTACATAGAAATTATTAAATTTATTGAATTATTATATCTAATTTGGCAATTCACTACGTATTGCATGACTCATTGCGTTCTCTATAATGTTTAATGAAAGGAGCAGTGCTTGTCTTTCGTTTACCGTTAGATCGTGTTTAATGAAGTTCATATACTGAAATGAATATGTGCAAATACGCAGTTCTTGGACATTGATTATTTATAAATATTCACGTCACGCAAAATGGTTTGTGATAATAACACAAAGAAAATGTTAAATTCTCACAATATAAAAAAGAAATCACCTGAAGGATAATTTAACATTAAGACTATATTTATAACGGTCTAAATATAATTGTACTCGTAGTACACTTCATTATAGATTGCTTTTGCCCGCGTGTATGTCGGTTTTCGCGGTAAAAATTAGCCTCTGTTACTCGATGATAATGTAGCTTTCCATTAGTGAAAGATTTTTTTAAATCGATTCAGTGGTTTAAGCATGAAAACGTAAATAACAAACAAACTAACTTTCACATTTCTAATATAAGTATGGATAAACAAATTATGATCAAAATTATATTTAATGAAAATATGTTGTGTATGGTGTTGGATTGTAAACAAGTAGCCACGGGTTCAAATCCTACCCACTACACACCCACACGTTTAGCTGGAGATTTAACGAGATTATTAGTCAATTGAAAAACAAACAAAACTGCGTGTGTATAGTGTCAGGCGTGCTCAGCTGTATGTCGGGGCCACGATCCATTTCATTTATTTCTAGTTTTGTTGTTCTCCAGTGCATTGAAGTCGATGACGTGTTCTTAATATGAGACGCACAAAAACAATATCATATTGAAAATAGTCATCGATAAACTGTTTGGTTAAATCAGTACTCACATCTATATCAGTGTAGACAATAGGGGGATCTCGGCTGCGCTTGCGCAGCTCCTCCTGGCGGCGCTCGTCGGCCTCGACCGCAAGCGAGTCCGAGCTGGGGCCTGCCCGCGATAGCTCCTCCGGGCCCACTGCCGACGCTGTTTCAACTGCTTCTGCCATGTCTGCCGCACAACATAACACACGTGTTAGCGTAATTCGACATATGCTTTTACAATAACCTCCTTGCACTTTGTAGTGCTAAAACTCAATGTGACGCACCGTGCTTCGGCCCTTAGGTAAACTTAAAGGGTAACAAAGAAACTTAAATCAGTACGATTTATACAAGTTTTTGATATTTCAAAGGATAACACAAATTGGAGCACTAAAACAAGATGCAAATCGTGGAGTCGTACAACAATGTGCTGATTTCACAAGATCACAAAAATGTAGCGCGCGTGGCCGGCGCAAGGGGCCCGCACGGAAATAGCGTCGTTATAAATAGCGTAGCGGTGTGGTCGAGAGGGCGAAGGCGCACGTGCTCGACCCCCGGCGGTACGCACCTGGTGGTGGTGGTAGTGGTGGTGGTGGTGTGCTGGAGCAGGCGCTCGCGGCGAGAATGCCGCCGGCACCGCCGCGCCTGGCCCCGCGCCAGCCGCCTCCGCCACCGGTATATATTTATAATTAACGCTCGCCGATCGCCCACAGCCGAAAGTTTACATGTGAGCTTTCGTGTTGTAAACATGTGCGTTGCACTACTCATGAGTTGTCTACAGTCAACGTGATCAAAATAATCATTGAATTTTATTAAAAAATTATTTATGTATCTATACATTCCCAGGTTGCTTGGTGTCCCAAATACATTAGAATATGTATCATAACACAGCTGCTCCAATGTTGTTGTACGATCGTGATCGAGAGTTCCGCAGTTCGTGGTCGGGAAGTCATCGCTCCGAGCGAGTCCCGACCTAGTTGCGAAGCGTTCAGCTGACGTACAAATAGCGCGGTCGATCACTCGGTATTGATTTACATGTACTCGTCGCGTATCGTGTCGGTTAGATCGCCACACAATCACTTGTGAATCAGGAATTGTCAATAAAAACGTTTATCTATTATACGTACCGTCAGTTTTAGAACTAAACCAAAAGACTAACTAGTACTAAAACTTAGACGAGAATGTTTATTTGTTACGGTAGCAATACCTGTAAAGAATACTACTTGAGCTTTGTTAAATATTGCGCTGGTGAATTGCACGTTTAAATATATTCAGTGGTGTCTTTTATTTGTGTTTGTATTTGCGACATTTTTACTTCTTCTGTAGTAGACCTGTATTATTCAGTATTTATGGCTATGTCCGAAATATCTTTTAAATTTAAACGTTTTTCAGGCATGTCCCGGATCTAGAAGAAAACATGTCGAGGCAACTTAGTCATCACTGACCCTGCTTCTGAATACTGCTGCTGCTGAGCACTTACAATGTGCCTGTCTGTATAGATCCTCGCAGGAGTAAAATGCGATAAGAGTTTTATGGATTTTTCTCAAGTCTGTGTTCGGTATCTTGGAATCGTATATGCTGCCGTTTTATTGACAAACGAATCATAGGGTTTTAGCTCTCAGGTGTCTCCATTTGAAAATATTCAAACCTCGTCATCACCAATGGCTCAAGGTGTGGTTGTACGTTGCAATTGAACAGAATAAATCCACACAATTCTGGTGACAAATGGTCTTATTGCTAGGGACAATAGAGAACATTAGCGACTCTTGACCAGTAGGCGGCGGTAATTGTATCCTGACTAAATTCTAGTACATTTCACAGATAAAAAAACAAATGACAAAGAATAAACAAAAATTTTTTTCAAAAATACTCGGCTAGTATTTTTTCACAGTTAAAAGAAAAAGAAAATAATTGCAATAATAAAATAAATGCAATGAGCAAATAAAGGTTTTATTTTTATCTTAGAAAAGAGCCCGTTAAGTTTTTTATCGGTTTTTGATCATTTTAAATGCAATTAAAACATTTTAAAAATAAATCATTCTTATCGACGTCTCATTGCGAGTACAGATAGAACTTTGTTTTCTTGTTAGTTAAATTCCCTACAAAAAAATGACTTAGTTTTTTTTTTATATGAATTAATGAACTTAATATGTAAAGTTCGTCCAGTCGCCACCGCGCGTCAGGTGGCGCGTACGTAGGCACTACATAAGTTTTGAGATGCTCGAAATTTAAAAATGAAACACATCCGTGTCATACACTATGAAACCCTACCTCACCCATCTTTACTCCTTGTGACTTCTTTTTATTCCCCACCATAAAAGCTTAGATAAAAGGCAAGATTTTTTCAAGTGTCAAAGAAGCGGTGGCTGCCTACGAATTAGTTATTTTTGAGCCTTCGATTTCCAAGACTAGTTTAGGTGAATGGAAATTTGTATAGAGAGTGATGGAGAGTATTTTGAAAAGATATAATATTATGAAAATAATAATATAATATATTTTACTACATTCACACAACGCCATCTAGTCCCAAACTAAGCAGAACTTGTACTATGGGTACTAGACAACTGATATAAAACATACATACTTTTTTGTAAATACATACATATTATACATATAAACACCCAGACCAAATCAAATATTAAATGTTCATGCACACAAATGTTTGACCTGAGCGGGAATCGAACCCGCGACCTTTGTAATAGCAGCCCGTTACACAAACCACTATGCCATCCAGTCGTCATAAAATGAATGAATTGTAAGTATATATTGTTTACTTTTAGCGTGTCGCAAAATTTATATAGCGACTTACGTAAGTAAGAGTGAGAGAGTGCACTCACCGTCGGCGGCGCCGTCCCCGTTCTCGCGCAGGTGCTTCTTGCGCTTCTTGTCGCGGCGGCGCTCCTTGCGCGCCAGCTTCTCCGCCAGCGTGCTGCGCCGCGCGCCCAGCTCCTGCGCCGCCGCCCTGACACATAGCCACTTCAACACCCGACCTCACGAGCTACACTTCTCATCGTAACCTCTACACCTCGTTCTAAACTTAAATATTCCGAGATAAAACTCTAAACGAGTATTTCTTGTTTTAACTAAGATTTAAGACTTCATAACAATATTATACGAAATTGTTGAAGTATAGATAGGAAAACGGATAGACGGATCGCAGTAATTCTAGCGAAATATCGTTTAAACTTGATTCTTTTTATAGAAATTCCGTGCCATCATTTTAAAATGTAACGAGAATAAGAGTTATGGTCGGAAAGCTCATGTTGAAATGTGATGCGTCACATTGCAAACTCAGCGTATACTGTTCTCTATTAACAGAAGTGGGTGACGGAACATACGCATGTCTCGCTTCTTTTGTCTCGAAACCCCGAGATGATTGTTGTAACTTGTCATGACTTGGCTAATATACGAATGTGTGATAAGTCTTTGGATAATCCTCTTTCGCGGACTCAAACGCCTTTCAGTAATCGTCGACGCTTTCTTCCATTTATTTGCCACATATTGATATGTTATTTAGCGCTACTACTTTTTGCAAATCGTACTTATTCACTGAGAATTTGCTACTGAGGGCCAAGTGCGAGTTTATTTCACTTATAATCGCTCGTCACGGTGACCGCGTGCAGCGCTACGATTGGCCCGCACTGAAATCACCAATCGTAAAGTTAAACGCGCTCGCCATCGAGATCGAGTCGATGTGAAATAAATTTGCACTCGGCCCGCTGAATATTATTACTGACTGATCGGCTTAGACGAGTTAAACAAACTTTGATTTTCATAATTACTTTGTTATGTTTAAGTGTATAATAGTCAAGCCGTTCATTATTTCCATTCAGATTTCATAAGATTACTCTGCTAGTTGGATTTAAATAACTACGCGTCAGTTCAAAAATCTTAGAAAAATCGGTTCACATAAGGTTCATTTAATATCAACGGTTTATGTAATACATAGTTCCCGAAGTCATCGGTTAAAGGGCGCCTGAGCATTTCGATTAACGTACGAAGACTACGCTTAGTTACAGCGGCAAGTACATATACTGATAATCGTTTACTTATGTGGCTATTTCGAAATTTACTTATTTTAAAACGAATGCATTTTTTTTTTTTTTATTTTGTCACGAGTGAGAAGTTTCAGAAAACGTTTAAAATTTGTTTAGTCTCGAGCGTGCAGTTTTTCACAAGTTAAGGCATCATAAGCAATTTTAACTAAACTTACCGTATCAATAGTGATCGGATGCAGACAACGTTTCCTAATGCTTATGAGCGTTACTCTACGCATCTATCTACTACATACGTATTCTCTCCTAATATCTAGCTAAAACGGAGAAAGTGAGTGAGCAAAAATGTGTATTCGGCAGTGAACGAAACAGAGGCGTATCAGAGCGGGCGGCGCGTGCGCGGGTCGTGGCGGCGCCACAGACGCAGCGCGCGCAGCGCCGCCGCCGCCAGCCCGGCCGCGCGGTGCAGCCCCGCCTGCAGCGCCTCGCTCCGCGCCTCGCCCCTACCGACCAAAAGTGCCCGTCACCGTGCTGCTGCCATACGCTTCACCTTAACGACACATAGGCTCGTAAAACTAGGCTTACGCTACTCGAATCGTTACGAAAAAAACTAAGTTTTGAGTATATACTGAATGAATAAAAAAAAACTCGATTTACGACAACGGTTAACTTATCGAGTGAATTAAACAAAACTAAGTCACGTCTCGATAGTACCGACACCGGCGTTCCGACATAATTATTGTTGAACTCTCTGCAGTATTGTGTATCCTAAGAGTCGAATCGATCGAACCCGTGAACCGGTCTGTAATATTATGTCAGAACATTTTCAATTATTTTATTAAAGTAAAATTAAAATGTCCGAAACTTCACCAAAACTGAAAACATGCGTTTTTTATGAAAGAGGGGACAGACATCAGCTGTACGCGGTTTGTATAATAATATATCAATTTATGAGACCTAAATGGAAAAATAACTTTTAGAAAATAAGGATGTAAAACATAACATTTAACGGTGTCTAACGGTATTACAATAAATACACTTTTTATTGTGGAAACTAGTGTTACCTAAAATCAGTTTCACTCTTGTCCTTGCATTTTCAAAAAACAATATTATTTTGATTTGTCTTCTCTATGAGTAATACAGAGTACCGTTTTAATATGTCTCCCACTTGTCTCAAGTTTTTTTTAGGTAACATAGTTGCCTACCAATAATTTCTTCCTCATACCCTGCTTCTACTGAGTTGCTAAGTAATTAGGAATTCTGTGTTCATTTGACCTACATATTGAAAGACCGATTCTTTTTCAGATCTCATGTATGATGAAATACGCGTTAGCCCTTAACGACTCCCAAATCTAAACAACTTGACTCCGTAATCTATCTGTATTTCTAGAGTGGAATTTCACACATTCTTAAATAGTTCACTGCTGGACATAAGCTCTCCTTAGAAAAGAGTCAAATCACACAGGAGGAATATCACACCATTGTGGCAGCTATAAAGACTGAGACAAAGAAAGAAAGTGCGAGACCAAGATTTCGTGATGTTCCTGCATTTGGGTAACACTTGTGTACTACGACTTTTGCGTACCGCCCTGATGAAAGCGCGTTTATGGATGAAAGAATTAAGTTTAAAAATAATAAGTGGCTGTTACCATTATTTTAAATAATTGTCAGTGCCCTAATATTTTTTCCACGTTTATGAGTTATTAGAACAGAAGTAGGTATGTGTGCAACGAATGTAAAGACAACGACGCATATAAGTAACTAGCTGACCCGCGCAACTTCGTCTGCGTCTTTCAATAGTAATAAATTTTCTCCGTTTTTGAAACATTCTTCATTGGTGCTCCGCTCCTATTGGTCTTAGCGTGATGATAAATAGCCTATAGCCTTCCTCGATAAATGGGCTATCTAACACTGAAAGAATTTTTCAAATCGGACCAGTAGTTCCTGAGATTAGCGCGTTCAAACAAACAAACAAACAAACAAACTCTTCAGCTTTATAATATTAGTATAGATTATTTAGATATACTAATAATCTGTTACGCGTTACTTCAAACCACATTACCATAACGTAACGGTAATGTGGTTTGTTGACAATGTAGTAGTGGGATGACAGAATAATGTGTAATAATGTAACAATGTGACAGTAATAACAATTGTAACCTCGGTACATCTACCCTACAACATTTCTACACCACCTAAAGGTTGGGTGGTAGAGAATGCTCAGGGTATAGTGTATGTAAGTTCCTTTATATTATTCAGTAAGTACCTATACTCCTTTACAACGAAGTCTCAACTGTCTCAAATTATTGCTTATGTTGTGTTTTGGAATTGCACTATGTATTTCTTTAAGTTTTATATTATTGTAATTGTGGAAGCTAAAGTGAACAGTTCTTTTTATTTATCCGGTTCAGAAGGAGGTTCATTAAGTCGACCGAAGTACATAAGTGCATGAAGATGTGAAATAAAATAAATCATAGATGTGAGTAGTGGGACGGAGCACGACTGACCTGGCCTCCTCGATCTGCGTGTTGAGCGTGAGGTAGTCGGGGCTGTCCTGGCGCTGCGCCCGCGCGCTCTCCGCAGAGTACATCGTCTGTGGGCCACACACACTACGTCATCACACCTTACACCCCACACACTGGTATCTAAACAATCCTGGACTGCACTTCGTTCTTTCTTAAATGTATACATGCTTCACATGTGCTTATTTTATTACTTACGTGGGAGTACGCTTTTTTGTTGAAAGTTTGAAGGTCGTATCAGCCTAAAAAAACACCGCAGACGATAATTTGTTCCACAGATTGGTTGAGCGCGGCAAAATGTGTCTTGAAAAGCGCACAGTGGTGGAGAAATATTAGAAAAGTATTCGTAATTTTTAATTTAGAGATGTAATGTTGAAAATTACAATGCAAGCTTAATCGTCATGTAGGTATGCTTCGGCAGATATGGGCCGGTTCGACCAAATTAAGCAACTCTATCGATAATAAGATTTAAAATATGCATTTTGACAGATGAGTGAGATCGAGGCTGTGAATAGCACAAAACGTGACAACGCGTGATTTGAACGAAACATAAAACAATTCCAATTTAAATTCACATCACATCACATCAACAGCCTATGATAGTCCACTGCTGGACATAGGCATCTCCTTAGGTTTTGGCCTACTATACCACGCTGGCCAGACGGGTTGGTATAGGGTTTGTTTTAAATTGTCCTTCTCTTTGCAGTGCTGTTGTCTTGCGTAGTTTTCTGCCTTAGACGACTCTTTTACGACACCCACGGGATGAATAGGGGTGGTAACATTACGTATTCTTAATCCGTCACCACATCAATTTAACTTAAACAATTTTATTATTAAGAATTTATAAGTTTCATGAATTTAATAAAACATAGTTCAGTTTAAATTTCTAGTAGTAATTTAAGCTATGGCGTGATTCTTTATTGCTGCGAGACCTCCTAAAACGGCTACGATCTATGATTTTTGTTATTTAAATTTTAGTATTGGTACTTTTTAATTGTAACAGAGGTACAGAGTAATCGATTGGTAAAGTAGCAGGGGACATTAGCTACAGATCGCCGTTGGCATAATTAAACAGTTTTCATATTAAACGGAACTGAACAAATGAATTCATATTTACTTTAGAAATAATAACAACAAATATTTTCTACTGTTCATGACTTCCAAAAGATATTCGTATAGTCAACTTATGAGACAGCGACTTTTACTTATTTTGTATCTGAAAATGAAGATAGTCGTTTAGAAAGAGAATACATGATATCTGTTTCATCTTTTCACTAACCCTATCTTTTTATGTCATAATATCTCGATGGCTATTAAATTCCATGAATTGGATATAAAGCTTAAAATTGATAGACACCCACTGCATTTTAACAGATTTAGGTAAATCGATGTGACGCTCACTGTAATTCACACTCAGTCATTCGTTCACTTCAAGTGTTCCGGTAACGTTGCAAATGTCGCAGATGAAATTTTGTATTTTTCTGAACATAACTCGTACATTTGGGACCGTACATCCGAAGGCTGAACATTTTTGGTGTCTGGGGATGTTTCGCCCTTGCTATTGCTATGGCTGAACAAATATATGTTTAAAATCGTTCCCTAAATAACATATATAACAATCAGACATTAGAATAGCAATACATTTTTGAGAGCTTTAAAGCGGCTGACTGAGCTTGAAAGCAGTTATAGCCGGCGGAAAGTGTCTAGCAGTGTTCAAGTACCTACTTTGAAATAACATTTTAATAACATATATAAGATCAATCATTAGAATTAATGTTAAGTTAGCCCTATTATTTACCTGTGAATTGGCCGTCTAATTAACTTAGCTCGTATGCTGGCGTTCACTGTACGCTCGCGATAAATCCAGTCCTATTTCTATAGCAATAAAACTAGTTGGACTTATGACATACTTCTATTAACGTATATCACACACATGCTCCATTTAAACGTTACTGGAGGCCCCACATTTTGCACTTTAGAAGATAATTTATACATATTTTTTAAGAAATAACGGATTTCGATCATAAATAGTAGGCCAAAAGCTCCTCTCTAAGGAGAGGCCTATTAAAGGCTGTTGATGATGATAACGACCGTAAATGCTTTTGTTATCTAAACCGATTATTCTCACTATCGATTTGTAGAACCCCAGCCCTAAATTATGACTGTCAATATGCACCTTTTAAAATACTTAATTCTAATTATTTAGAGCGTTGAGAGTTTGGCAGCAGACGAGTTAAGCATCAAGCGAGAAGTGCACGCACCCGGTCGGCTTGCGGCGCCAGGTTGTCGAGCAGCGACTGCAGCGCGGAGCGCGCGTGCGGCGCCAGCAGCTCGTCGGGCTGCGCCACGATGTGCTTGGGCACGCGCGCGCCGCACAGGAACTGCGCCACCTCGTCGCTGAAGTGGTTGCAGTTGTGCTCTAGCAGGTTGTACGCCGCCGGCCTGCGGTGACCGTTCATCCCACTTTACTTTTATACCAGAAAGATGTGAGTCACGCCACAGAATCCATTTCGAAGGCACTTACGCGTATGTGGTGGTGGCGAGCGCCTGTAAGTACTCGACGAACAGCTGGAAAGGCACGAACGTCTCGCCGAGGCGTTCAATGCGTAGGGGCTGGCCCAGCTGTGTACTGCCCTGCGAATCGAGAGCACCGCTGTTAATAACTAACTGACAAAACTACACAAATAATAAATGACTATAAAGAGAATGACTAACTTCAGCGCGACTTCAAGCCGTGATACGGAATAACCTGTATTCTGCGTCTATGTAATTTGCCACCCTTAAAGATTTTTTAAAGTATGGCAATAAATCTAATCTATATAATTTAAATAAATTATTTAAAATATAAATGTGTGATGTCTGTTCATCTAGTGGGTTTCGTAAGAGTCGACTACCCACGACATGTGGCTCTGTCTGTCTGGCAGTCTGTATCGCCAACCACTACACGAAAGCTTACTCGACCATATTTTGCCTGCCTACTTTTGTATAACTAAAACTAAATCACGCTTTAGGTGCATAAAAACTAATAAGTACATTCTTATTGCAAAAGCTTATCTATAATTATATTTTAAAAGATCCATCGAAGAAACTTTTGCATTGAAAATATAATCATATAATTGTGTAAGAAACTCCAAGTTCGTGTGTTCTAAAATCTGAGAAACATGCAGAATACTTTTATTAAAACAAAATAAACCGTAACGTAGTTTAAGTCCAATAAGTAACATAATGCGAAAATAAAACAGTCGAAACAACGGCCCAACCGTCGTGCACTCGGATACAAACACGCGAAAATAGAGATTGCGTTCTATTTATATCTGCCTAGTGATTCCCTATTAAGATTTGTGACTCTGTGGCGCGTAAATAAACCAATCGTACTTACGCATGTCCACACCCTATGTAACAATGTAAACGGCCGTAAGTAGAGTGTTTGATTATGTGTCAACAAATAAATGTGATCAAACACCAAGAATATCGGCGATGTGAACGACCTGGACCGTTCGAATTATTTACAGCTGATGTCTCTTTTATTGTTCGCGGCGTCCGCACAACCTACGATACGTCGTCCTGCCTAATATTTAACGTACCTACGCGTTTAATAGGGTGCGTGGCGTATATTGCAAGTGATTGAAGTTCCTGTGTCTTAACCTGAGGTGACCTTTATGACTCCAGAGAATTCCTATAGAGCACGGGGGTGAAACAAAAAATAAGCTGATCAAACCAGGCAGTAAGAGTGAGATTCCTGTATTCTCAGTAGAACCATCTAGTGTAGTATATGTGTAGTATTGCGAAATAAATGTGGAGCAGAACGAATGCGTCACTTCGGCGCAGGAATCACATTGTAAAAATACGGATGGTTCCTGTGCACTGAACATCACTTTGTCTGATTTTCTAATTAAGAATTACAGTTCACAGTTAAATTCGATTACCACCCAACACAAATAATTGTGTGACGATCACAATTTTTTTTTGCGATTCGTCTGACAGATTCACACCTGTCCGGTTTGTTTTATTTTTGTGCACTGTAATTCTTATTTAGAAAATGCAGCAGACTAAGTGATGTTCAGTGCACAGTGCAATCAGAGATTGTGGGTTCGATTACCACCCAACACAAATAATTGTGACCTCTGACTTAGCAATGAGGATCACTAACCACTGATTTTCGGATTATGTTTCTTGTCAAATTTGATGGTTCTCGATCAATGAAAAATACTTTTTAGATTTAGATCTGCCTTAAAATGTTCGATTTCGTAGTAAAATCTAACGCTTGAATTGCATCCAGCTGTGAATAACATCATTACACAAAATAGCTTTCGAGTGATGTGGGTCGATTCAATATGACCGCACAGCAGCTTCCGCGTTAAAGTGCAGAACGTGGTTGAGCAGGATGCGTGGGCGCACACGAGCCGCGATGACATCTCTTTCATGTGCCGTAGCGCAAGTTGGTTCTAAGAAAGAGCGCGTTGTTGGAGATGCAAAACGTTATGCACTCGATTATTGTCATTTTGGCGCAGCGCCGCGGACCAATATAGACACTATATTTACAATTTTACTGCGTATATGAACACCAGTTTAACTGGATCCGTGTGCCACGAAGCAATGGCCCGACGCAGGTGTCTAAAGGACTGGCACGTTTGGTTTATAGTGAAATATTTAAAGCATAATATCTAATAATAGACCAGGCAGAGAAATTGGATCGGGTCTTTTTATGAATTTATTAACATTTTTATTACTTTCTTTCATGATATACGACGAAATTAAGTAAATTTAACTTTTATGTGGGATTCCGTTCGCATATGATTGATGTATTTCAAAGTGGACATCTAATATTTCTATTTACACCTGTTCGTATTGTATACCATACTGCGACACACTCATGCGATGATCATGAAATTTTTGATACATTGCTAGTAGTTCAGACATGGCCTAACAGAACCATGAACGACGAACGAAGTTATCGGCTTTCAGCCACTAAACTAAAACTGTAAAGTAGAAAGCACTCGCAAACAGAATACTAGGTAATATCAGGTCTGCTTTAGTTTTCTATGAGAGAACATCCGTGTGATGGTATAACAATTCATCAGCACATCACTTCGTCGGTGGTGGTTTATAGTTACAACAATCAATATCAAGTCATGACAATTCTACGTAAGAGTATCCTCCTTCGAGCCTTTTTACCAAACTAGGTTGTAGTCGGCTTAAGTGTTATACGATACGGCTGAACTTGGTTTTTTCAGGGCTCAAACTGCCCGTAACGATTGTCTCAGATGTTCGTATCGCAACCGGGACCAGCGGCTTCACGTGCTATCCGAGGCAATACGTAAGAATATATTTACACGAATAACGTTTAAATATAAGGTTAATAATAAAAGGTAGTACAAATGTTTTGTAGTGTAATTTGCTGCAACGAAATGAAATCGCTTCAGTAATAAATATCCTAATGAGTAATTCCAACAGAAGATTTGTAATATTGAGGCAACATGAAATACTTTAAAAAAAATTGTGTGTCATTACTCTTTACGTGTACCACCACAGGAAATGATAGTAACGAAAAAACTTTGTTTATTTTAACGTTTTTGAGATGATGTATAGAGCATATCCATGTAGCACAGCTAGGTGTGGCTGACGTGCGCTTGCAACACCAATCCCCAGTGACATTAATATTTCGCACAAATAGATAGACGTCGTTAGCACAAATACTAATGACGTGCACAGGAGAGCGCAGACTCCAATAGATACTCGGACGACATTTATGTACCTTGCGATGTGCGTAATTTCCTTGAACAAAAAATTCCACACTATTTTAAAGCGTGATGTTTAAAAACACACTATATTATACCTACAAATGTGTCGTAAGAATAGATGGCGTGGGCGCCTGATATACAACCCATCATATCTACCGCGTAATCTTAAGATACCTATGCGAAAGAGCAAAATAGTTGCATTGCACCAAACAACCAAATATATTAATAATAACTTTACACATCTCACACACGAAACTCTGAATTCAAACTACGCGGAGCCTGTACTATGGTAACTAGATTGCTGATAAACATACTTAAATATTCCTAACTACATACATTTTATGGATAAATTACACTCAGACACAGAAAAACTGATCGTGCTCATCACACAATTATTTGTTTGGTAATCGAACCCATGACTTAAGAGCCAGGGTCATTAACAGGCCCGTCGATATACGCTTAGCGCAGGGACGCAGTGACCAGCAGACAAGCCACCACTGCTCACACCAGGTGTTGAGTAAAGTCCTGTTGGCTTGTGTGCGCCGGACACTTGCCAATTTATATGTCCACATGCAGATGTTGTTCTCTGTTCTCTTTTCTGCGTCGTTACGTTTTATTGCAAAGGAGCGCGTGGAGCCTTACAGACAACATCACACTTGAAATCATATGATAATAACAACTCGAGCTTTGACAGTCGTCAATTAAAGAACACAACATTTTTAATTCATCACTAAATGTTGTTTTTAAAACATCGAGCTTTGGGGCATTGTCAGAGACGCAAGAACCGTAGATGATGAGTGCATGTAATTTTAAACATAAGGTGGTTATAGCACTAACCGGGGAGCAGCTGGTGATGCCACCGCCGCCGTAGAAGAACTCTCTTTGGTAGGCGACGATAGCTGTGTGCCACACACCCTCAATCTGACGACCTGGAAAATGTACAACCGTATCCTAAGTTATTTTCATTTCAGCTCCTTTAAGTTTCCAGTGCAGTCTATAGTAATTTGATAAATGCAACAGTATGTCTACCTGACTGTCTGTTAACAATTCTCGCCTAAACATGGCCGATTAATTTTTGAAATATAGACGAAGCCTTGGCAAAGATCTACCTTTTATCGCAAAAATGAAGTTCAATGGGGATGCAAATTTGTATGGGAGATGGAGACGAAGTGGCGGGAACTAGCTGGGCAGTATCATCTTCAACAGCCTATACTAGTCTACTGCTGGACATAGGCCTCTCCTTAAAAAGGAGGTTTTGGCCCACTATACCACGCTGGCCAGACGGGTTGGTATAGGGTTTGCTTTTAGTGTCGTAAGAGCCGACTAAGGAGTAGGCTCTTACGACACCCACGGGATGAATTGGGGTGGTGACAATTTGTATTCTTAATCCGTCACCACACGGACAATAACTGGCTGGGCAGTAACTGCATATCATCTCATACTAATATTTTAAAATACAGGTATTACGTGAACATGTTAAAGGACCAGCCAAAAGGCGTTTACTAATTTTAACCTATAAAAACGTAACTATGTAGGCGTGTTTTATTTGTTAGTTAATAATATTGCTTTCGCGCTTGCAAACTACGAGATCAAAATATAAACGTTTTACTCGAGATTTTCACAGAATATTTATTTTGTATTTTGTAAGATTTAGTATTATGTTATCAACGGAATTAGATAATATATGCTGACAAAATTCATACAAAATATTGTATTCAACATTATCTTCTGGTCACTGCTTTGCCCGCGATAATTTAGTTATTTTTCTACGCCTATAAATAAAAACGGATGTTATTTCAGAATGAATTGTACTATAAGTTTAAGGTGTAATTATTGCGGACAATACTCGATTTACTTCCACATTAAAAAATCTTAGAAATCGATGAGTTCACTTCAAATACGGTAGAAAAATACAATTAAATTGTTTAATAGTACGGCAGATTTTCGAACCAGAATTATTTGTAAATTTTCTTTACTAATCTACTGTCTATAACAAATATTCATTATTATTAAAGGGTAACAATAAAAATATCAAGAGAGTAAGTACTGAAATATGTGTGATTGTTTTGATGCTATGTATAGATATGTAAGTGGAGCAACTACTAAGCCTTGAAACAAATCCGCTGTCGGGTCCAGGTGGCACGCGATAACTAGGTCATCAAATAACATACAATATTTATTCGAAATACATGGTACAGCAGTTTTTGTTCCAATTGAAGCGGCCTGAACTCGTGTTAAAGTGAGCGATACACTTGGCGTCGCGAGAGCTTCTAGACGACCGGTAACCGCTTGCTATTAGGCAGACGGCGAGGGAGATGCAATTGTGACATCACCTTGTATACTCTCGCGTTTCTTGATATATCATTAATACGGTCCCAAGCTGACTACTCGGCTGTCCAGGGATGCACAAATAGGTCAAAACAAAAAGATTTGGTGTCATCATAATGGCTAGAAAAACAGCCTTGCAATTGTGAGGAAGGGTATTTGTGTGTAAACTAAGTTGAGGGGTCAGCAGCAGTCAATACGTTTTTAAAGTCTGAAGTGTTTTATCCACCAGAACATGGCAAGCATTCCATACATCAACTTGCATTCAATATCCGTCTATGTAGAATATTAATGCTTTCTCTTGTAAGTAGTACAAATGTACCAACCTCAATAAGCATCCACACCATAAGACTTATGGTATGGATGCAAGTAAACAAACACTATGATCACTTACCCAGTATGGAGGGTGACAGCACAGATGCCAGGCCATTGGTCAAGTCGTAGATGTACAGTTCCACGACAGTACCCTGTTCAGATGCCATGGTTGTTGATTGCTGTCCACTAGTACTTGCTTCCACTGACAATGATAGACTGATTACTTTCAATTTATTTTACATAATAACTTAAAACAATAACATATTAACCTATTGGTTACAATTTACTTTTATTTAATTTCATTACATCCTTCAATGCACCAAAATTGTGATTAAATTATTAATTAAATTATACCAAAAGTTAAAATAAGTCACATTTTATTAAGCTATATTTATTCCATCACCTTATTTTCCATTTTCAGCATTTTTTTTCACACAAGTAAATGGGGTCAAACATTTGAATAAATGATTTTAAAAAAAATGGGATTTGATCAGAAATATCAAATGGTAACTAAAACAGAAAAAACTCAAATTTCAAATTACCTTTTTTTGCCTTTTTTTAAGAGGAATAGATTCACAATTCATTTTTTAAACTATTATAAATAAAAACTATCTGTTCCTAAGACATTAAATAAATGAAAATGAATAAAATTAAATGTAATTAATGATGTTTGGGGAAGAGGGTGTAGAAAAGCTAAAAGAATGTAAATAGTAATACATACATTTAAGGTGTTTTTGACATCCGTTATATATAGGTATATTATGATCTGCGTTTTGTTGTACCAGTGTGTCTAATAACGCAAATAACGGGGCTCGTGGAGCGATGCAGCGGCGCGACTCATACCTGTGCGGCACGGGCCGCGATCCTCACTCTACCGGTCATAATAATAAACTACCGTACACCGCACGCCGCGCTATAACTGACGATACACACTATTTATAAAGTAGATACTCCAGAACAACACCAATACCCATATTACCGGGTCGCCTACAGATTTCACTCCTTTCATTCATGTAAACACGTAAAAACTTAACATTTATACTGTGTTTCTGCAAACATAACAAGATAACTTATAACTGCTTACCTACCCTTTAAAGGTCTCGTGACAAAATTGTGTTAGAACGTATTCATGAAACTTGAACTTTTAACAAAACCATTATTTACAATTTAATAACATTTACATTTACAGATTTCATTGACTGCTGAACTGACTTGACAAAAACTGAGGATGACAAGACAGATTATCATATCAGCTGTTACGACTATTTTTGGCTATAGTTGTTTTTTTTTCTTGAAAGTGTGTGAACACCTTACTTACTTTATTTTTTTCCAATATACTTAGGTACGTAAATAATTTACATTTAACTAAGACTTCTAAAATAACATTAAGCAGCCAAAAACAAAATTCTCTAACAGTTATTACTCAAATTTCCTAACTCAAGAAATAGTTCCAAGACCTTACTATATTATGTAGGCCAAAATCGCCTTTCTAAAGAGAGGCCTATGTCCAGAGGTGGACTTTTAAAGCTTTTTGACTACGAATAATAATTTTATTCGTTGGTTATTGTTGATGATGTATCCCAACGCATGCACTGTCACTTTAAAAGAATGAGGAAGTAAATATATAATGTAATGTATTCTAAGGTCAAAGTTTTAAAATGACATGCAATTTTTGTATTCACACTAATATAAATACTCTTACTTACAATACAATACATACATAATACTACTTACTTAATACTTATTCAATTATTAGCATTATTTAACGTAGGCGATGATACGGAAGATTTTCATGACGTCTACATTTCGATGATTTACATGTTTATTGTTTTTAGTTATGATGTATACATAGAAAACCGTGAAATTAAATTAACATGCCTATTCCACACCTGTACTGCACGTTAATTTAATTTCACGGTTTTCAAAATTTAACTATTATACCTTATCCCTTTCAGGGACTATTGTAAGTGAAAATATTAGTTAAGTGTATTAGAATATTTTAATCCAAATCCCGTGTTTTCGCAACCCTATTTGTTACTGTCAATTGTCATGACTATGTCATTGTTCGAAAAAAAGTTTCAGTTTTGTAGACTATAGTATGAAAATCATTTGAAACGTAACAGAGACAAAGCTATGCAGTCTAGCGTTAGCAAGAAAGAAATAAATGATAGCAAATGACAGTTTTCTGCAATACATTTACTCTGTATATTTCCTCGAGTTTGTCAAGTCAAGATTGTTATGTCAGTGAGTTGTTGGTGTTTTGCGAATATTTTATATAAAAATGTCGGGATCAAAGAAATTGGTAAATATTTTAATATTAACATGAATCTAATATTGTCGTAATGTAATATATGATTGAGTCGATATCGGTTCAAACTTAGTTTTGACTTGGATGCTTTCAGTTTTCTGTTGATTCTATTGACAACTTAAACAAATTCAAATGTTTTAAATAGTTGTACTTAAATTATACTTGTGATACCTTTATCAATCTATTCTAAATTGTAGTTTCAAGCTTAACTTTGAAGAATCTTAATGATAGGTTATAATGACATGGCACTTGTTGTGGAAATAGATAGGTATACGACGTTGAAGTTAACTCAAATGTCGTGTTGGTTGTGTACAGATACTGCGTGTGCAGTCACCGGAGGGTACAACACGCCTCGAAATGCAGGACACGGACGTGACGGCACAGTTGTTCGAGCGTGTCTATGAGAGCCTGCACTTAAACACATTCGCTTTTGTGCTCCACAAAGACAGACAGCGAAAAGAGGAGATTACATCGAGCAAATCACGTCGGCTGTGCGACTACGGCCTGCAGCACGGAGACATGTTGTATTTGAACCCTGTCAATGGTGCAGTGCTGTTCGATCAGCCATCCACAAGTGGCGATGTAAGATATCAGTTGTGTTAACGCTAGTATTATCAAATTGAGTTTTATTGTTCAACATCTACACTGTCAGTATCACAATGTTTTCAGGCCAATAACAAACCATTTGGCGAGCCAGTAGTAGCGGGACCTTCTAGCTCAAATGTTGCTGCAGTCGCTGTTCCTACCACAGTCACACGGCCTAGCATGCCACAGGAAGATGAGGTAGACTTGCAGCTGTATCGCATGTCTGGTAGCATTCAGAGACACAGAGATGAGAAATTGTGAGTGCTCATTTCTACTAAACTTTCCAAAGGCAGTATGCCATGTGTACTGGCACATTGTGCTTCGCTATACATACGTAACATGGCTGAGTAAAAATTATAATTACCTCATTAAACTATTACTATCTAAAAGCTACTTAACCCTAGATACATAACATTGATTGGTACCCTCACAGCATAATGTGAGGTCAACATGACTCACACCTGATGATATTGACAGTGAGCAATTATCTTTTTACTTGAACATAATTTATGAAATAGTTTATAATTAAGCACATTGATAATCTAAAATTATGTTTATTTTACTTCAAAAAATTATTCTAAATTCTTTGGAATAGTGAGTGAACAAAACAAAACATGACTTATTGATTTAAAAAAATAATAATGAAGTAGGTAACTCCTTACAATTTTTCTTATATATCTAAACTCAAATACCAAGTTTTAACAGTAATATATGAAATTTCATAACAAAATGGAACCTAAACAGTCTGAATAAATCAGAACTTTATGTTCTCTGCAGACTGGTTTTGTACATTTTGTGCAATATGCTTGTGTCTGTCTTTGTTTTTGCCTCTAAAATCTTGTGTGAAATCACATTGTTATATTTATCCTCGCAATCACTCTGGACATCATCTCTGCTCAAGTTATCCTCTTCCTTACTGCGAGCATCCACGGTTCCGAGTTGACAAGCTCTAAATAATCGTATCAGTCCTGTGTTCTTGATGACGTCATCATGTAGAAGTAAGTGTAGACCAAAAATATATCATACAAGCTGGAACAAAACAAATAACTTATCAAAACATACAAAACAACCGATAAAACATCCGTCTGTGAGTTCAAAATATTACAAATAACATAAGGTGAGGTCATAGAGGTGCCCTATGTACGTAAATACAACACTTGGCTTTAACACGCGTGCACGATTCGATTCTCCTTCGGCGACACTGAGTTAGTTCGAAAAAGCACTGCGAAACATCAACTGTTTAGAAAGAGACTAATAGTAATGCTTCATGTGTGAATCGTTTCGAAACACGTTATGTATCTAGGGTTCAACAAAATGTTTGTTATGGATCATGTTCAGAGATGAGATAATATATATATTTATAAATTTATTTATGGACTTTGTATAAGTTACTTACCAATATTGACTGCATGGATGGCGTAGTGGTTTAAGCGGTCGCCACGCCGCTCACTACTACGCTGAGTGTTGTAGATTCGATCCCCACATGGGACGACACTTTGTGTGATCCACAAATTGTTGTTCTGAGTCTGGGTATTCATTGTGTCCGTTTCATGTATGTTTGTAAAGTCCCCCGCGACACATGATATATTCCTAGTGCGGGAGTTGTCTATCTTTAAACTTTGACATGTGCTGTGATAATCAGAAAAATCACAGGGTAATTAGTAATTATATATATCAGTCATTAATTGTTTTATATTGATTACCATGGTGTTATTTTGTAGATGCCGACACAACTCGAAAGGTTGCTGCGTGCACTGCTCACCAATAGAACCATGGGACGAAGGCTATCTAAAAGAACACAATATAAAACATTTGTCATTCCATGCATACCTGCGTAAAATTACATCGGGCAATTTTATCTCATTAGATGAACTCTCCTGCAAAATCAAACCAGGTATGATGCAACATAACAACCACTGCTATTTACTCCAATGCTGTAAGCGTACACCAGCGTTCAAGCGCCTCGTAACTGCATGCTCCCTCGAATATGAGAGTTTTCATAATTCATATAGAGGCATCTTGCTCTACTGTACTCTAGTGCTTTCATGTTCATAGCAGAACCTTTGTTTTGTTGAGAGTGCAACTGCATTTAGTTTGTATGCCTCATAAATATGTAGTTAATAGCCAATGTTCAACCATTTAGCTTAAGCTCCAATGAACAAGTCAAGACAATTTGTTTAACTTTAATCAGTTTTAGCAATGCTAAGTAAGTACAATAATAATATTTGTATGTCTAACACACAACGCCATCTAGTTTCAAACTAAGCAGAACTCTTATGAAAGCTAAATTGAATGATAGGACACTTAAATACTTTTGTTTTTAAATACATATTATAAAGTGTAGAGATGTTTCTCCGCATTTAGTGATAAGATGCTATTTGCTATGAGTACTTATATGCTTTTATTGTACTAGATTAATCAAAACATCACAATACTAATTAAATGTGTATCAGCTTATGATATATACGTATTCCTTATAATACCTATTACGTTCCGCCATGTGCAACTTGCTTGTACAAAGAGAAAACACCTAAACTCGGAGGCACAAGTAAGTACATGTACTAAATGATAATCACGTTTCAGGTTGCTCGGAGCACCCACCCTGGCCACGCGGCATATGCTCAAAGTGTCAACCGGGCGCTGTGACTTTAAATCGTCAGCCCTACCGTCACGTGGACAATGTCTTATTTGAGCACCCTGCCATCGTAGAACGCTTTCTAGCCTACTGGCGCGCCACCGGCCATCAGCGGATCGGATTTCTTTACGGACAGTACGAGAGACATCCTGATGTACCACTCGGTATGACTTTGTCACACTTATTTAAATTGTCTTTTGCTACTACCTACCCACTAGTTTGTAGGTACCAGTAGTACTACCACAAAAATATCTACATTTTAAGCCGAATGCTATTCCCCGCAGGTATCCGAGCTCGTGTAGCGTGTATTTACGAGCCACCGCAGGTTTCATCGCGGGATGGCGTTTCGCTCCAACCCGATCCTCGCGAGTCGCTGTTGACTGCGCTGGTCCAGCGGCTGGGCCTACGCCGCGTGGGTTGGATCTTTACAGACCTGCTGCCCCTGGATGTTGCTACTGGCACTGTCAAACACATACGGTATGTCAACGCCTGGCTCAGCCAGCCTGGACAGCGTTCCTACATGGCTGCGACATGCTTATTTAACCAGTGAAAACTTATTATCTGTCAAATAGTTACGAGCATGTACTATCTTTTTATATATACATATCTATTTACATAGTATAAAATTAAGTCACTTTTTTTTCTTTACGCTTAGATCTTTTAAACTAAGCAACGTACTTTAATGCGGTTTACACCAATAGAGTGAGTGACTCAAGAGGAAGGTTTAAATGCATAGTAGAGAAGATAACATGTTTTTGTGATCTTACATTGCAAACGCTGACTAAATCTTAGGAGATAGATCAAAATAATGTACAACGGTCAACGCGGCCCTCCGTCGCGGGTGGCAGCGGACACTAGGAGCGGAGCGTGCCTATGAATATTACGTAAACATGTCCTGTAGTATTATTATCATAACAATAGTATAATAAATTACTCCAAACTAACACCACATTAGTAGTAGTAGTATCTACATTGTACCCGTGCGCCGCTAGTATAGATATATCTATTTAGTAACAGTGTAAAGAAACATTTATTGAATTTGTTTATATCTGTGTCCAGAGGCGTCGATACGCATTTCCTGTCGGCCCAGGAATGCATTATGGCGGGCCACTATCAGAACCTGCACCCCAACGAGTGTCGCCACGCCTCTTCCGGCTATTTCGGCTCAAAATTTGTCACGGTTTGCGTCACAGGTCTGTATAATATATTTTTATGATACGATTACACGGGTCATCCGATGGTAAGCGACCCCTGCAACTCATTCTTTAATTGAAGGTATGAATTTCTTACCGTTAAGGTACGTCACGATACCATCATAACCGTGTATCTATAACGCCTCGAAGCAATTAACTAAAACATTTTATTTCTTGCTCACTGAGTGTTGTCTCTAAACATAGTAATGTATCGGTGTCGGTGTGGTCTGTGTAGGCGACAGCAATCACCAGGTGCACCTGGAGGGCTACCAGGTATCGGGCCAGTGCCAGGCGCTGGTGCGCGACGAGATTCTGCTGCCGACGCGCGACGCGCCCGAGCTGGGCTACATCCGGGACTCGTCCGACGCTCAGTACGTGCCCGATGTCTACTACAAGGTTAGTGGTATGAAGTGCTCAGGCGACTGGAGCTGCCAGGTGTTAGCGGTGCTAGATGCTGGGGATGATTTATTACGAGATCCGTCTCACACGTTTTTTCAGCCGTGCGGGTTAGGATGACTGTGAATCCGAACCGAGCCTCGGTCAAAGCAGACATGACTATGTGCTCGGCGTGGACTGCACGCTCAATGGAGTCAACCACTTGGTACGAAAACAAGACAAGAGACGCACGTGCATAGTTAAGTCTCGCTGATCCTGAGCCAGCTCAGCTGCACCAGAGACACACGGTGTTCTCTATAGCTGTGTGTGCGAAATGTTGATATTATCACACAGCTATTAGTTATCGTGATGTAAAATAATGCGACCGTCAATAAAATATTACCGGAATATCATCAGTTGAGGATGAGGTGAATATTGTTGGTCTTATCAGGTTAATAACCCGCTATTATAAAACGCTGGTAATTTCATACTGATATTCTATTGTGGATGCCCTTTTGACCCAAAAATCTTTCGTATTATACGTAAAAGCATACACTGTAATTTACTCCAAGATGACTTGAATAACTGAATTTTTCTGTCAAAAAAATAACTTATTTGTTAATACAGATAAGTGTCATGTGATCACCTTTTCTAGTGTCATCCCATCCAATCCTATCATTTTCGGTTACAGATTGAATGGTACGGTTTTGGGTAGAGTCACTGAGGTTCGTGATTTGGGATTTATTTTGGATACCAAATTAACTTTAATTCCTCATATAGATAAAACCGGTTATACAAGGCTTATAAGCAATTGGGCTTCATCTTAATTTTTTTCATTCCTAGTAAATTCATTATCCAACTAATACATAAACAGAACCGTCATCCAGCAGCCACCCGTAACGCGTGCGAATTGTCAAACTTGTCATTTTAGTTCTTGTTGGCACCGGCAGCAAAAGTTCTGTTCCAATCCAGCCCAAAAATAAACCAAAGATATTTTTTTCAAAATTGTTGTAATTGAAAATTAGAACTTGAAGGCATACCAATGAATTAAAAAAAACAATTGTTCGAGCCGTTCTCGAGTTTTGCGCTACATTTGGCGATTTTTTTATTTAAGATAATATTAAACTTTCTAAGAACGAATATTATTTTAGATAATATTAGTTCTTAGAAAGTCTATACAAAAAATTTGGTTCACCGCAACTGTAATTGTGTTGATCCATCGTGGTGAGAGAATTTGTTACCTATCTGACTCTATCTCCTTTTTTCACCACGGAGAAAAAATATGGCGTGATAAGTTCCCTCTCTCAATTTTCGCCCCCTTGGCAGAAAAACTACCTTCAGGAGATAAACTTACCTGGCCATCCTGGAAGGCGCCCAAAAGGCTGCGTACATAGGTTGGCAGCTCCAAGGACAATTTGTCAAGGAGGGGATTTCTGGACCCAAGCGCAAATAAATGCGACTGTGGCGCGTCTCCACAGACAATGGGCCATTTGCTAACACGCCCCGCGAGCTCAGAATCGTGTACGCTTGACGACCTATATCAAGCAAGGCCAAAGGCTACTGAAGACCGCTAATAGATTTTTTCTAGAATAAAAAATACTTAATAAAAAATAATAATTTGGGCAACTCCTTTATTATTTATTTGCCTTCTATCACATAATTTAGGTTGACGTTACTTAAGTTTTTTAATATGTACTTTAAGTTACTATTTGAAACGGTAAATGGGTGAGTTTAAACAGTTGTTTGCAGATTTAAATTACAAAGATTTTTTTCTCATATTTCTAATCAAATCTGCTTTTGTAAAGCAAAAAAACGAATTTTGGGTCAACCACGAGTGTAGAAACAGAGTATGGACGTGCCTGATTTAAAGTAGCCAAGTCTAGATACGTCTAAAGTTTATATTTAATTCAACGAAGACTAGACTTTCCATCACATCCCGATGCACGTTCACCTACCGATTATGGAAGGTATTCCATGTCATAACATACAATGTAGTTGGTGCATTTGATAAACGGGTACAGACTTCGTAACCCTGAGCGTGTAGTTCAGTGTCCCGCACTTTATTGCAACGATTCCTTTATGGTCATATCATTTACAGAAGAGAAAAAAATGTTTTATCGTAATAGCAGAGGTGAGCCCTGAATTTATTTCTAGCCGCCCCCCCCCCCCCCCCCCTCTGGCCCTGACCGATGACGTACTAAAATTTTGAGAGAATAAATAATTCTAACAATTAATAAACTATTACAAACCGTTTGTATGAAACTCGTAAAATTCTCTAAGAGTTTTTAGACTTATTTACTACTATTATTATATTTAATACAATTTTCTTTTACGGGCTCATATCTGATAGAAGTCGTATTCTGGTAAAATATAGATATATTAAAATGAAATGGGGTCAAATAACGACACGGACATTTGAATAACGTATGCAGTCTAATCTCTTGTGTATAAAATAGTATATTTTCTTCATGATCAATTCATGTATTTAGTTACTACATTAGGTATTATTTATATTTTTTCAAGCCTCAAACAGTTTTCAAAACTGTGCTGGTGCACAATTACAGCGGGATATGTTGACCACAAGGTATGTACTTGTACATTTGTTGGGGGAAGTGTGCATCGCTGTTAATAAAACAAACGTGTGGTTGCTCCATAGACTTATTTATTTATTACGAATCCGCATCGGACATGTAATACGCGCGTACATGTAACATTAAACAACAACACGGGGCGCCCTGGCCCTCACATAAACTATACGGACCAAACGAAACGCTGCTACAATATAGGTAATATAGTAAACACGAACAACACGTAGCTGTCTCTCACTACTCGCCCCGGCCCGGAGACGTGCCGCGGGCGGGCGCTCGCAGAGCCACATATACATATATCTAGTACATATAAACTTTGGTAAATAGAAAAATAAACTTAACAAGTATACGCGAGTCGATCGAGCCGAGGCACGAGGACGAAGGACCGAAGATTACGTTACGTTACATAGTAAATATATCCGATAATAAAGCAGGCACTGACCGGTAGAAGGACCCGCGCCTCCGCCACCCCTAGCTCCGCTATCTAGTTCATCACAGTCTTTGAAACTCTCGGAGATCTGTTATTTAATTCGTCTTTACATTCTACAATCCCGTCATAATCGCCCACATACATAAATATAATATATTATTTTGTATCTCCCCGAGAGGCAACATCCATTTGTAAATATGTATATTAATCTATATATACCTAAACTAACTCCGAATGACGACGACCCGCTGATGGGGCGGTATCCCGACTCCCCGAATGGATCTGCACGCAATAGCCTAAATACACCATAATATTTAACATTTATATTGACACACATATAATCGAAACGTATATTTTACTATAATCGCTTATTTATTAAAACGCGCACGCTCCACGCTAATAACAAAAATATATTCACCGTCTACTATAAGAAAATATCGAGACTAGGCCCACTAGCCAGCCACCTGACGAGGGCGGATGGGGCTCGCTGCGAACCTTCAGTAAGCGACTGAGCTGAGCCTACTCTTTAATGCAGATGAACGGAACTGCTAGAGAAGCTCAAGCCGACAAACTTCCAAAAATTTCGCAATAAATACTTCAAAATGTTCTAAACTACGTATACAAAAATAGTTCGAGGTGCTCACAAGTTTATACGATTGGTCCGAGGAGACGAAATTAGGTACGAAAGTCGCGACAAACGAGCGTTACCACGACAAGTGATATGATAAGGTGCGAAAGAAGAAAGCGACAAGGAGGAAAAGGCGTCGTCTAGTTGAGCTTGCCACAGTTCGAAATAAGTATGGTGCTGTGCGGCTTGCCGGCACTGTCGCCCGTACGGCTCAGCCTATCCACCAGCTCCAACCCCTCCACCACGAACGCGAATATCGCCGTAAAACCGCGCATTTCGCGCAGGACGATGCGGAACTGCGAGCCTACCAAACCTAGGTTGTCGTGACGCTTCTGTGACCTCCGCATGCCGACCGTGCCGCGCACCGCCACCATTCGAGTGTCGTCCGGCATGAAGTAGCTCTCCTCGAAAACGGAGCGTCCGCCGCGCCCGTTGTTCAGCTCAAAGTCACCGGTGATGACGCTTTCGTTCTCCCAGCACTGAAATACGGCGCAGCCGCGGTAGCCCACTCCTAGCTCGCCCGTCGCCAGCACCGAGAAGTTGCGCGCCATGCGCGGCGCCACATCGTCGCGTACCTCCACCACGATGCGACCGAAAGGTGCGCCGTTCACCTCCAGCTCGAAGTAGAAGAGCGGGTAGGAGGCCGGGACGCGCAGAAGGGGTGACGGTATCGCCTCACTCGAACAAGCGCCTGCAGTGGGTTCGGCGCCGCCCTCGGAGCCCGGGGCCGCGTCTGCCTCTGCCGCTCCAGCACCGCACGCCGCGTCCGCCTCGCCGCCCGCCGGGGACGCGCGCCTGCTCACCAGCTGGCGCGCGAACAGCTGCGTCGTACAATAGTTGGCTAGCAGCAGCAGGGGCTCACGCCGCTCACCAGCCGTCGGTGCTTCGGGCAGCGGCAGCCCGTTCATCGCTCGCCTAAGCAGTTCGAAGTCTAGCGGCACGTTCGCCGTTCGGGTCAGATCGTCGAGGCGGCACTGTAGAAGCGCCTCTGCGTGGCGTGCCCGCAGACGGTCACGCTCGGCGGAGGCGGCCGGCAACGACCGCGGGCACGGTGCGGAAGGTACGAGGGCGGGCGCAGCCAACTCCGACTCGAGGCGTAGTTTAAGTGCGGTGGCAGCGTCGAGTGCCCGCAGCATCAGGTCGCGCTGGCGCACGGCCAGTCGCGCTAGGTCAGCCTGTAGATCGCGGGAGTCGCGCGCCAGCAGCGCGCGAGCCTCGGTGGGGGAGCGCAGGGCGTTCGCGTGCGCAGCGTGCTCCGCACAGGCGCGACAGGCGCGCGCCGCGCACGCTACGCACCAGAGCGCTGGCAGAGCGTGCGCGACGCACGCGGGAGGATCGTCGGGAGCGAGGGTGCCGGGAGACGCCAGGCGACGGGCTAAAGCCAGCACGGCGCCGTGGTTGGGTAGGTTGTCGGCGCGGCCGTCGGGCAGTTCGGTCCGCTTCCAGCAGTGCATGCAGTACACCTCTCGCCCGGCACCCAGCACGGTGCGAGCGCACGCCAGGCAGAAGTGATGCTTGCACGTCAACAACTTGGGCGGACGCTCGAGCTCGTCGAAGACGCGCTTGCAGCACGAGCACAGCGTCAGCTCCTCGATCTCACCGAGCGACGAGCTCGCCATCTGTACAGGCACGGTGAATGAGCGCGTTGGAAATGCAAGTGCCGGGGGGCGTTAGATTCACGGAGACTTACCTCGGTGTGGCTACGGGCTCGCGCCGGTCCTACGCGGCATCGGGGCGCGACTGGAGCTTTGTACTTGTGAGAGTCGACGTGCTCGATACGGGACTTAGGCGTGGTTCGTTTCGTTCACATTTTATGATTTTCGGTAGCCGTTCCACACGGCTCGGTTTTAAGCTAAATAAATTAACTAAATACCCAAATCGATGTGGATTGCCACATCATTTTACGTTTTGTGTACACACGCCATGTTGTTTTTCCTTTCTGCGCCACACTTCACATCGCTCGATCAACAGATTACTCCCCGACACTGTGACCTTGTCTCGGCGTGTGCTTTTCTAATTGTGATTACGCTGAAAAATAAACCACAAACAAATTTGAAAAACCGTCACTGAGTGAAGTTTTAGATATATACCAGTACAATCGATATGAAAAAATAAAAAATATACAATCTAATAATTACAAGCAATCATTTTAACTTCCGTCTTCTTTCATAATAATATTTTAGATATGTATTAGCCGCCCTGAACGACTTCGTTCTGTCTAAAGTTGTGTTGATCTGTCGCAGTTCAATAGAAAATAGCATTGGATGCTGCTCGTAATATTGTACAATTCTTTATGCTGAATTTTTATTCCACGTTTAATTCAAGTTACCCTATATTATAATTTATATAAATACAAATGAATTGCCAAATGTGTTGCTAAGCGCAAAACTCGAAAACGGCTCGACCAATTCGGGTAATTTTTTCATATTTTTAAGGCACAAAGAAGGTTGTTATTGAGCAAATCGTAAAACCTAAGAAAAAAATTGTAAAAACAACACTTCTTTTCCCATACAACAGACAGAGTCAATTAAAACACCCAGCTATCAAATGTTTAACGTCAATCGGAACAAAGGCGCGTTAAAATTACCTTTGGTATGCCTTCAAGTTGATTAGGCTGTATGGATACTAAACTATGCCAGCCCAAAATAAAGTTCGAAGAAAAGTGATCATTCTAAAATACGTTTGATTCATTTATTTTTTCTATTTTTAGTTATTTTTTTAGTTTTCTGAAATTAAAGTTTTATTTATTTAATTGTTTAATATAAATAATTATAATTAATCATAAATTTTATACAGGTAGGTACACACTTTTCTTTAGAATGATATCCACAAGCTGTAGCATAAATATGATTGCAGTAACGTCACATAGCTAAACGAAAAAGGTATACCTAAAATTGGACGCCGATTCAAAGTCACGGCGTGCAGATATTTGCTTGCAAACTTCATACGGTTGATCGTGACAATCTGTGATAAAGGCTCGGCGGGCGGGTCACACGCGGTGCGGCGTCGGCCGCGTTATCAGTGCGCGGCGTTATCACGCGCGGTTCGCTGGACCGTATCGACCCGCGCCGCGACAGCCCGTCCTCGCCCCGCCCCCCGCCCCGTTGCATCACAGCCGTGGGTGCCGTGTGACGTCACTCCGACCCGCGTCGCTCGGGCGCTCGTTCCGCGCAACTGTCACCTCGAGAACGTGACGTCCGACGAAAACATCTGTACATTGTGTCATTACTTACGTCAACTTGGCGTTGAACGATAACGCGCTGTTCCGTCTTCGGCTCGTATTTTTGTTTGTAATTGCGTCAGTGTGTAAGACGACACACGTGGCACTAATTAAAGGAACAATAATATTGTTCATATAATAAATATATTGAAAGTCAACGTTCTGCGCTACTTTAACAAAGTGACCTTTCGAACAAACTTGTTTGTAGCCCTTAAGTGGTTGTATAATTATTTCTGATATTGTATTCAACCCAAGAAAATGGTGTTAAATACACTAAATAGTTATCAAACGTTTAGTAGGTAAGTCTTCCCCTAACTTTTCTATTTATATATATGTATGTAGTTTAATATAACTAAATAAGAGAAGAAAATCTTGACACACCCCTTTACGTATACCAATCATCTAAAAAAAATGATTTAACAGATGAGACTGACTCTTTGACTAGAGAATGTTACTTTGAAATATTTGAAACTTTAAACAATTCTAATTTAAGTTAAACAATTTTTAAATAAGTAAGAATTTATATTACTATGTCGTGATTATTTATTTCTGCAAGGCCTCCTTTTTTTTTCTGTGCGGAAATCCCCTCGGATACCACTTACCGGTGGCAATGTCGGACTTGAACCGACTAAAACCGCACGCCGTCTCAGGTACCAGTAGTCGGGGAACCAGGTGTACCCTAGAAAGGAAATCCCTGGTGCCCCGACGTACCTCGGGCCATCTACGGCGGGTAGACGACCCCCCCCCTGTGTGCCAACCCCCATGTTCCCTCTGTGCTCCCAGAAGGGCGCGCGCGCTTCGCAACGCGTTTCCCGCCACCCCGGCCTGCTTCTGCTAGGGTGACAGATGGCCTCACCTGTCACCCCCAGGCCTGCGCTTATGTAGGACAGAGGTCGTTCTGCGACCTCCGGCGTCTGAGTCGTCTGCGGTACCTGGCCCGTTCTCGAGCCTGGCGGGCCGGGGGAGTTCTAAAAAAGGAGGTCGCACTGGACGGGTGCACAACTGACGATTTTAAAGCTATTCCGGTAATAGTGCGGTGTACATGTGTAGTGTCTGTATTGCAGGAGCGTGACGTGTACGGCAACGAGGTGGGCGTCTCCGCCAAGCGCGTGCCCGTGGCGTACCTGCTGGTGGACGTGCCGTGCGGCGTGGCCGCCCCGGGCGCGACGGGCGCGCCCACCTTCAACCCGCGCTCCACGTTCCCGCCCGCCAACCGGCCGCTGCAACACCAGCTGCAAACGCTGCGCGCCCTGCACCAGCACATGCAGAGCGAGGAGAGCTTCCTGCAGGCCGTGTCGGACCTGCACGTGCTGCTGTTCTTGGCCACCAACGAGGCGCTGCCCCTGAGCCCCGAGACGCTGGCGCCGCTGCTGGGGGCCGTGCGCGCGCAGGACGCGGCCGCGGCCGACGCCTGGCGCCAGGAGCCGCACAACGCCACGCTCGACCACCTCATCTGCGCCGCGGCCGAGCACGACGCAGACGACAGGTACTCCAACACATTTGTTTACTCGACCGGTTCAAATATCATTATTTTTACTAAACTAAATTTTATTGTTTTTATAATCGCAATACCAAATTCTATATAAATCGGTTCAGCGATTATTGATTCCCCACACAAACTCCCCCCTCCTTTTCACCCCCTTAAGGATGATTTCTGAGATAAAAATAGGAAAGCCTATGCTATTTCCCGGGACTCAAACTATCTCTATACCGAATTTCATCTAAACCGGTTCAGCAGTTTAAGCGTGGAGAGGTAATACACACACACGCATTTATAATATTAGTATGAACAAGATGTGTGTGGTTTTGTTGTGTGTCGAGTGATGGCTGATCTAGTGATAGTTCTTCAAGTCTGGTAGATCTCCGTATCTGTTCAAACGTTTGTAAATTGTTCAGTAACAGTAAAGACTTTTGGTGCGGAGTTATAATAATGAATTATCCTTCCCTAAATGATGTATGTATAATGAATAATCGAGTAAACGTTTGCGGCGCCAGCATGGGGGCGGGCGGCGCGGAGGGCGGCGGGGCGGGGGGCGCGGGCGGCGTGTGGACGTGTCCGCTCTGCACCTTCCACAACGCGCCGCACAACGACTCGTGCGAGATGTGCGCCATGCCCAGGTACGCTTCTCTTTGTACGTCTACTGCCCCGGGTAATGTATCGACTCTTCATACGTAGTACCTAGTCGAGTCGACAGTTGTCAAATACTTTACTGCATAACGTCTCGGAAACGAGTCTTCTGAACGTAGTATATCCTGTACTTGAACGTTCAGAAGACTCGTTTCCGTTCTTAAAACTGAAGTGCGTTTGTAATAGGCGAGCACCGACGCCACCGATGTGACCGATTATAGACCGAACCGAGTGTTTCCTGTGATCGGCACCTGTTTGTTTCAGAAGCAACGCGATGTAAGGCCGAACGCGACGCAGGCGACCGTTGTAGGGGCTGCGCCCTCGCCGCTACGTTTAACATATTTTTGTATCGAACTGCGCCGGGGCCTCGCCGCCCTTCGCTCCTTCGAGTGGACGAGTCGGTCTTATTACTTACCTACTGTAATAATAATAATAAAATGCAGCGATCCAAACACATGTTTATATATTTTTACAATTATATTGCACTTTTACTTGAGTTATTAATTAGGTTGACGTTACTGTACCTCTACATGTACGTGTTAGTACGTGTACACGAAGTGAAGAGAACAAGTGAGGCGTCCGAGTCGGCGGGCCTTCGATCAGGTGTAAACTGAAGTGTACTCGTCCATAGGCTGCATATGTCATAAAGTATGATCGAATTAGTTACGTTCGGGTGTTGCGTCATTAACCGACCATCAATACCCTATATCAGCCTAATCAATTTACATGAAAATGAGATGTTCCTTCGTCGTGTAGTTATTATTGCAGGCTGTTGTTTTCATTAAAACAATCGCAGAACGTGTCCCAAACTTTTCCCAATTAGACTTTTAACACTTCTATCGAATTTGAACACTTATTTTAATCGAAACATTTATCAAGTTTTTCAGCTCGGACAATCTTATGTCACGCTTCAATATTACTTAGTAATTAAGAGACTTAAACGTTAAAATGTCTTTGCCGCGTAGAATAGGTTTATTCCACTGTGTTCACCTGGGTGATATCACCCGTGTAAATGAAGTAGATTTTTTAGCTTCATTTCACCTTGGACAAGACTTTAAATTACATAAGAAGAAGCAGTCACTAGTTCAGAACTGTGCCTAAGTACGGCTCACCCTCACATATTAAGTTTACGTATTATGTAAACTTTCAGTGTGTATTCTCAGATCAAATAAAAAAGTTAACATGGTGCTGTGAACAAAGAAGACAATCAAATTAAAACTACGCCTTGGCGACACACGTACAACGAACCTAGGCATTTCACACGTGAGTAAGCGTAGAAACCAATATTTTCAATAAAAATAAAATGATGGCAGCGCCGGCCCACGCACACGTGTTTATAAAACCGGCAGCACTTCGTTTTTCGCGAAGTGTCATCTTAACTTTATTATCTGATCTGAGTGCCTTAGTTTCAGTATTATCAGTGTAAGATAAATTTAATTCCATATATCGCTTAATTAAAGGTAAGTCAACATTTTCGAGAAGTGTAATTTTAAATACAAGGGGAACAAAATGAAATTCTCTACCGGTTAGTACTGACAGAGAAAGAAAAAGATAATAATGACTAGGTAAATATATTTGTGCCCCTCTCACGCTGTCCCTGCTCGTTTCCCGTTTTTAGTGCTACAAGGTCATAAGCAGTAACGTGTCCATATTTGCCGAAAGCGAGCCCTTAAAACTTTGTTCTATTCGTGCTTGTCACTTGTCTTTTCCGTGACAAAAAGACAGGTGAGTTTTGTTCTAAATTTTGGTATTAAATAAAACAATTTGTAGTTGCGGCTTTATATTATATAAAATTTAGTAAATTTCTACTTAAATAATAAGCATTTTATTCGAAAAATAAGCTGGAACGTAAGAATCCAGAATCTTAAAAACGCGATTTCGCAAATAACTACTTTTTTTTTACGAAACAATTATTTTATTATGATCTCTGAACCCCTTTACAAATCCGCATGGAGTTTGTGACTACAAACATTCTTGTCTAAAAGTAAGCTGCTACAAAAAAAACACTGAGTGCTTGGTTGCACAAGTTTATTGTTTATTGTATTTAGAACTGCGATATTTTGGCGATTCTTTGCCTTCATTTGCCCACACATCTAAAATAAAATTATTGAAACATTAGGCATTTATCCACTTAATATTAGGGGTTGAACTATGAAATCGCCGGTTTGTACAGAAAAATTGAAACAAGTTGTTTTCTATGACGTAACATATTTATTTAATTAAAATATTTTTATCTATACATTGCTGAAATCTAAATGGAACTTCATTTATGCCTTTACGATAGAACTCTGGGGAGCTAGATTCGATAAACTGTGAAAACATTTTGTACTGCCTTCTGGTAAGACATTTTTTTTTCACGTAGAAAATTACAAGTTACAACGGTTTATTCGGTCTTCAATAGTGGTGAAGATTGATTCACGAGTTGGGGTTTTACTGCCTGACCAGACCTGAGAAAGCTGTAGTGAATAACGCCAGGAACAGACCACCAAAGTTACCATTACCTTTTTATTAGCGGGCTTTGCTACAGGGCACTCTTGTGGCGTTTAACCTGGGGTCAGCCATTGCATTTGTCGCTTACGGTTATCGTAAACAATCTCCTTTTTGGCACCTGTCACAATTCGATCCAATATTCCTTCATTTCTGTGTCGATTTAACAATACAATACAAGTTTCAATACGCATTTCTTTCTGCAAATCAGTCAAATGATGAGGCACTTATTATTCATATTTTTTTATCTAATTTATTTGATTCAAATAAGTCAATTGTAGGCAGGGTAACGTTAAACTATGCCGCTAAATCCTGGGTAGTTTGACTCGGATCAGCTTCCACCATCTCTATCAATTCAGCGTTATTCACCGTTGTGGGCGATCTTCCACATGGTTCTTTCCTCAAGTCGAAGTTTCCATTACAAAACGTTTAAACCAAAAACGCACGGTGCGTTCATTAGCAGTCTCCTCTCCAAACCGCAGCGTTGATATTGCGAGCCGTCTCTGCCGCGTTAGTTCCGCGTAGGAACTTGTATTCAAAAATGACTCGGCTTTTCGAAGTATCCATCTTTCACGTCTAAGCTGAATAAAAAAAAAACAATTGAAAGTCGGAAATCGAATGTTACACAGTTTTTGAAAGAAGAACCTTAAAGGTATCACACGAAAATCTCACACCATGAAGGTTTTATGTCAATTCAAAGTATCTATTACTATACAACAGCAGTTTTATGCTTCAATCACTATTATTACACAATGTAAAAATAAAGTACAGAACTACTTGCTGAACCTCTTATATGATGATACAGAACAGCTATATATTTCTAGCGATAACTTGACAGACGCACACACAAACAAGCAGTTGGTATATATGAATCTTCAAAGTATTTTGATGGGTTTATATTAAAGATATAAATAATAATAATATAATATTTTCACACCTCTCACACGACGGGCGTCTGATCCCAAACTAGGCAGAGCCTGTACAATGGTAACCAGACTGCTGATAAACATACTTATATATTTGTAAATATATACATAAAAAAGATTTTTGTAAATAGATTCTTTATTTTGAAATAAAAACATATGATCCCCTACCTACTACAGAGATAGCACAGAATAGTGAGGCCACGGAACTGACTGACATGGCATAACTTTTGTCTTATCGATGTCCCACTCGTCTTGAACAATCGTCTACACTATTCTAGAAGGGATTTCAGGATTTACTCGAGCGTGTCAGATTAACATAGGAGGAATACCTTACACCCAGTTGAGTACCTCCACCATACATGAGCTCTACATATAGGGGGGATCGTATAGGGCATTATCACCATCAGATTAGTTAAAAATAAAAAATCGATGGCCAAAGATACTTAAGCGTGTAAGATTAAGGTAAGTGGACTCAATTACATGCACGTTAGTGTGTATTTGAAAAAATCTAAACCTAACACAAAGCAGTGGGAGGGCAATTTTTTTTTAAGCAAACCATGGAAATTCGTTCAGGTGTGGGTAAAACTGTCACCGAAACTGCAACTAGTAGGGTACGCCAATCGGAGCGCTAGAAGTGTGTGTGAATTGAAATCTATACAGCAACTTGATATCAATTTGAATAGGTATATCTGTGTACGCAAATGACCATATTAAAAATAAAACGATGCATTAGGACCATATCGTCATGATAGGAGAATAATGTGGGTTTTGAAAAAATACGAAATTCAGTTTTTACTATTTTTTAATACCACATTGTCTAAATATTATCACTACATTCAAGAAAAAATATATGTATTTTAGATTTTAAATTATTTAGTGTTTGTTTATTAATTATTTAGTTTTGTGATAGGCGCTCAAAGTAAAATGAAGCATGTGATTTTTCTAGTAAATCCTACAATTATTCGTTGTTATTAGTATTGCATTTTTAAACAAATCCTATTTTTCACTTGTATGCCAATTACAGATTCAGAATTTTAAAAGTTGTGTCAAGAAATAACAATTATTTGAAATGGCTGCCCTGTAAAGTTCTAAGACTATGACGATATTTAATATTAAAGTGCCTGAAAGTGGCAAATCCTACTTTATAGAACATAATTTATTAACTTTGCATTGAATTTAGTACATTTATGAGTAGGTATGCCTTGTTTGTAAACATTGAGTTAAAACTCATTACTCATCTAGTGTAATGTATTATATCAAGGTTTGTAAAGCAAAATATATAATAGTTTCAACATCGAACAAGGGCATCCTGACAATCTATGTGTAGTGCCAAGTAAGACGGCTATGATGCACAAAAGCTTTTTCTAGACTGCAACACGCATATATTATGAACTACTAAAACATTTGAGGATTTTTGAAAGTGCACAGCTATTCAAAAGGCATCTTAAAATCTGCTTGTAGTTAAACGTTATTACTCGCTGCGAGAGTTCTTATTCATAAATAAATTATGAATCATACACATATAAGGAAGTCACAATCTTTAATGTTATTAATATTATTAGGATATGCGCTGAAGTGTGTGTTGTGAGAGAACAGAGAACGCGCACTAATTATGTCAAAAGTGGATGCGCTACATATCTTGTGTTCAGGTTAGTCTTGAATGTGTTGCGACAGATGATAATGACAATGATGAACAAAAACAAATAAAATAAGGACTCCAAGTCGAATCATAACCTTCATCGTTATTGCAATTTTTTCTTTGTTTTGAATGTGTTAGTTCCTTTCTAATGTTTTGTAGTCAATTGTTATGTAGTATTTGAATCAGTCCTTTAGAAACTAGACTTTTGGGGCATAGACAATCACACATTTTATAACTGTCCTGTCTTAGACCTGTAGAATTATGCTGAAATGGTATATTTTTCGAGAATATCTGCTAGAACGACTTGTGACCCACACTTACTGAACCGTTGGTTGTTTTGTCAATCAGTTGAGCGGCTGCTTCTTTTATTCTAAGAGATACAAGTTCCAGGTAGATAGCGGAGCTTCGATGACTGCTTTTATATTTCTGTGCTAAGGGCTTTCGTCTGGGGCGTGTGAGAGCCCTGTAACGGCACAAATAAATGGATTGGCTCGACCGAAGTGATCCACGGCTACACAATTCTTTCATTGATTTTTCACCGGAGCGTACAGCCCCCCTGCCATTTTGTAAAGGCACTTCTCTTCTCTTGAGCAGCATGTACCATACGGACCATATAATAAAATATCGAAGACTCAGGGACTGTCTATGGGTAAATATAAATGATAGGTATTTGGGAGGCAAATAAAGCTAGCGAATGGGTTTTGTAAAAATATTTATTTAATATGTACAATTTAGCATACAAGCGACGCCGTGACGTATCGGCACACACACACGCGTGCCGGTCACGCGTCGCGCCGCGTCTGGCGGGCACAGAGATATTCTTGTACTTCGCCTAACACTAAATTTTGTATGTCCAACTCTCAGTGAGGAGAGGGAGCAAAGCTCGTTATCACAATTATTCCATTACGAAAACAAAGTAATTACATTGGAATTGTAATCTATATAATATAATTAACTAAACGTAGCTGCCTCGCCCCGCGAGCTACTCGTCTCAATCGCATGCAGCAAATATCCAAATACTACTGAGTGAGGCATACTTAGGTACATGCCTCGGTGAAGGTTACATACATACACACGGCCGTGAGGACGCGCCAGACAAGAATTAGTGGCTGTTTTCACGTTATGGTGGATTTTCATTAAAAAGTTAATGACACTGGCTTCCTGCTTCGCATGGAAACACTCAGCATCAGTATTACATCACATTATTATCGTTCCCCTCTACTAAATTACAATAATCTTTTTTTTTAAACAGTTTTCTTTTGTGTTTTTTTTTTTCGATTTATTGAACCAGAAATTAGTTTTTTTTTTAATTTTCGTATAATTTAGAAATGTGTAAGTACATAGTCCTCCGACTTCATATCGAGTCGTTACGTAAAACAGTTACAATCGTAGAAGCGATATTCGTCGAGCGTAACGATCGTACACCGAAAGCCGGGCACCGTGAGTATTTTTTTCATTTAGGTATCAACGGCGAGCCCGGGAACTCGGCGCGACGGAGCCGCCGGGAGAATCGCCGCACCTGCGCCGCCGACTAAACGAGGAGCTCGCGGGACCCACACCGCTCTTCGTACGACAGCATTAGATTTCCTATACAAATATTTACAATACAAGTTCACGTTTTCCGATTCGGAGCGTTTCGGCGTGCGGTCGCGGCGGCCGCAGAGCAGTCCCGGCGCAGGCCCGCGGCGCTACACGTCGGCGGGGGCGGGGGCGGGGGCGGGCGCGGGCGCGGGGGCGGCGGCGGCGCGCATCGGCGGGAAGTGCTTGGGGTCGCGCAGGTCGAAGGCGCCGCGCGCCGGCGCCGCCTCCAGCGCCGCGCCGAGCTCCGCCGCGCGCTCCGAGTCTGCGACAGCGCCGGCGTCAGTCGCCGCCCGACCCGCTCGCCGAGGCGGGGCTCCGCTCGAGCTCCCGCCGGGGCGAGCCGGTCGCGTGCATGGACGATGAGCGTAGGAGCCGGCCCGAGCCCTAACCGTGGCGAACGAATCGAGTGCGATCTACGCCGATCTTCGTCTGTCCACCGAACTGGACCCTCTTCGACGCCGACGCTATTGCGATGGCAATTGTCGAACACATAAAAATTTACAAATTACAGAAACTAAAACGCGCTAAAACTCATTTAATTTTTTACGGTACGACTCGACTCGACTCCTACGTGACTGATGATATCTTTTTATGTATTTTACGACACTTAAAATTTCAATCGTAACTTAATCTTTACATCCGAAGAAAATTCAATTAACACAGACACAAAATCCAGCTTAACGTTAAAAATACGTCGCCACCGAGTAACCGTGTTACAACTTATAACGTCACGTAGCGACTCCTCTGCACGCGTTAATCGATATAATAAATGGCAACCGAAGAACTAAGATCGAATAGATAAAGTTCTCGTGGCAAAAAACCCTTTCCAACTTTGCAACCATCGCTCAAAGTAAACATTAATTGACACGCACAACTGAACATACAATACCTATAGAGACCAAATGTATCAACACACACGACCCTGTTAATAAAGATCCTTCAGTAATTATATTGGCTCATTTCCTCGAACCATCTGCGCGGTATATCTATAAACTATCGTAATTAAACGACGTTGGAAGTTGCGGAACCAAAAAAAACTTTTATTCAAATGAAGACTCATTTTTTAAATGAAGTAACAATATTTAAAAAAAAACTAGCTTTTGCCGTGGCTCTGACCTCAAGACTATCTTCAGTCAAGTCTACTATCTATGCCAAATTTCTATCTTCAGTCCTATGAAAGTTTCCACTGATCGTAAAAATAATAATAGATATCGGTAATAGAGAGTAGCGAAGACTGTTTCTACGCTATGAGGGCGGTTCTAAAGCAGCCTTTTAGCTCTGTGTTCGATCGTTTTTCACGTATAACGCCTATGCGCTATAAAATGTTGTTTTATTTAACTCTCAGTATTACGTTGCAGTAGTTGTAACACTTTTACGAGGTGCTCAACGTGGTCAAGGTGGTCAACGCTACAAACACAAATTAATGTACACAGTAAATGTTCTTCAGACGTCAAGAGCGAGACGGTCGCATTTTAGCGAACATTAGCCGTCGTGTAGTTGGCAGGCGGACGAGCGGACGAACAATGAAGGGACGAACAAACATGGATAGGCAGGTACCAGACACTCACCTCCGGGGTCTGCCCGCCGCCGGGCCTCGCGCACCGCTCGCCGTCTCCTGCCAACTCACTCGGCGCAGACCGCACCCGCGCTCGCTAGGGCACGGGGGGCCCCTGGGGGCTCGGGCGGGCCCTCCGGGACTCGGCACGGGCCACTGGGGCCCGGCCGGCCCGGGCGCCACGTACGTGGGGGAGGGGCAAGGGGGCAAGGGGTGGGATAGGGCAGTACCTGTCATCCGCGTGGGGTCCCGGCCGCGCAGCGCGCCCGCGTAACTGTTGCTAGTGGACAGCTCCGCCGCTGGCGGGAGGAACATCGTTAGCGAGGGGACTCGCCCTAACGCGACGTCCGCGACCCCGGACTTCTCTAACTCATATATATATAAATATTAGCTATTCAATATTATCAGGGAATCGGCCGATTCGCTCGATAAGTGTTGTTGCCGGTAAATAATGACGGTGATTAAAAAAGTTTTAGTATTTGATATTTTTAAATCTAAAGGAGTTTAAACACGAAGTGGTTTATTTATAATAAAATTCAACATAAATTCGGTTCAGGCAACAAAATACGACAGATATAATGACACAAATGGCTTCCTCTAAACGGGGAGCCTCTTTATTCAACGTCGTCCGCTGCTCATCCAAATATTCACATTTGTACATTACGGAGAAGGCGACGGCCGAGACAGACTAGCGCGATTCTGTGTCGTCGTATTAGTATTTCAAATTTTGATTTCTATAAATAAAATATTGTATGAAATATTTTTGTACAACAAAACTTTCCTAATCACCGTTTAGATTGCTGAAAATTGAAAAGTGTGTCTTCTAAGGACGAGATGAATATTTTGTTCTCTCGCAGTCGCTCATCGTTGTTCGTTAACGATCTCGACCCGGTCGACTGGCCTCGGTCGGCGGCGGCCAAACTTATCGAGAGACGGCCGCGGTACATGATCGATCGTCGACTAAAGCGAACGTCGCGTTTAACGAGTGACTATAATACATAAATACATAAGTGATGATATGATACATAGACGTACTCGGCCTGCGCATAAATATATACACAGATACGTAAACAGTGCGTCCAATATTAGTCGATAATGGTCGGTATGTCGGGGTGAGAGCTGATGAGCGCCGGCGTCCGGCGGGCCTCGAGGCGTGACACAGAGCGAGGAGATGAGGAGGCGTGACGGGTGAGTGCGGGCGGAGGGAAGGCGGCGGACAAGCGTGTGCGGCCGGGGCGGAGCCCGCCGGCCGACTGCGGCCGGGGGCGCCGCCGGGCCGAGTTAGTGTGTGGCGAGAGGGCTGGGGCGAGCTAGGGCGGGGGGTGCGGGGGCGGGGCGGTACCTTCGTGCGGCGTGGCGGCGCGCGGGTCCAGCAGCCAGTGCGTGCGCAGCAGCGTGCAGTCGCCGCCCTCGGCCGGGTCCAGCGCGTACACGTACAGCGCGCCCGCAGACGTCGCCACCAGCAGCCGCGCCGACCGCGCCACGCTGCGGACGAGGACGCCTTAGCTTACAGGCCGCTCGAACGTAACATGCGCATTTTCAATTCGCTTACTGCAGCTAAAGTTTTTCTATGGACTATTCGCGCTGTGAGTTCAGGGGACTCGAAAAACCCTGTTCGATCCTTTCTCGATTAACCCTACGCCGTAGTCCACCCTGGGAAACTCGTTCCGTAGCCGGCAAGACCCCGGGAAAAAAATATCCAGAACCGTATCGTGAACGACCTTTTAACTTCCGAGGAGATATTAAAGTTCCTGCCGGTGATGAGCGGCTCGACGTAGAATGTGATTTTGTCTCCGTGTCGAATAACGTATGTGATGATGATGATGTGATGATGTCGAATAACGTCTCGGAGCGGAATCCATTTCACGACCTAGTTTTTATATACTTAATTATTTATATTTTTTAGTACAAATGGTATCCGGTTACACTCTTATAGCTTGTTGTAGTTGGCAATATGGCGCCCGTAGGTCCAGCTACGCACCGAGACCTCCTCATCGCAATATAGTCTATGAAAGGCAGGTGTTCGGCCGAATGTTCATCATTATCGGTGAGACTCAACTCAGTGTTGTATCAGTTCGTACATTCAGTAAACACATTCTGTTAATTTTCTTACTTTTTCTACACTTCATTTCAAGCATTTGCGGACTTAATTCTACTTGCTACTTCTACCGGTCAACCAATTAGTAATGCAGAGAAAACAGGTAATAGGTGCGTTTTGGTTGAAATTACTTTTGGAGCAACATTTTATGAGTTCAATACTACTACAACTAAATAACTACTCGACAGGTTGTTTTTATAGATCATTTCGGAAAACTGTTTGAGCACACAGGATTCTAGGGCTTGGAGAGAAAGGGAATAATTGATATTGGTCTGAAACGATTGGGGTGTGGTAATTTGCAATTTTAGGCAAGGGAATGACACAAGCTTTACGCCAGTGATGGGGAATTTCCGGAATTTATAAGTAATGGACAATGTGTGTGATTACAGACAAAATGTGGTCAGGGATTGCTTTGAACCGAGCGTCGGCTGATTTGATCGCAGCCAACAGCGTTAGATTTGATTGAGTATTATCTTTTTGATCTCAGCGGACGCTACTCGGGATATCGTTGGATGAGATTTATGCTACGAGACCTGGGCTTCAACTCTGCTGTTTAATATTGTTTCAATAGACTGTCGATGGACTGTCGTCGGAATACTTTTGCACTTTTGGTATTCTACTAACTATGTAAGACCAATGGCCAATGGAACTGCTACTGATACAAATGTTTATGTCTTTGTAATAGTTTGGTAAAGGTTACATTGTAAGTTTGTAATAAAATGATATATTTAATTTGCCAGATGTGGCAATGGAATGATAGTGGCTTGTACGTTAACACAATCACAGAGTCAATTAACAGAGGAGGGGAAAGGACGATTTATATGACCTAAACCTACTATCTCCTGCAAACCAATCGATCGCTGCTTACCGATACTCAGAGTTCCAAGAAACTGAAAAATATCGGCGGGAGACGAACGGGTGATGTTGTCTAAGATATGTCGGCGTTTAGCGTTACGTATCATCTGATTGCACCGATTTCTGGGTGCGAAAGGCGATCTTTGCGATCGCTTCTAACTTTACCTAAGCCTTAGCGGTGGGTATAGATAAGCGCGGCAGAGGTGCAGACAGGCGGACTCACTTGGTGATGGCGGCCACGGCGCGGTGGCCCGTGACAGGCAGGCGCGCGGCGGCGAAGGCGCGGCCCTGCGCCAGCACGTCGGCCACCTGCGCCGGCAGGTACCCGGCGCCGGCCGACACGGCGGACGACAGCCAGCCCATCCACGTGGCGGGCGCGTCCTCTTCCGTCGGCGCCGCCGCCTCGTCGGCCGCCTGCGTCGACCCGTCCTGTAGCCGGAACACGTGCACCGTCTCCGTGTTGGACGTAGCGGCCAGGAAGGTACCGCACGCGCTGAAGGCCAGGCACGCGATGGACACGCAGCGCTTGACGCCGCGCCGGAACTCGTACAGGCGCGTGCGCTCAGGCACGGCGAACACGCGGATGACTGTGCCACGTTCCGACGCCGTGGCGAGGCGCCGCCCGCACATGGACCACGCCAGCGCCGCCAGCGGGCTGTCGTGAGCGCTGATCACGCACTTAGCGTTCTGCGAACAAACCGCGCACCGTCATCGTCGCTCTGAGACCTCGACCCGCCTCGCCCCTTTCTCCCCTCACTCACCAGGTGTACGGCGTCGAAGATCTGCACTTCTCCTACGGCGCTGGAGCCCGGGTAGGCCACATAGCAGTGCTCCACGCACGGGGACAGCGCGCAAAGTCCGCGCGGATTAGGCGGCGTGTCGCGGATGGTGTGCAGGATCTTCATGTCGCGAATGTTGTGGATGTGCAGCGACTCTTCCAGGCACACGATCAACCTCTGCGACACGGATATTTAACGTTGATATAAATCTTTTATCCAAGTTTATAACTTAAAATTTTCAAATCAAAATTGCATACAAATACGTACCTACGTAAATAGAGCTACACACAGGGCGATGTCAATATTTGTAACAATTAGTTGAAATTACCGTAAACACTCGAATACCACTTGGGCCACCGATCGTGAGTAATCAAAAACAGAACTCACTGAACGCAAATGAAGGTTTTACATAGGTACTCTTGGAAAGCAACCCCACAGCTTTGAAGGTGAAACAATGAACTGTTGATGACAACCATAGAAATTGCTGCTCGTTTGCCCCCTTATACCATAAAAGAAAAACAACCAAACCCGGATCTAATTCCTTTCAAAATGTTTGTAGTGCATATAAACGGGCAGTTACATCAACTGCGTGTGAACAGCTCGAGTAGGTACATATTAAGTGGGAGTGGGAGTACTCACGGAGCGGTTCAACTTTACTGCCAGGATTGTGTTACTGTAACTGTAGTTGCAGATCTCTGTGCCCTTCTTGTAGTGGCACACGATCAGTTTTCTGAAAAATAACAATATTCATTGAACTTATGAGCTCACCGCAGTAGGGGGACAGAGATAGAGCATATGGTTGACCCGATAGTCAGGGGTTACTCAAATACCTAATCTACCATTACCAAATTATTATACCTAAAAAATACAGTATTATATACAGTTACAAGTACCTAAAAATATGTATCAGTGGTAAAGTTCTTAAATGACGACGAAATAACTGTACGACGAAAATTCCCGTGAACGGGCCAGGTACCACAGACCGGGTTGGCGGCGAGAGGCCGTAGATGGCTCGAGATACTTCGGGGTCATGGGATTTCCTTTCTAGGGTACACCTGGTTCCCCGGCTACTGGTAACCGAGACGGCATGCAATTCTTGGTCGGTTCGAGTCCGATATAACAACCGGTGGGTGGTATCCGAGGGGATTGCCACCGAAAAAAAAAGTACGTCGCTAGCCGTACGACATATTTCCTTTTTAAATCAAGACTGTTAATAACACAATACTCGTAAGTAGTAACCATAAAAGATAAGATTTATAAATCATAAGAATATCTCTTCAGTCAGACTCTACACTGAGATAGTATAAAATACCAAAATCAAATGATTTGTGTGTGCCCCAGCGGACTTTATCAATGGGTATTAGGTATTTATTATCGTTGAGCGGAACAGTTAGGAACGTATGATTTCCGGCTCGGGTCGGTAATGACGCCGTGCGCCACTAATTCTAAACTACGCTTCGACGCCCGAGGGTCGGCTCGCAGAGAGGGGTGTCGTAGGCAGGTTCACGTTCACGGTCTCATATCTCGCGACTACAGAAATAGACGCGGACGCCACGTAAGGGCCGCCGCGGCGAGCGATGCTAATATTAGCGACTCGTTGTATTTGTCGACGTTTAGCAAGGCGCTGCTAGATAGAATGTTTGAGGTCACCGTAACACAGGGTCGCGGCGACCGCGGCCGACTACCGTGCTAGGCCACTTACTGTTTTTCATTGAACGTCTATGGGTCAGGCTACTGTTGTAGTCCATTGCGATTGAGAGCTTTTATGGTTGAGTTGCTCCAAACATATGTACATATGTTATATATATAGCGTTATTTTTAGTTAATACATATATAATGTATATACACAACCAACAAAACAGACAGACAATTTAAAATGTTTGTAAGTACTAAAACGAATATAAGTCTAACAAACTATATTCCACTACAAATTACTATACAAATTCAAATATGTTTGATTAAAATTTAATACAAAATTAGATACCAAAAGCTATAGTCTAAAACAACTAAAAATACGCTATTGTAACTAGCCGAACTAAAAAGTAGAAAAAAAAATTCTATAACTACAAAAAGAAAAATAATTTTATCGTAAAAATGCGTAGGGTGCTAGATCTCAATTAATGTAAAAATATTTTATTGACAGATATTGGTAAAGTTATTGCACAAGTTGGTAAGTAGTGCACAAGTCACCGGCGACCCAACGCAACCACGGAGTACATTTGCTTGTTGTACTCCGTGAACGCAACGCTTCAACGCTGTGTCACACACGAGATCTCACCTTGATGAATACATAAGCGCGCGACACATAATCAATTCGCTAACATTTTACTAACTGTACGTATTATACGAGTGACGCCGTAATGGATGACTCTTTCATTCATTTTTGTAACGTTCTCAACTGTCTAAACTAGATGTTACTCCTTAGCCCTACTTTTAACAAATTTTAAAATTAGGTGGTTATCAATTAGTCGGAGTTCTATTTTATGTATGTTCCTCGATTACTCGATTAATTAATATTTTGTTGGTCCCACCGTCAGCTATGGAACTCTTCAAATATGAAGAGCACACCAGTCATAATTTGCACTCGGAAAGTACTATTTCTTCATTTAGGGTAGTGCAATAGGGTAAGACTACAGATGACATAATAACTATGTAATAAGTATTTCACGAGTTACGATTCCATTACTTTAACGTGGCAACATTGAATGATTTTAGAAAATGAGGTTTTCATTCGTACTGTACTCTTTAAATTGTATGGCCCAATGTACATGTACATCAGACCATATTATTAAGACATATACATTAGCCATTGTCAACATGCCACAGACCAAAATAGAGATATGAAATTAGTATATTCAAAAAAATAAACTACAAATACACATACCTAACAAATGCTGTTCTAAAGTTAAGAAATTTTACTCATGTATAATCAAAAAACCATTACACATACTGAATAGGTCTGATGGCTCTAATTAGTAGTAAATAATGTGTTATCTTAAAACAAGCTTTTAAGTATATTCTAAATTAATTTAATTTTCCATAGAGTTAAACTTATTCTTTACTTTGTTTATTAACTGTCTAAACAGGCTCATAGTATGTCATGATATTAATGACATCCAGCAACTATGTAGTGTCCTTTGACTGATCAATTGGTTTTTTTATGTAATAAGGGGCAAATGAGCAGACAGGACAAGTGACGGTGAGCGAGTGCCAGCGCCCATGGCCATGTGTCAGCCCATTGCAAGTCTAGAGTGTCAAGTGCATTGCCGGCTGCTAGGTATGATGAGATATATATATGGAACAACAAATTGTATGGTAAATGAAGATTACCTTGTGGCGGATATGGTGACAACAGCCACCAATGAGCTGCTGAAGAGACGGTCGACGAGGCAAGTTTCCAGGCCAGAACGACTGGCGTAGATTTCCTCAATGCCATCATCAGGGGTGAGTGCAAACAGGTGGTACCCACTGCTGCTGCCCGCCACTAGAGACCTAAATACACACACATTTCGGCTTTAATAAAACCCAGGATTATACAATTCCCATTTCAAACTTCGTGGGAACTCAAGTTAACTTTAGTTAAATCAAAGATACTCCTTCATTTCCATAATCAAAACATTGCATTGCATTTTCACAAAAGAGGCAAACCTGCTAGAAGGCTAGCTCACCTTTGTGCTTCAATAATCAATAAAAATTATTAATGTAACCTGACACTAGCTCATTCTATTTTGTAATGGCATTGCATAATAATATATTCATATCATAATGGTATAATTAATATACTATAATCGTAATAATTATGTGGCTTACTTGATGACACTAAAACAATCATATACATTTCATAACAACTAAAGACATAACATTAAGAGATAAAGAACTATCTAGCAGATAGAAAATTAGTTATACTAAACAAAATATGGTGCAATACTAAGTCAAAAACATCCACAATATTAATTAGAAGAACTTAATGTTCTTTTGTTAGTAAACATTGTGTAATAAAGAGGATTGAGCTCCAATACCACATTATGTGTTGTGTGTGACCTGAGAGAATGTGTATCTTCTATGTAAACATGTAGTTTAAGAAGAACTTATGTCATTCATCAAATATACTTGAGGTTTAGTGAAGAATACTGTAAGGTTTTAAGCTGTGTGATATTTTACCACCATCTCACTAGAACAAAGGAAACGCTTGACTTTAATGCCATGTGGCAGTTTCCAATGGACCTCACTAGAGCAAAAGACTATGCTTATGTCATGTGTTATTTTCCACTGGACCTCACAAGAACAAAAATTTAAATGGCTTTATAGCCAAGTGCTATTTTGCATTAGACCTCACTAAAACAAAAGAAACACTTGGCTTTAATGCCATGTGCCATTTTAATAACAAAAACCTGGCTTTCATGCCATGTGGTATTTTCCATTGAACCTTACTAGACAAAAAGGGCTTTGTGCTTTAAAAAAGTGTGGGATTTCAGGAATCATATTTAATCAATTTCTAAAATATTCAATACTGAATGAAATTTAGTACAAGATACAAAAAAAAGTTTTGTACAAACAAAGAGCAACAACTCCCTTTGTTTTATTTTAACAAAAGAGTACAACTAAATAGCCTTTTAAAATGCTTAAAATTCTATTGTGATGCTAAGATCACATGTCCCAGGATAGAGAATCAATATGTGTGATGTGGTAAAAGTTTTAAAGTTGATTATAGGGAAAAGTTTTGAAAGAGTCCAGTACAGACACCAGCTGTTTAAAATCCTTGTGCATAAAGCATTATCAAAAAACACCACGACTTAGCTTACGGTAAACACTGTTTACAATATAGTCTAATGTATAATGCAAGCCTTCAGTAGCTAAATAATTTATTTGTATCCCTAGACGCCATGTTTGTTTACACATAACGAATGCTATGGGAGAAGACATTACGAAACAGCTGGCAATGACGTATTGCATCATCGCACCACTGACGAAACGCACTTGTAACAGTATCGACGTTAATTTCAGGACATTGTGCACTTTGGCTGTGACACCTCACAGTGAACTTAGGAATCCTAACTCAACTACATTAACTTCGCATATTTCTCACGAAAATATACTTACGTGCAATCCTGGTTAAACTGCACATATATGGAGCCTGCATTTGAGCCCTCAGAGTTCTGACCTCCCAAACTCATTTGAACGATCGAAGAGTACTGATTGTTCTAAAAACTAAGCTCTAAAATGGCACACAATCACGACAGTAACTTTCTAAACGAATACAAAATAGTCACTCACGAAAATAAGTAAATACTTGATACTAATTGTTCGTCACAAGAAGTAGAATTTTGACACAAAGAACGACCTTGCTGCTAAAAACAAGCCCCCTCCCGCACACTGCATTCGTTTACTGATCTAAAATCACACAAACAGATTAGTATTGCCAGCTGTAAAGTGTTTTTTACCAGATTACATTTTTTTAAACATGCACTAAATTGACGGAAGAGGAAAATAAATTAAATAAATAAATGTTTAACTATCTTGACACAGATTGAAAGAAGTGAAATCAGTAAAGGTACTAATAAGGGTATTGTGAAAAGCTGATAAACTATGAAAAAACAAATAGATCAGGCAATACTAGTTACTAACACTAACGGGCTAACTTTGTCTACGAAACTAGAATACTATCGCTTTTCTCATCTAGAATTTTGTTTCTTTTATCCACACGTAAATATACAGGGTTACTGGGTAAGTCGACCTATATACTTTAACGGGTTGTAGTTGCCATCATTTCCTATTGATATTGGACTTTTAATATTTGTGTTTTGTTTGCCCAAATTTTGCCTACTACACCTTTTTTAGAACTTATATCCTTTATTTTAGGTCTTTTTACTGTTTTTTTTTATAGTTGATACATTGTTTTATAATTTCCATTACTAAAATTGTACTTAAATTAACAAACAGGCGTGGTCAGCGCCTGTTATTAAGACATCCGGACCCTTCCGAGCGCGGGCGCCGTTGCGGGCAGGCGGGTACATTCTCTATTTATTTAGGCGACTTTCAGCACACGCGAACATCACCTCCTCGCGGCTCGCCTGTTGGAGGTAAAAACCCGACCCGTGCGTCGGCGGGGACCGAATGCCGCTATCCGCTGGGAACTCAGCCGTCCGTGATATACTTCGGCGAGCACTTCCGCCTCTCAATCCCACGGGGGTTTTCCGGTCAACAGTCGACACTGTGCGGTAACCGCGTATGGCTCCAACCGCCGGTCTGCCCTAGGGCAGAAGCAGCGCCGACCAGCTTTGGAGCAAGCTGTCGGAAGCCATCTCCGGTCAAGAATCAGGCCCAGGAACCGGTACGAGGACCGAATCGACCACGATAGGGCCCATGGAACAACAGATCTTCCGTCTTATCCAGGGCCGCCATTATATATTTAAAAAAAAACAAATAATGTAACTTTGCAGCAAAAATGTAACATTTCAGGGATCGCAACGTAGCTTACGACTCAAGGGCTCTGGCAACACTGGAGGTGACAGTACTGACATTGACAGCAAACTTGATGTTTTGCAGACAGGTTATTAAATTCTAACCTATGAACTCAATTGAAGTCAATTGAATACTTTATCTTCTCTTAAGAAGTGTAAGTCGTAGTATTATAAACTAAATATTATAAATGGGTCGCAAAATACCCTCGAAAAAACACCGCGGGGTCAAAGATCCGCTTCTGCAACAAGCTAAGCGATTAGAAAGGTTTGTTGTTTGTTAAATGTAAATAACTTGTGTAGCCCACTTGGTTGTCATTAAAACTAATTATCAGTTTAAAAGGAAAAATAAATGCACCGCCAAAAGATCCAGACGAGCAGCCAATGCCCCGCTCGATAATAAGGCTTTTTGGGCTACCAGATCCGAGTAAAAAGAATACCGCCAAGAATAGTGCACACCGTAAAACACGCCCGTTGCCAAACAAAAAAGGTTTGTTGCGTGTCATTTTGCGCTTTAACTTGTGTTGGCTGTAGTGTTGAAATGTTTCTATGTGTAACGTTTCAGATGAGGGTATTAGTTGTACCGGCGATAACCCGATATCTCGCCTCCACAAGTTACCTGGCGAATCAGGGCGGGGTTTCTCTCTTCGCATCAACAGCGCCATCAAGGCTCTACATGGTGCTGATGAAGACCTGGAGTACCCTGTAGGTATTATTTTTATTGCCTAACTCAATGTCACCGCCAAGATCAAACTTAACCATATTAGGGAACTGGTATTCTAATGATAACTGTGAACATATTAGATGTCTAAATCAAGACCTAATTGCTACCACTAATACAACGGTGGGTACCTTTAGGTCACAATATATGACCAAGATGAACAATTTGATTAATGCCTACACATTGATCAAATTGTTTATCTTGATCATATATTATAATGTGCTCATGACTAATAGAGCGATGAATGAATTTGCCCACAGAACAATGAATAATATTTAGAAGTGCTGTCGGTGGTACCTCCAAAGAGATCCTTTGTTACCTGGAGACACTTAAACAATAAATAATCTTGTACGCACATAACAAAGTGTACCCTGCTTTGTCCCTCAGAATTTATTGAATATAAATTCTAAACACCACTTGCAATGTTACTAAAAACCTTATAGCATTTAAAAATGCGAGTTGAATCGTCACAAATATGTTTTAACCTTTTTTTAAAGTAACACTGCCGTTCCACTATTTTCAAGTTCATCAAAGAAGTATATGGGAACAAATAAAAATCTCCTCTCGTTTTGCTGTCGGTTAAAAATTATAATACAGAATAAATAAGCCTATTAAACTGAAAATCATTGTGAAAACCTAATATCATAGATAGCTATAATAATGCAATGTCAAATCAATTGTAATACTATTGGCTACATCACTATGGCAACCAAAATGAAATAGAAAATCGCCTGCCCCGCCTAAATCTCAATTCCACATTATTCTCTGTTCTATGAATTTCTCAATAAGTATTGACCATTATAAACATGTACATTAGCACCCTTGTTAATGAATAATATTCAAAAAAAGTAATGAGACCTGTAGACAACCAACTTCAGAAGACGTGTATTTTGATTGTTTACACAATGTTACAAGGGTGCTAATGTGGGTTGATTTTTAATTAAGGCTACATTAATATCGTTGCCTCAATTATGTTATTAAAATCGGTCTATGTGTGTACCTTTCAGCACGACCTTGAAGCGGAAGACTACAAAGGCCAGCGAATGGCCGAACAGCGCGAAAGACGCGCGAAAAAACGTCGCCGCGCTGAGAAGGCGGCCAAGAAAGCCGGCGGAGAGGGAGAGAATACAGAAGGGCACCTGACCAGGATCCAAAAACTTGCACTTAAGAAGAAGGCTAAAAAGATGAAAGCTCTAGAGGTGAAACTTTGACTTTTTTCGTGTGGCATGACATGGTCAATGTAACAGTGATAGAATAATTGTTCGACGTGCAGGCGGGCGAGGAGCAGGCCGAGGTGGTGTACGAGCGCGTGGCGTTCGGCGAGGTGACGCACGCGCCGCCCGCGCTGCACTTCAAGGCCAGCGCCGGCGCGCCCAGGGTCAGTCAGCTCCGCCTCTCTATATTTACTTGTGCATTTAAACAAACTAGCTAAATAGGAGCGATATAATTTAAGAGGTTTTTTTGCCAACGCGGCAGGTCGCATACTTTATTTGTTAATAATATTAATAACCAACTGCGGACATCCCGCACATCACTAGTTCAGATGCTTTTATCATCATCATCTTAGCCGAAATACGCCTATCGCTGGACATAAGCAGCAAAAAGAGAAGTTAAAAAGTAAAAAATATATTTTAACATTATTAATTTTGTTCTGTTGCGGGCTGCACAGGACTGGTTGTTCTGGCGAGCCTTGGCGGAGGCCTATGTCCAACGGTGGACGTCTTTTAGATACTTTAAATGCTTAATATATATAAATAAAATTGAAATGTCCGTCTGTGATTTTGAAGCCTGCCCCGGCTAAAATCTGTTACCCTTGTTGTAACAACGTCACTACGTTAGTAAGTTATGTATAACTACAGTTTTTCCGACTTTCCGGAACTTCGTTTCTGAGATTCGATAGTTTTCGGAGCGCATTATATATTGTCGTCTTTTAACAGATACAGTTTACATCGCGATAGTGTGATGATATCGAGGTGCATTTTCGCTCGTTGCAGCCGGGCCGGCGCGAGTTGCTGCTGAGCGGCATGCTGCGGGGGCAGGGCGGGGCGGGGCGGGGCGCGGTGGGCCCGGGGGGCGTGGGGGGTGCGGGGGACGCGGACGCGGCGCGGCGCGAGCGCGCGCGGCTCGACGCGGTGGCGGCTTACCGCGCGCTCAAGGCCAGCAAACGGAAAAATAAATAACATCCACCCTTACGGCTCTTTTCTTTAGCCACTCCTTCGCCAACCCTGTTTAATACTTTCAGTGAATCGGTCAATAATAACTGTTTGAGAAGAAGCAGCATTGTATCGCCTGGTGTCTCACCTATTGTCCGACTGCCGATTTTTTTTTTGTGGCAAACGGGCTTCGATCTAGAGAAGGGCAACGAGCAGACAGGGCACCCGATGGTACGAGGGCGTGTCAATAAGTCCGTGACTTTTTGAATTTCTGACCTCTTTACTGAAAAAGCAACACTACTCCTGTCAACAGGCATCTGTCAGTTGACTCCTGTCAAAATTTGAACTTGCTGCGTCAGTTAGTTTGTGTTTGACAGCTATCTTTATCAGACTACCCAGTAATTTGAGGAAAAAATGGAAAAAAGTGAGTTTCGTGTGCTTATTAAGCATTATTTTTTGCGAAAAAAAAACTATTACCGAGACCAAGGCTAAGCTTGATAAATACTATGGGGACTGCACCATCGATTTCAATGGTAAAAAAGTGGTTTACTGAATTTCGTTGTGGCCGTACAAGCACTGAAGATGCCGAACGTCCTGGACGCCCAGTTGAGGTCTCTTCACCCGAAACAATCGAAAAAATTCACGATATGGTGTTGGCCGACCAAAGATTGAAAGTGCAAGAGATTGTGGAAGCCGTAGGGATCTCGCATGGCTCAGTGGTTTCAATTTTGAATGATGATGCTATCGCGTTCTTTTGGCTTTTGCTTTCCTTGACGCTATAGTTTCAAATTCGAAACGAGCGAGACAGCTGAAGAGAGAGCAGTAATAACAACGTGCATTTACAACGTGCAAAATCAGAATAAAGGCCATCGACCGTATCAATTTTACTTTTTTTTATTTCTATAATACATCGAGTCACTTGACATTGCACGTTAAAAGACACTAAGAGGATTTATACATAGTACAAAATCTATATAATATTAGCGCTCTGTGCTGTCCGTCCGTGTAGTGACGGATGAAGAATACATAGTTTCGTCACCCCTATTCATCTCAATGGGATTCGTAAAAGCCGACTAAATTAGCAATCTCTACAGAACAACAACACTGCAAAGAGAAGGAAAACTTCCAGAAGTGGACTATTAAAGGTTGTTGATGATGATGACTCCGTGCTTGTATTTGTTTTAAGATCTAGACGACTGCATATGGAGGACTATTTAAGTTACTTTGCAGATTATGTTGCTGTATGCGTTTGCCAAATCACTTTATTTATTAAAGAATAAAAAATCTAATATAGTTACTCTTATAGTAACCACAGTCATTGTTGTTAGCTAACTAACAAGGTACCTATCAATTAATGGCAAAGTGGTTGATTAGCTGCACCAATAGATAGATAGGTACTGAATTAACTGACTTGGTTTGCATTCTATTTTACAATTTCGACAGAAGAACTCCGTTGCGAGACTTGCACCTTTTTGCAGCAACGAATATCATGACTAAGTTTTTAAGATAAGTCTTGATGAAAAAGTTCATGGGACTTGTTTTGATGTCGGTTCTGCGGCTACTTTTTATGTGTGTAAAATATTATTTATGGTTTATGTGTGCGTCTAGGCGACAACGGAACTCTTCTGATTGACCGTTGACCGCACTTCTATATCATTTCTTCCATCTATCTAAGAGGTACCGTTTCACGTTTCATACTTGTCAAGACGAAACAACTTTGTATAGGCGTAACTCACACAATTTCAATAACCGTTTCCGTAAAACCGTGGAGTTATGTAGCTATTTTTATTTTGTCGCAAGACACAATTCTTAATGACTAAATTTAAATTTAAATCTTTGAAACAAAGCATAATAACCAATTTACACACAATAGATGTTATTTTTCAAACTTCATTTCATAGTCACGTAGTTAGATCCTTTACCGTAGTGTAACGGCTCTTCAAATTCACTTGTCACAATCACACAATTGGTTAAAATGTATGCCAAATCTAATTTATCAATATAACGAGTCATTTTGAGTACAGGCGTCGTAAGGTGTTTAATAATATATAAAATTCATCTGACATCCAAATCTTTAAATAAATCATTGTAGGCAAAACGCGGTCGTGTCCAATTCTAGTGTATACTAAGATTTACTAGTAAAACCTATGATGTGCCATTACACGGGCTTTTATAGTAACATACATAAATCTGTAAAACTGTAATCTATTAGTACATACTAAGAAATGAAATCGAAATCTCTTAAGAATCAGATATTTAAGTAATCGATTTCTTTGACCCCATCGCTATACTTTAATATCTGTCAAACGAACCTCCTGGATTAGATGGAATATAATATTTATTCACTGTTCTGTTCTGTGGGTGTGACTCGGATGGACAAGGTCAGGAATGAATATATATAGGAGGGAGTCTGTAAGTAGTGCCTGGATGAAAATAATAGTGTTAGGCACGAAAGTTCAAGGGTACAAGAGACGAGGAAGAGGACAGGATATGGATAGGAAGGAAGTAAACAGTGAAATGACGAATGATAGAATAGAATGGAGGAGAAATACATACTGCGCCGACCCCATACCTACCCCGATAAGGGTAGGCAGATAATGACATATCGTATCTTAAACTGAACACGAAAAAAATATACGATACAGTACCATTACGCTTGCATCGTTTTTTTTTTAAATAGTAATTTCAAAAAAAGAACTACATCGGGAAGGCGCCTGTAGATGCAGTAACTTTAAAGCAAGTATAAATAATATTTGATATGGCTCTTACAATTTTTTTAGGCGTTAACAACGTTTGAGTCGCAAAGAATTTGTTTTAGAAACATTTTATACAATTTAATTAACAAAGACTACTTCTTAAATTTAATACATTTAAAACCATTTAATTACAGTTAATTTACTGCTACACTTTTTATATGACGCAAAAAGTTTTGTATATATTACTAAAAAAAAATAGCAACGTTCGTGTTTAATTATTGTAAGTAGTAAGTTAACTGGAGGTATACTAGATAGCCTGAGACGCTGCCTAGCTTGGCGGGTCGGGAGAGCCTCCTCCTTCGCGGGCCACACTTTCGCTTGTAGAACGACGTGGCAGAATTCCTCACACTTCTCCACCCACGCCAGTATTCTATAGAGCGCTGTACACGCTTCGGACCATGATATGCGTTGGGTTTTAGGGTATTTGGCACAATTGTACACCGAAGCATCAAAAGCAAGGTATGAGAGTGTTCCGTGTTATGAAACAGAGCGCGGGGCAATAGTTTAAAGTCTATTTTATAACTTTGAAAAAAAACATTGCCTAATCAAGGTTCCGGGAGCCGGTGGAATGATCGAGTGTCAGGGTAAGAGAATACCACTTCCATGGTCAGATTCTATCCAGTCCCGAATTTTTGAACATTTTGAATCTTTAATATGCTGCTACTGCCTTAAATTTTTCAATCACTTAGTTTTGTAACATTCTAGTACTACTTAGATTTGCAGCACTCAGTCAGACAGTCACAAATACGAATTTCAAAATACCGATTTTTATAATTACAAATAATTCAAATTTCCGAATATAATAACTCCGATTTATCATTAATCCTGTTTTTGTAATTCAAAAATTTCATATTTCTAACGTTTATAAAAACTATTCTCAACATAACGTCAATAGATCGAATAACAAAAAGTCCCACTTAATGAGAACCGAACAATAGAGTGGATCTGGCGCTCGGCGGCCCCTGCCGCTTTAATGGCCACAGTTCTAACCTAACCAAAATGTTTCACCGATAATAGAGAGTATCTGGCGTTAAGCGCCACTGTTCTAACCTAACCCAAATAATTCAATAACAGTAGATGATACGCAACGCAGGTTTAAGGAGAAGAAGAAAACACAAAAAACACAGTAACAAAATAGACGTTTTTAAATTACATTAAAAGTTATTTATAGATTTTGAATATTAAAGTAACTGAATCAGAATTAGAATCTTTATTTTAGCAATTTATTCGAAGTATTGAAAATCGGAATATTGTTTGTCGGACCAAGAACCCGTCGAGAATTTGATTCTTCGAACGTATAAAAATCGGATTTCAATAATAGACCATGGGAGTATAAAAAAATACATCCTACATGTATGTAAAAATACATCCATGTAATAATAATAATATATAATTATAATTCTTTCTCTAAAAAGATTGGCAGGTAGATAATGTCATGTGGCATTCAGTCCGCTTCGTGCAAAATGTAATGCAGGAAGTGTAAAATTAAATAAAAATTCTTAGGTATTATGAAATTCGGATTTTTGAAAGTCGGAACATCGAAATTCGGAATAAAATATTTCGAAATCCCACCGAAAATTATAAACGAGGTCGGCCACTAGACCAGAATAAAAAATTAAGTTTGAAATGTAACTTGTATTTCAAAGCTATATTAGTTTATGATATTTTATGAAAGAATTTATGTAATTCCAGAACTATTTATTTAATAAAATACGCAACTGAAAACTGACCAATAATCTTTTTATATTTTACGGTCAGCAGAAAAGAGTTACAGATGATATATTTCACATAATTGAAGATAGATGGCGTATTGAGTTCAATGTTGAAATTAATTAATTTCAACTGTTTATATTATACACCTTCAAGACGAATATTAGAATAACAACAATTTATGTTAATTTAGTTAATTTAAATTGAATATAATTATATCGAGGTTCTCACAGAAGACGTTAAGTATGCAAGTTATGTTCACTCCTCCTATTGACGTTCAAGGTTCAACTGCAAGAAGAAGACGACCAAAAGAAAGGATAACTTGAAATTGAGCAAACTTACGTATATGGTGACAGATGCCACGGTTAAAGGTTAAAAATTGTTCATAACTATGTAACTGGCAGATGTACAACTTTTTAAATAACTTCCTCCATTTTGCCTAAGGTGTATACACTCATCGTCGAAACTGCAGTCTTAACATTGACATCGGACAAGCTTTAGATTCAGTGTACTCGTATAAAGGTGAAGTGGTGTACTAAATCTGCTCTTATAGAGCCTATG